CTCCTATCGTTTAACTTGTCAGCAAGAACTTCATGAAGTTGATTTTCCGCGACGGGCTGTATTTTGTGAATGGTTTTTAAACAACTACGGTGAACTTGAAAACTTGAAAAAGTGCTTGGAACAAGGAGGGGGACACTTTCAGCAGCTGCTTTAATTTATTGTTATAACAAGGAGGGGGACACTTTCCGCAGCTCCTTTAATTGTTTGTTATTGTTATCACGATTATTCTTTAAAATAAAGTTATATAGTCATTAACGTTATTGAAACTGACAGCTGCTATACAGCTCGTTGAGAAATGAGGTTAAGTTGGTCGCTATAAGCTACTCCCTACGTCCAATGTGTCAGAGCCAACTTCGACCACGTTTTTATTTGAACGCTCGTTATAAACGTGGGTCCAAAAATTCTTCCCAAGGAAGTTATAGCCACTTAAAGGGCCACCCTGATGATGTTTTTTTCTAAATAACTCCGAAACCAGTTGAGATAAATTTATGAAATTTAGTAACTAGCTTAACTCTTACGTGCTCAGTCCGCTACTAAAACGAAATTTACAAATTTTCATCACATACGTTCCAACACTGGGGGGGGGGGGGGGGGTAAAATTTACCATAACTTTTTTTTGCTTTGACTTTTTTGACTTTTGACTGAAAAGTATGGAATTTCAGAGTTTTCTGGTAAAAAAAGGTACCCTTGCTCCATATTGGTAGAATGTTCTATTTTTGTGTAAAATCCGTTTAAAAATAATGTTACATGTGTTAATCACCGGGAATCGAAATTGTCAATATTTTCTATCGTAGCGGGTTGTGAAGAACAAAAACGCGTTTGGCATCATTTGCATTGGAGACAGATGGAACCATTGGCTCCCGCTTACAATTTGCATTGACAGTTCAGTTATTTACCTTTTGCGAATTGTTATTTTCACAGAAATTTATTATTTTTAGTAAATTATTGTTATTTGACAAAGTAAAGAAAGAACAATTGAAATTATTAAATAGTAATATGTACAATAAACTAATAAAAATAATTGAAAACCACACTATTAATAAAACTTATCTTTATCTCAATAGTAGTTTTTATAGCAAATGCCCAAAAAGATTTTTTGCTGAATACATTTTTTCGCTCGACGTCGAATTGCCCGCGAAGACCTCAGAACTTCAAAATTATATTGTCTGATTTGATTGGCAGCCAAATGAATCCTCTGTTGTAATTCTTCCAAAGGATTTATTTTTGTAGCGTAAACTACAGCCTTCATCTTACCCCACAGAAAGTAATCTAGATGATTTAGATCTAGAGATCGAGGTGACAATGGAATGGAGCCACCTGTACCTTATCCACCTGCCAGGAAAATGATCGTTTAACAAATTCATGACATTATAGGTAAAGTGATATGGTGCCCAACTTGTTGATAGTGTAACGTTAAGTGTACGTTTAACGGTGTATCATCCAATAGTTCCCTTACATCATTTTGCAGAAAGTTTAAGTATCCTTCTGCATTCAGACAAACGGGAAATTTAATCGGTCCAAGTAGCTGGTCCCCTAAAATTCCTGTCCACACATTTATTGCAAATCTGTTTTGAAAATTTGTGCGCCGTATTGCTCGCGTGGATTTTCATCTGACCAGAAATGGATATTATGAATATCTAGCTCTACAAAAAAAAGTAATCTTTTTCGACATAGAATACCCTGTAGAACTATTGTCCCCTAATTTCGGGACACCCTGTATAGTGGGCTATAAGTAACAATAATTGTCTACTATTAAAACATCGAAAAATCTTATTTCTTGATGATTTTATAATCTTCACGCAGGGTTTTTAGATAATCGCTCAAGCGTGCTCAATATTTAATGCATTCAATTAATAATTTATGAATTTGCTGGCTCCAAAAGATAGCATTTAGCGCATTTAATGGTTCCCCCCGGTCTGGTGGAAGCGTTAATATAATTAATGTGGAACTTCATGGTTTCATTTCATACGCGTTGCTACGTTTTTTGCAATATTTATGTGTTTTCTTTTTCTACGGACAAGAAAGTGCAAATTGTGCTATATGGATCGCCGCATGTGATTTACGGGTGGTTTCTATTCAGGAAATACATTTTGCCGACGCCTGTTTTAATTTTTGTAGATACGGATCGGGAATGTTAAGGTACAATTAAATTGTCATCGATTTTTAGTCGATATAGAATATAGAACATTTCCTAACAGCTGTTCCTGCGAGCATTTATTAGGCGACGTTATCAGGTTTCCTTCTTCAACCTGCTTCCGTTTCCAATATTGCCAATTTAACCACCGCTATTGGTTGGACGTACAATTAGCGTTTTCCACTATTTTATAATGCCTGTATTAGAAAATTTACAATCGAATACGGTTTCTACTAATGTAATGCAGGCAATTATGCATGGCTTGTTTGCAGGTATCGAGAATTGTTTATAGTGTTATGCGTTATAAAAAAATGGGGTAATTTGCGATGCTTCGCTGGCTCTTTTTCATTATATAAGAATATGTTCCGTTAGGTGCCTATTTTCTTTAGTCGCCATGTAGAGAATTAATGCGATGGGAAAATAATGGTATTCTTATACAATGCATTAATAATGGGAAACTATTAATTTATAGATTCATGGGTAAGAAATACAAACTGTTCTAAGTAGAGTATGTTTTCTTAACATAGCATCCGTAATACGCAAAGAATAATTAAATAAGCGTATTTTTAAATATTTAAGGTAAATTTGCGTGCTTTAAATTTAAGTATGTATCTCAATTAATAGCAGAGATAATAACGTGAATTATAAATCAAATTCTTTAGAAAAGATGATATTACAGTTTGATTCAAGTAGATATTCGTTATTGTGACTGGCACACCGTACAGTCTGTTTCAAATTTCGATAGAGAGTAATTGTATTCTCTCTTTCACCCTGTATTTTTTGAGTACTGAAATTTTCATAAAAATTTTTATCTTAGTCTCCTAACCTATAACCTATACAGGGCGTGGCGTGTATAATCTATAAAAATTAAACTACAGCTTCCTGATGATATTTGTAATAGAAAAGTCTTATACGAAAAAGTTCTATCTTCGCGTTTTTTTTTGTAAATTAAAGTTCATTTATTCAACGAAAATGAAGGCCGACCCTGTGTTATTTATTAAAAACTTTGGAAATGTTTTTATGCGACCCGAGATGCAGCCTTATAATCTAAGTCGGTATAATCCACGAAGGTTAGGTTACATTGTCAAAAGTTTTTATTTTGTAATTCCACGATAGTGACAGTGTAATTTTTATAAAGAAGTAAAAAATAAGAATAGCGTGCCGATTACATTAAAAACGAGATTCTTATTTCTTACTTTGTTTAATTTTTTAGTTTGTGCACAAACTAGTTTTACAACGAACCGAGAAAACAATGCATTTACTACTTCCGAACGTGTCGATATGGTGTTAGTGTATGGTGCAGCCGGAGAAAATCCGCTCCCGACGACTAGGTTGGCGATGGCCACAACGTCACAGGACTGTTCCAGAGAAAATATTTTGATCCATAATTGAACTTTAATTTACGAAAAAGAAAAACGCAATAATAGAACTTTTATTGTATAAGACTTTTTCTATTACAAATATCGTTAGGAAGCTGTAGTTTAATTTTTATAGATTATACACGCCACACCCTACATTTAATTCAGAAAAAAGATCGCCAAAATCAGGCTGCTGCACCCTGTCTACTCCATTGGCCTTTTTCGCAATAGTAATCGCTACCGGAGCCTCAAGGCTCAACCCCCAAGGAAATGGGTTACTGCGCGTTTCCCTAACAATGTACAGAACGCGGAGAATGTTCATTGTTTGTTAGTCGACCTCCTTCAATTTCTGTGTTTGTGCTAATGTTTAAAGAGTAGGCACACTCTGTTGTGATTGCCTATAACTTACTTAAAATTTTCTATTGAATTTAAAAAGTTTATTTGGTATAATTGATATACCAGATACACGCAATAATGAATGTGAATGCGGAATGTCATACCTTCTACTTGCCAAGGACAATCCAGAAAACCAGAGTCGACATTCGATCACACCTGTTGATGGCTCCGCCAATTATCTACGTGCATATTCTCTGTTATTTCTTCCATCCATGATGTTATCTTGACCCTTCGTCGATTGTGGTTGGGTTTCTGGATTTTAGTTCTTCAATTTGATCCATGGACAGCTTTGATAAGAGGCTTGACATTCTTTGACATCTCACACTACAATCGTTCAAGAGAAAATCAACTTTTTAGTGACGCATTAATTTTGATGCTAAGTATACATTTTGCAGGTATTCAAGCATCGTTGGTGTTACTAATTAATTAGCATATCATTTCACATTAATCTACATATAAATTTGAAAATTATAACAATTTTCTTATAATAAGAAATTTGCTCAATCTAACTGCAGCAGTTTTGCAACTACATTTGTTCCGATTTGTTGACTGCTTTCATTTGTGTTGCACATCTTAAATTATGATCTGTATCAACGGAAAATAATAGTTATTCGTAAGATGTATAAATGGAAATCATGATCCATTTTTATACTTTTTTTAATTAAATTCTTCCAGTACATTAATGCTTTTTGCTTTTTTAAATAGGTTCATTTATCTTTTATAACAAAAAATATCTTATCAAAGGAACTGTTTAAAATACCTTACTGAAGTAGTTGCAGAGGAAAGTGATTACGTTTTCTACGAAGAAATATGTATTTCATTTAGTCCAACAATGTGCTCATAATGGAAATGCAAATAAACTAATTATGCACTATTATATTCTGATAATAAAATTTAATTACCTGTAACAAATATGTTAATATTGAGTAAATCGGTGCAAATTGGGAAACGCCTTACTTAATAATAGAAAATCAAACCGATGTAATTTTTTCATTGTACAGGGTGAGCTATTTCCTTCGTAAAATAAATAAAACATGAAAACACATTTAAAATCAGTCATAAAATATAAAATGTATTCAGTTTGGATGCATCTGTATTTTCCTTCGTTACAGTTCTGCCAACGCGAAGAAATGGGAGATAGAGCTGGCAACGTTAAAAAGCAATAATGCTAGGTTGACTAGCGCCCTACAAGAAAGCACCGCTAACGTGGATGAATGGAAACGACAGTTGGCCAGCCTGAAGGAAGAGAATATGCGGATGAAGGCGAAGTACCAGGCAGATCTCGAGAACAGCAAAGGTAAGCGAAACGGAAAACGGATTTAGCTCTTTCCCAAACTTAAAAAAACTATACCAAGAGTAGTGACATCACAAATTTAAAATCAAAATAGAACCACTGTCAAAAATGCTGTCAATACAGTATCAATTGATACACAGAACAATCTGGATCTGACTAATTATTGACATTGCCACACAGTTTTAGGAGAAGTTGAGCCAGGTGGCAGATTACGCCATCAGATTTAAGAAAAGGTGCCTTAAAAAGAGACTATTTGTTGCTTAAATTGTTATAATAGGGTTATAAATGTAGTAAAAATACTAATGACAAATGCATAATTAGTCAAATTAGAGGGCGTCGATCGTAATGCCCCCTGGATCCTAACCGCCTACAAACGTCAAAATTTGTGGGCAGGCGTGGCCTACTATGACTTATCTCTTATCTGATTTCGTATTAGAAGGTAACTATATGATATGGAAAAAGAATTAAGTATAAAATGTATCGTATTTATCGTTTTAAGGTTGAGTGGTTTGCATTAAATACACAGATTATTTCCTATTAATAACATTTGCGCTAAACGGACAATGTTCGATGTGCAATCGCAAAAATAATTATAAGGAACTGAAATAACTGCAATTTCCTCAATAGTTAGTTAATGCAGTATGTCCACTAGTTATGTAACTCTCAAATTGACATATGGTGCATTGGAATTAGTTTATGAAACAGGGAGTTTATGAAAATTGTATCGGGATCTGCAATTATTTATATCTGCAATAAAATGTGAAAGTGATCCACGTGGATTAATAATGCTATTATTTGACATACCGTTTTAATAAGAATATTTATATTTTATTAATTTTTTTATGTAAATATAAAAACTTTTGATGTCTCCTTCATATAAAACTCTTAATCTTAGTAAATTAAATGTTAATTAAAAACTGATCTAAGCTTAGAATCTCAGGAGGGAATTATTTAATCGCCAAATACCGAATATTCGCGCACACAAAACAACGTATGTTTTGTGTAGAGCCATCATAACGTACAGTTATTTTTCTTTATTCTGCAATAAAATTATCTAATTAAACATTAGGTGAATGTAGTATAGGCTGGTAGTTCTTGCGATCGACGCTGTCTCGAAAATTAGGTATTTTATCATTATTATTTAATTATATTTGTTACTATATTACAACAGTTACTGATACATTGTCTTTGTGGTACACGTCCTTTAGATTTGAAGGCATCGGTCGCGATGCCCCCCTAGCTGCCAATGATCTAAGCTCCCCTAAAATTGTGGTTATAATTTTGTATATTAGGATGATCTCTATTGTCATATACATACGAAGCTATCTAACGTAAAAAACATTCATAGTTTTAAGAAAATGACTACTTGGGTCGAGTTGCCATCAGGTTATAAAATAAGTTGTACTATATTTCAAGAATTTATTTCTTTCGAATTACAGAAGATTATGCTTAGATGTATCACGCATATAATTAAAATACCATGTTTATATTAATAATATACCCTGAAACTCGAAACGACATAACATCTCATCGTAGACTATTAGCAAGTGTTAAATATACATACAGTAAGAAAAATTATACGTCAGTATTGTAAAACCAACTGCATAAATACACAGATCTATTATATTATACATATACACCACGAACGGTATTAGACAACAAATATTATAAATTACATGCACAGCCACACAAAAAAAAGTTATCTACTTGTCATGCGACATACATTATCCGTAGTCACAATTAAGCTATCACGTTACAGGAATTTCCTAACCTCAAAAAACAGATCAAAATAGCAAAAATTCACGAAAAAGTGCTAGGAAAAATACAAAAAAATGTTTTTCTATATTCAAATGTTCATTTATATGGTTAAGACCCCGCCGAATGTGAAGCCACGGTCAGAATTTTCTAACCTCAAAAAAACGCATCAATTAAGGTCAGATCACGAATTTTCAAAAAATAACAGATTCGCGCCAAATTTGGCATACGAGGGTTTTCGGGGTCGCTGATCACGGATCCGAGGTCAATTTTGCAAAATTCAAGATGGCGGATCCAAGATGGCCGACCAATTTTTGAAAAAATATCAGATTTGCGCCAAATTTGGTATAAGGGGTTTTTCGTGGTCGCTGATCACGAATTCGAGGTCAATTTTGCAAAATTCAAGATGGCGGCCGACCAAATTTTCAAAAAATAACACATTCGCACCAAATTTGGTATACGGGGGTTTTCGGGGTCACTGATCACGAATCCAAGATCAGATTTTTATAAAATTCGTTTTTAGAAGTTTAATCAATTACCTATGTACTTTATTACCTGAGATTAGGCAGAAAACCCGTGAATAGATCTTTTACAGAAAAAAGAACAAGATTTAAAATTAAATTAAAACATGATTGGGTACTTAGGTTATAAAACAAACAAAAATATTACAAAATGAATTTCTGACCTGGAATACGTAATCAGCGACCCCGAAATACCCGTATACCAGATTTGGTGCGAATGTGATATTTTTTGAAAATTTGGTCGGCCATCTTGAATTTTGCAAAATTGACCTCGGATCCGTGATCAGCTACCCCAAAATCGAAACCCCGCGTGTGGCTGTGTTATATTGGAACCTGACTATACCTACTGGATTAACATTTCAGAAGAAAAACAAAATATAAAAAAAACTGAAGTATTTAGTCACACCGTTGCCTAATTTGATTGAAATAACTACCTAAACAAAACAAAGGAGATTTTATCATAATATTCGTTTTTGTAACTTAGCAATAAAAAGTAAAAATTTGACTAGAAAGCATCCTTGGAACAAAAAAAATTAAGTAAATAATACGCAATTAATAAAATAGTCACAACTAATATAAATGTTTGTTCATCACCAGTAATATCATCACTTATGGTAGTTAAATTTTTCTGTAATATTCGCAATATGAATGTATGAATGTTCAACAGCTCAACATGTGAAACACAATTTTCTTTTTGTTGCTTTTGTTAATAGAGTGATTAACAATACTTTTCGATATAATTTTGGTCAATGTGAATTTTTCGCGCTTAATGAAATTTGTAATTACTTTTTTTAATATCTTTAGTATCTAAAGACAGCACTGTAGCTACCATGGATTCCACATATTTGAATATTCAAAACTGTATTCTTGATTCACACGAACTATTGAAATGATTGGTTTTACAAAAATCGTATCTATTATCACACCAGAAATATTTTATTTGTAAATTGGTTGCTAGAAAGGTTATGGTCCATAGATAGGCAATAAACTCATTAGACAATTTAATTTTATGATGAGCGCTGACAACACAAATGGACACAGATAGTCGTTCTCTTAAATCTATTAATGTACTTTGCCAGTGTGTCATTTAGTCTCAAACATTTAATAAGCTCGTTCGAAATCGTCCACAGTAATTGAATACATTTCTCTAGGAGGCGGCGATTTGGCAGACGAATTACGAAAGGAAATTCAATCCCTGCGCATTCGCGTGGAGCAACTAGAGTCCGAATTGGATAGCAAAAATAATGAAATCAAACTTTTGGCTTCCTCCAACAGAACATCTGAAATTCAGGTAAGTTTTTAGACTATGGCTAATGACATCGACAAGCTAAAAAAATCCCGACGTATCCGTGAAACTGAATTTCTATTTTCCTATCAAATTGTAACATCCAGCCTTTCGGTTTCCAAGCCTAAGTTGCTCCTTGCTTTCAGTCCCTGCAGAAGGAAAACCAGGAACTGCAGAGCACAATAAAACTGGCACAGTCGGAACTCGAAATAGCCCTCAGCGCACACGAATCTCAAAAGCAGGTGCTCCTCACGCTAAACCAGCAGCTCGCCTCGCGGATCCACGAGCTGGCGACCATCCACGACGAGATGTCCACAGCGCTGCAGACGTGAGAGCTCATCAGGGCGAGATAGCATTGTATTAACGAACGCATTTATATCGCATATGTATAGGTCTGTGTCCAAATCTCTCGCTTCTTGGGTTGTGTTGGATGTTTTTTGACTAAACTAAACAAAAAGATGTTCGTATGTACCGTTAACAAAAAATAGGTTGTAATATTCGTGCCATTTTGTTTGATGCTCAAATGTCGCGTGCCAGTTGGTCGAGGTTAATATGGGAGAAAACTGCCGAGACTCAGTGATTTTGAATATTTTATATTGCAAGGTCGACTATACACGGCTGGAAAATCCACACGGCCCATCTGTAAAGTAAAGAAATTCGTGCGATAGACAAGAATGGCTACAGTGAAGACGTTTTATAATCTGAATAGTCACCGCCCATTTCGGGTTAGGAGTGGGAGTGGCTATTCAGATTATGAAACGTCTTCAGTATAGCCATCCTTGTCTATCGCACGAATTTCTTTACTTTGTCGCTCTCATGTAAAGGCAGATGGACCATGTGGATTTTCCAACCGTGTATAGTTACGATGTATTATAGCTTTTTCGCGAACTGATTCAGAATGATAAGTTTATGTACGAGTTTGAATTTCGGACGATCCTGAACTTAGTCCGGAATCAAAGGGGGTCCACGTTCCGATTCCGAGTCAGCAAATGTTTCTTTTGTTCTCCCAAATGTAATGCAGGAGAATTAATAGCGTAGCTTATGTAACCAATGGAATTATCTATTAGTGCCTGTAGAGTATTTCAAAATAAGTGTGAATGTAAAATAATTAGAAAACATAATACGCTTTACGCTACAGAAAACCATTGTTTATAAAAATACATACAGTTATTTCTCATCATTTACATAGATGTTGCGAAAACGATTGTAAAAAATTTCGAGGGTGGTATAAAACAACGTGGGCCATCGTATTTTGTTTTTGAAAGATAGGGCGTCAAAAATAATGTTTTACAATGACATTTTAGACTTATCTTTTCCTACCGCAATGTATTTAATCGAAATTTGTGCTAAATATGTCAGTATTGTAACTTTTTGATCATCTCCTAGATGTCGCTAAGTGCTACCTCGCCAGTGGCATTTTGTGACCAATTTTATGAGGTTAGGTTTTTTACCCTGTATGCCTTGTATCACAATGTACAATTTAATTGTACACAAAAAAAAAAGGTACTCTAACAAGAGTAAAATTACACATTCTCATAAAAAACCTAACCTTAAAAAGGGTATGTCATATGTCACACCCTCTAACAGATAAGTAAAAACTAACAACACTGATATATTAAGTATGTATTAAATTTCAATGCAATATATTGTTTTTGGAAAAAGATACGGTTACAATTTCATTTAAAAAGATCGTCTTAATTCATAGAGTCCTTATATCTGAAAAACAAAAGACTACAGGCCCATCGTCTTATTTTTTGATGTCGTATTGTTCTCTAAATTTTTGCACTCATTTCCGAAGACTCTGTATTTCATAAACAGCCAGTCAAACTTAGGAATGAAGATATTAGATATTCATAAAGTACACAATCAACTGCTGTTTCAAAAATATTTATTATCAGCCATGAAATATAATGAATTTCTAACACGTTTTTTAAGCAATTAATTAATTTTCCAATATTTTGAACAATTTATTACGCAACATTTCAATATTTCTATGTATTTTTAAAGTTTTTTTAAATATAAATAGCACAAATTTAGATGTATATGTCAAACAAGAACATTGATTGCGGCAATTCGTCTATGCAGGAAATTTTATGGAACCTGCCAATATTTATATTCAAAATCACTGACTGTAATTTATTTAAGTCCCAAATTCAATTTTTATTCAACTAGTATATACAGGGTCGGAAAGTCCCCATGGTTCATCGGCCGTTACGTGAGAGCGATAAAGTTAGTCATAGAAATCCGTGCGATAGAGAAAGATGGCTATAGATGGCACAAGAAGTGGATCTTATTTGTGGAAGGGCGAAATGGGCGGTGACTATTAGACGCCTTCATTATAGCCATCTTTCTCTATCGCACGGATTTCTTGACTTTCTTTATCGCTCTCACGTAACGGCCGATGAACCATGGGGACTTTCCGACCCTGTATTACTTAAAAATAATTCGCTTTTTTAAATACGGTTCTGAATTTTTTCACTATAAGAATAAAAATAGTTTAATTTAATTCATTGCATTTATAAAATATTATTATATAATAAAACAAAAGCATAAATTGCTCTCATTAATTATTATTATAAATTCAGCTTCAGGAAATCGAGCATTGTATTTGATTTTAAAAAAATGTACATATTACACATGAATATGTATTTTTATTCATATAACTGATTGTATAATTTGATTGTTTTGCTTTTCACTGAAACGGTAATTTATCCACTATTTAAACATAATTATGTTTATTATGAACACATACTTTTTCAAACACTTACCTTTAAAAAAAAAGTGGTATTTAGCCTAGTACAATTTGTTGTGATATCTTGCTCGAATTACATATTAGCCCTAATTATTTTCCTTAGTCCACATTAACCTCGACAGTTGGCACCGATATTTTAAAATAATTTGTTTATGTATTAGGCCTGTCATACTTTGACAAAATGTCTTTTCTATTTCCATATGTTGAGAAGAGACTTGCTCATAGTGGCAGAATATTGTTTTGCATTTTCGTGCCATTAAAAAATATTTAGGTGTTCAGACACAAAAACTTTAAAAGGCACAATCTTTTTATCAAGCATTTTTATGTATAACTGCCAAACGTTACCCCCTTTTCCCAAGAAAATAGTATTCTTTATTTTACACATAGTATTGGCACACCTAGTTTTACAAGCAAGGATAAAGTATGATAAGGATCCTAGGAAAATTTAAAGTTATGTTTAATATCTTCAGCTCTCTGGATAAGACGGGGGTAACCACAAGATATTATTTATTCGTGGAATTAAGAAACTGTTCTAATGATTTATGTATTCCTTTATTTCCCTTACTCGTATTTTTAGTTTGAGCATATCAAAAAAAAACACACGTACAACAAACATATAAAAGCATAACCTGTCTGACAACTAATTTAACAAAATATGCATATTTATGACTGATTATTTAAGTTTGCTTTAGACTAGTTTTTGTAGCATTTCTTATACAAAAATCAATATTTTTTATTTTATACGAATATTAATATCGTGACAACTTTTTTACTGTTTTGTTATTGATTTTTCTATTTATATTTTTGAATATATGTATTATTGTTTTTAATACGACATAAAAAAATGAAAATGATTTAGAATGTGGAAGGTAATACTTGTAGTTTTTATTAGTTTTCTTAAGATTTATGTTGAGCAATACAGGAATTAATTTTTCATCAATTATTGTGTCAAATAAGCTAGTTACGTAAGTAGTGACACACGTTTGTGCATTTAGGGAAAGTATACTTAGGTTGGAAAACAAATAATAAAGGGGGGCCCAAAAGTAACGCAGAATTTGAAATATGCACCATTTTCATTCCAAAAAGTTGGCAGCACTGTATAGGGTCACATGTAAATACGCAGTACTATACGAATGAGCAAGGGAGGATTCATTACAAAAAAGAACGGATCAAACACCCCATCGCGTAAAACTCGCATCACACTGTCACTATTTGGATATGCATTGGTCGTCCTTGAATGAGCCAAGAATTGTCTTTGCCCCAAATTCCACAGTTTTGCTTGTCTCGTCGCTAAAGATGATTTTCTTAGCAAAATGACCGTCTATTTGTCGATTCTCCAACATCCAATCAACCAATGTCCGTGGCATTAAATGGTCGTTTGGTTTTATTTCCCGAGTTAGCTGATTCTTGAATGGATGCAGATACAGATCTTTAGTTAAAACCCACTACATTGTGTTTTTTAACTGTTTAATTGCAATGACCGACGACGCATTGAGGTTACGGGAATTCCCGCCACACTATCATTTACCGTAGCAATATTTTCTGCTGAACGGACAGTACGAGGCCAACCTATTTTTTTTTATTGTCTGGACCCAAACCTAATTTGGCAATTAATCTTTTCAGAGTTGTTTCATTCGGAACGTACCTTCTACCGAAAATTCCACGTAATTTGCGCACAGTCTCAGTTACACACTCTTCGTATTTGTAATGAATTTTCACAATCTTCAGTCGATCATCCGTTGTATAACGCTCCATTCTAACTGCAACTTTTTACACGTGACCCTGCATAATACTGCCAATTCTTCGGACATCCTTTTGGGACACCCTTTACATGATTATCACGGATATGTATTATACAAGCGCAACTATTTAAATGTCTTCCATTAAGATATCACAGATACATGTTTGATTTTTTTAAAGACCATACATTTGGGGTTATTTTCTTCAGTGAGAAATTACGTCCAAATAAATATAGATCAGTACATTTGGTAGTCTACATTTGTCTAAAATTTCTTTCTGACATCTTCATATATAGCATGTTATTAGCATTCTTGTTTATATATTTAGTTAGGCAACCAGTGAGTTAGGATTGAAAATACTAGATGGCGATTCTCCCATAACATAAAATCCTCGTCATTCTGCAGTGGATATAAAATCAAATTATTTTACTACAAACGAGGATGCCAGGGAACTTTTGAGACTGTCGCCATCTAGTGTTCTTCATCCCTGGTTATAAAAACTAATGATCTAACTGTATAAATATATGAACAAGTATAGTATGGAACGAAGACGGTGTAAAGTTCTGTTAACACTAATAAACTATTTTTAGTGCAAAAAGTGTTTCTCCATCAGCGTCGCAGCTAAGGGCTGGCCGCGGAGCGGCTGATAGGGGCGCACCCGCAGTTATTGTATTGTTACTACAAAATAAGTTTTGTTGGGCGCCAAATACAAATCTTACCCTGGGCGCTCATGACCTTAGCTGCGACACTGTTCTCCATGTAATATTTGTTTTGCAACCAAAGTGTAATGCAAAGGTGTCGTCTTACACCATTGTATGGATATTAAGAGGAACCGTACTATAAGAGTATGTTTTATGTTATTGTTATTAATATTTTATATGTGGCTTTTTAAAAGTATTATTATTTATTTTAATTTTGCGTAAATCGAAACTTATATTTAAGATATACATACATACTGTAACTATAGTTAGGTAGTGCTGGAGTTAATATCGCACTTGTATAATAATAAACCAAGGTTTGTTCAAATATAGGCGAAATACTATACATATATATGTTAATATTGTTAAATAATAAAGTTATTATTTGAAAACTAACAATGCAAGACCAAATTGTATTACATTCTTTTTTGTTTTGTAGCAATAGATTTCCAGTTTAAAAGCAACTGCACTTTTTATGTCAAACCTTAACAAAATGCTGTCGATTTTTAAACTACTGTTCCCACAAATACCATTACTTGAGTGCCGAACTGGAACAAGTTAAATTATATTTTTCAATTTGAGCTGATACTTTCAACATATTTAGTTTTTGCAAAACTAATTGTCCCCGTTGATCATTCTAACGAATTTCTTGATAATCGCGTTCAAAGTCCTTTTGGTAAGTGTACACTTGTCGTACTCTTTGTCGCAGTCTAGATCTTCCAACCCGTTCATCATGGCTGAATAAAATGGAGTGTCGGCAAGAAACTTCTGCAACAACACGTTTGACGCTAGACCGTCGATGATTTTATCCATGCTGGAGCCGCTTCCGCTACCGACATTTCTCGAAGAATTCTTCACCGTGGAGCAGAGGGTTCGTTGCATGCACGAGGTTGTGTCTATGTTTATGTCCATCAGGGCGTTGTCGAGAATTGCGAGGTAGCGCCACATTTCCGAGGAATCTGCCTCTGGAACAAAAAGTTTCTTTCAAAATCGGCTTTAAAGAATTTGTTACGATATTCAGGGTACAATAGAAACGTTGGCACGACCTTTGATGGGCGTAGCTAAAGGGGAGCAGGGGTGTGTACGGCCCATACCAGAGAGCCCGTTGCCCATTGGTAAGTCGACGGATCACCTTTTTTGCAGCTTTCAGAGGTGATTGATAATTTTTCAAATAAAAAAAAATAGGGGTATAATTCCCCCTAAACTTATGAATATTACAAAAATTATATATAAATATATTGATATATTAATAATTAAATTAAAAATATATTAATTAAATATATTTATGGACAGCAAATTAACAAATTTAAGTAATTTCTTCGCAAAAGTGCTATGATCTTTCAGCAGTTAAACATTCAACCAAACAATTTTTGATTATCAAAAATTGTTTAAGATATACTGGAAGTTCATTTTTCGAATTCCACCATCGGAATCTCTGTTTTCTTAAGAGATACAAAGCCAATCAAGCTGGTAATTGGGTTTTTATTTTTTTAATCAAACAATAATTAGTCGATAAGTGTCAGATATATCTCGTTCTTCATGTGAAAATTGCGATTTTTCTCTAACCTTTGAGATTGTTAATAATTTTAAATGATCTGCCAAAATTTCGTTAGCAATAATTGTTGGATGTTTTGTTTCCATAGCACTCTTTGTTAAAGTGAATAATTCATACAGCATCGAAAATAGAAAAGTAAGCCATGCATCATATAACATATCATAATTAGAAAAAAATTACCTAAATTTTAATATGCAGAAACCAATAACAAAAGCAAAAGTTAAATGTCCTTGAAGGTTGAAGATAATCTAAGATGTGTCGAAAAACGGGTACCTGGTATATTTCAACATGATATATAGCTGAGAGATAATTAATTTACTATTCCTTTCTGTACTGTACAATGTTTCAAAAAGTAATAATGGCTGAGGAGTTTCAACTGTCAAAAAAAGCGGTTCGACATCCTAGAAAATCTTGGAGAAACTATTTCTAAATAAAGCTTTTGAGCATCTCGACATTTTTGTTTTTTTTTTCACGGAATGCTTCATTCACGGTTAAAGTCCAAAAACCATGACAAAATTCAATGCATAAGCAACCGATGAGTAAAGAAAAATCGAAATAACCGCTAACAATAGAAATTTCTAAAGAATCTATATTTTTGTACAATAGTGAGATACAGAATTTCAAATTGTAACAAATAAATGTTCGGTCAGGGCCACTGAGCGCAGGAAAGGTCCGATCGGAGTGATTTTGGTGTCGTGTAGGTTGGACCTTTCTGCTTCAAATAAAAATGACCCAGACATTCCCAAATTACGGGAATTGCAATGGGGGGAAACATTTCTACATTTCGGCTATTTTTATAAGACTGTTGATGTTTAAGTGCATTATAAGTGAACTTAGCGTGAAAACTAAGTTTTCGGCGGTTTTTGAGTTATTTTGTGATTCTAGAAGTAGGTGGTATCTTCATCGTTTTACCGTTTTCGAGCTACATATAGGGTGTTCCTAAATAAGTGTCCCAACGGAAAATTGTAAATTCCTCTTGAAAAAAGAAACATTTTTTTCTTCTATTTTTCTCCGGGCTTTCGTTTTCGAGATACACAATGTCAAAACTTTTTTCAGATTTTTACCAATATCTTAGGAACCGTTTGAACTACAGGACTGAGCTTTTGTACACACATTACCACTATTAATAACTACTGTTGTTAAATTTCGTTAAAATTGTTAATTATTACTACCTATTTTTTGAATTACAAAAGATTTTCGAAACGTTAGCAAAATGTTTGTTTTTCTTCATAAAAAGTCATATTTCTTGAAAACGGTTGACTTTATTGGCGCTTCAGAAATTGCTGTCAAATGTCAATTTTTCCAGTGACGTAAAAGTTAGGGGGGGGTAAACCCTTGCGATACCTTAATATCGCCACCAATGGCATGTCCAATGAATTCGAGAAGGGTGCGAAAAAGTAGCTATTGAAAGTGGTAATGTGTGTACAAAAGCTCAGTCCTGTAGTTCAAACGGTTACTAAGATATTTGCAAAAAACTAAAAAAAAATTAAGGTTTTGACACCGTATATCGAAAACGAAAGCCCGGATTGAAAAATGGAAGAGGAAAATTATGTTTCTTTTTTCAAGAGGAATTTACAGTTTTCCGTTGCGACACTTATCTAGGAACACCCTGTATATTCTACAGGAACTTTTTTGAAATACATGTCATGTTAAAAATAATTTTGAGTTGAGATTATTTCCTATGCATCAAAAGTTTGCTTAACTTCGAATTCTGTATTTTTTTTTCAAATTCGCATTTATTTCAAAAGAAAGATTAATAAATTTTGAAAATCAAATAGTTATAATTGTTGAGAAGTTAGAACAAATAATAGACTTACATAATGATACTCTACTGACAAGCACTTATGTCATAGTTTTTGCATTTTCAACTTGAATCCTGTTACACTCTGTAGTCTCTAAAATTAACGTGAAATTAATTCAACGTACCTAATTTTGCAATAATTTGCTATTTACTGCACACTATTGAATAAAAGGAATATGAAAAATATTCTTAACTGAACTGAATAAAAAATAAGTTTAAAAAGTTCGTTTTTTCCTTATAATCGAAATCAATACATCTTTGCAATTCGCCGAATTTTTGTCAATAATCAAAATTATGTCAACATAGAATCATTTTCAATTTTATGTACATATTAAATTTTTCGTGTCGAAATTTTGTGTACGTTTCATCTTCGCGTATAAAATGGATTCTCGAATGTTTTTATTGGAATTCCATATTGGAACCATTCATTTCGACTCCAATTTTAAACCAGTACCTCAGAAGGAAGAGATTCTCATCAATGTTAAATTCGCTGATGTCAGCATAAATATAGATCCAGAAGAACTACCTCCCGTTAAAACTAACGGTAAGTCGAAATTCAGACAGTAGTAGTAGCGCTCACTTCTTCATGCAGGGTGGTTTCCCTTCAAATTCTGGAATTACAGTAATGTATACTTTCTTGAAAAATAAAAGTATTTACTGTGCTCCATCAACTTCTGCCTCAGGAAGCTTAGTTTCTGAGTATAGGGCATCAAAGTTTTGAAAATATTTAATGTCTTTTGTTATAATCTCATTCACGAATTTACAAACCGATTTGAATTGAATTTGATATAAATTCTAAATGATGAAAAGTCTTTTGATAAAATTTTAGTTCCATCAGTTGCAGAGCCCCTTTTTATGTAAAAAGAAAACGCTACCAATTCTCGGAAAATTAATAAAAGATAAGAAAGATAAGAAAAATATCCATTATTCTTTTTTGAGAATATACACTGTTTCCTAGCCATCTTTCTCTACAAATATCTTATCTTCATTTTTGTGGAGATGGAGGTCCTCTTCATTTTGATCGACAAATCCATTGCTACTAATTTCAGAATTTAAAGAGAAATTCTCCTGTATTTCAGATAAAGACCGCCAAGTTTTGTACAACATGGGCAAATCCTACCTATTCACCACCTCTCCCAAAGAACTTATCAACTCGCTCAAGGAACAGCTGGAAATGTCCTTGAGAGTCAATCAGAAAACCGTCGGGTGCGCTGCGTTGACATGGTCGAACGACTTCACTGAAATGGTAAAACTCTTTGAAAAGATCGGCGTAGTAAAAGCTGTAGACTACAGCGACGTTGAAGAATTGAAGGGCAAGAGTGGCCAAGTTGTCGGCAAGATGGATATTTTTTTGCGACTCTCCTGTTTGGGAAATTCTGTCGAAACGCAATATCAAGCTAATGTCGTGGGGCAGCGTAAGGAGTACATTTTCAAGAACCCTTATGACAGGCATACGTTCAAATGTGAACTGTAAGTTATTTCGGTGAAATACAGGGCCTAATGGTGGCTTTGTACTATGGGTCAGGAAACTGAAAAAGTCACCAAAATACTAAAAGTGCCCCAATTGCTATAAAATGTGGTTCCAAGGTGTTTACGGTCGCTAATTTCGAATCCGTACTCAAAATTGAGAAATTCAAAATGGCGGATCCAATATGGCATACGAAAATGCTGAAGATGTTGTGATTGTGCTTGCTCTGATTGTGCTAATACTCTGATTGTGATGCTCTGACTGTGCTGAAGATGCTCTGATTGTGCTGAAATTTGGTATTAATAGGTTTTCGGGGTCGCTGATTTCGAATCCGTACTTAAAATTTAGAAATTCAAAATGACGGGTCCAATATGGCGGACAAACATGCTAAAGATGCTCCAATTTTGCTGAAATTTGATACTGAAAGATTTTTTGGGTCGCTAATTTCGAATCAGTACTCAAAATTCAGAAATTCAAAAAGGCGGATCCAATACGATTACTATAAAATTACAAAATGAGAATATGTAACTAAAACTCCTGCAGTTCGCCTACAAAATCTGTAGTTTCCTGGGCCTACCACGAGGAGGTTGCAGTGCAATTTCCTTCAGAATTTTTTCAGATTTTTTCGCAGCGTCGTTTTTTTATTATAAATTAATAGATATTCCTATAAATTATTATTAGAAAAAAAAAATAGAAAAATCGGTTTTTTCTTCTGTAAATCCAAATAAGTAGTTGAAATATTTCTTATAATAGTGTCCTGAGGGTTTTTTTTTTCGTAATCAGCGACCCGAAAAACACCCGAGTACTGATTTCCACGAAAACTAAAAATTTTTCTAAAGTATTGGTTCGCCACATTGGATCAGCCATTTTGAATTTTACAATTGTGACTTCTGATTCGCAATCAGTTTTTCTTAAAGAACACACTCTAAGGAATCCGATGATACATCGCTCCTTTTGATAAGTAGTGGAGTTTAGGGGAGTTTTGTTTCCAAAGTATATGGTCAAAGCATAGAAATTGACGAGACACGTATTTTTTTATCGGCGGAAAAACATTGTTTTGAGGTCGAACTTTGAGGGTGAAATACACCCTCAAAGTTCGACCTCAAAACAGTTTTTTCTAAATGTCTGGGGTTTTAATCAATATTTTGAAATGAAACAAAATGGAAATTACTTATTATAAAAAAACAATATTTCGGAAGTGATTCCGTGTTTGGGGCTATATTTTTTTTTATAAAAAATTCATATTTACTCAGAGAGTTAAAAATATGATTTATGTAAACAAATTGACAAATTTAAATTGACCTGTTTCGGGTTTTTCGTTAGATTTTTTTGTTTAAGGGGTGAACAACCTCTTAATGAGAAAAATGCCTGTACGATTAGAATTAACATTGTAAAATAAAAAAAATGCTTTTTCTCTAACCATACGAATAATTTTTTTCTTTTAGCCTAAAACGGATTTAAACGGATGCAAACTACCCCTCGTGTTCACCCCCAAAAATAATATTTCCGTGATAACTCGGGTTCTAATCAATATTTTGGAATGAAACAAAATGAAAATTACTTCTTATAAAAAAATCATTGTTTCACAAGTGATTCCGTGTTAGGGGGTTGCAACCTTTATTTTTTATTTCGGAAATATTATGAGTATAAACGTTCCCCCATTTTCTCTGTTTTTCATTTTTGTGCTTTGCGCCCTATTACAATGACTTATGGAAGTAAAATGATGGATGAGATGCCATAGCACACTTTTGATTAGTTGAAATACAACAGTACCAAACCAACCACCTTGTCGATAGCACTTTTCGCTGTTGCTTTTGACTGAACATTTTTGCGCTGGTTCCGTTTTTAACATTTTCTGCTTTGTACATTTTGTTTCCTTTCACTGTCTTTGTTTTTGCCCTAATTTATTATCCGCAGAATACTAGTACTCCAGTCATTCTGTCCAAAAATAAGGCGAAAAAAAGAAAGTGAACCGGGAAAGCCAAATTTTTTATATGTGGGGAGTGCTTAGAAAAGCTTAACTTGAGATTTGAGACCAAGATTTCCTATGTGCATTTTCCGTCATCTTGGAAAAAGGGGTGAATTTTTGTTTTTGCTATAACTGGGTTCTCCGTCAAGATACAGAATTGCTGTTTAGTTGTTTTTTGTTCCTCTTTCTACGATCTACAATTTAGATTCTATAAACTTTTCAACTATTATTGTTAGTTGTTGAGATATACAACAAAANAACAAAAACAACAAAACAACAATTCTGAAAAACAACAAAACAACAATTCTGTATCTCGACGGGGAACCGAGTTATAACAAAAACAAAAATTCACCCCTTTTTCCAAGCTGGCGAAAAATGCAAAGCTTTACTAAACACCCCCCACAACAAATAAACAAATTGGCTTTCCCGGTTCACTTTCTTTTCCAAATGTACAGAATGACTGGCCTATAGAGTCGACATTCAATCACACCTGCCCATTCTCGAGGTGGATCTTGGCTATGTTTCCTGGCTTTGGCCTTTTTGGATTTCAGCGATGTCTGCTGTTGTCCTGTCCCGTGGTTGGGTTTCTGGAATTATCTTCACCTCATCGTCTGTTAGTTGTGGTTTGATTTTTGTGTGTTTCGGAGTTTTTTGGGGCTCTACAGACGATTTCTGGCTTTAGGCTCAGAATATGAATAAAATTTGAAGTTCACTTGGAGCTTCTTGTACGACAGGACATATAAGTACAAAAGACCAAGCCAAATTCTGCACTTTTGAGGGGTTTTTCCGATTTCCCAGAGATAGAGAAAGGATATCTAAGGATCGATTTCCAATATAACTTGAACAGCGAAAACAACATTTTGATTTTCTTTTTGGTCGTTTCTTTTTTGTGAAATAGCTGGATTTTGTTGTTAAGAATTTTTTTGCGCAGGTTTTTGCATAAAATTCAGTGGCATGTGATACTGTTTACAAATTAATGTTCCACACATCGTCCATTGGTTATGGCTCGATTCTTGTAGATTTCGTGCTGTTTTACTAGAAAAATCGAAACATCAGCGATTTTTTGGGCGATCTGTGCGGTCGCTCAGCTAACATCATCTAACTTTCTGAACATTCTCTGCTCTGGCTTAATATGTAGGTTTTTATTCCATTGACAGCTCCGGCGATTGGATTCGAAACATTGGCGAATTTTTTTTTTTGCATCAGGTTCGATGGTCTTGAACATGTACTGCTTTGCTTAAATGGTTTTGTAGATTCTCTCGAGCTCTACGTGTAATTTCTGGCTTTGGATTCAAAATATAGGAAAAATTTGATATTTGCTTGATCTAAAATGGTCTATTCTTCCTCAGCCAATGAATCATATCACTTAATTTAACGATCTCTAGGATATCCGGAACGGAGGTCCTTCCCGTGATGAACCTACTGAATCCGGTAACCAGAGTCGAAAACACGTCCCGCGAGGTTGCCCACTGCGCTTCCTGGACGGAGATATTCGGCATGGGCGAAGCACCCTCGAAGGCCAGCTACTCCCCGTTTGTCGGCAGCGAATTGCAGCAGGGAGGGCTGATCCCGCTGACGGAGATCCTGCAACGCAACAGCGTAGAAACCATCTCTATCGTTTTCCGACCGGAAGAAAATAAGTTTTACGACTTGCTGAACGTGTTCAACACGGAAGTGAGCACCACTCGCGACACGACTAAGCTTACTTTCACTAAGGAGAAGGAGAAGCCGGCGGTGGGGGCGTCTGGCGTACAGCAGCCAGAGGAAACCGCCAAAGTAGATGATCCGCTTGAATTAACGGCGGATAAGATTAATAAGAAACTGTGCAAGAACAAGGATTGTCCTGCTGCCAAGAAGTTCAAGGAGTACGGTATTGGACCACTGGCCACCGGGAAAGGTCAGGTTTAAAGTACTTCATTCTTAATAATGTCCTTTTTTATCTTATCGATATATCTCGAAAAGAAATCCAACAATCATATATTTAAAATTACGAATCGATAGGTTTTTTTAATAACCACAACCTTCTCATTTAATTTTTTTCGATTGAAGTTCAAGTTTTATTTTCATTAACGAAAAACCGATTTTTTTTTACTTTTATGAAGTTTTTAGGTTAACTTCGCAGTTTATGCGCCACAGGAAAAATACACTGATTTTCTTAGAATTTTTTTCCTATATGAATATTTTTTATTAACTTATCAACTTATCCTGTTGCTGGATTTTTATCAGAATGGATATTTTAAATAAATATCTCGCCCACATTTTTTTGTATCTCAAATAATAACAGGGTTTTTACATTTTGCCTGGACCGCCCATGTGTATTTATAGTCCAGTTGGTAGAGGTTCGGCGTATGTCAAACCTTGATAACCCGGAAATAACTACACAGGTCTACTTTAAATGATGAGTACAATAACAGGCTAATTTGCTAATAAAGTATTTTATCAGGAAAAAAAGTTACTAACAATTTAATCGTGAAAAAAATTTTTTTTAGTAGTTTTCTTTAAATAACTCAGCGGGATGACTTTGTACGAAAAAATACTTAGGACATGATTTTGTTCGTAATAAAAATAGCTACAAAATGGCGGTGGTCCGATTACGAAATTTGCAATAACAAAGCCGTGAGATTGAAAAAACGGTATAAAACGCCAATTTTTTTAAGTTGCTGTAAAAATGTCAATTATAAACAAAAAGTGATAAAACTTTCGAAAACTATAGTTCAATATATATACAATAATGACGCTAAAGCCGAAAATCAGGAGAGCAAAACTTTTTGTTCTATAAGGTGTTATACATTCATCGGCATCTGAAACTCGAAACTTTGCCAAATTTGTTCGAAGCTTTGCTGACACTTGAAATTTGGTACACACATAGTGTAAATATGCAGAAACCAAAAGCAATTTGCAAAATTCAAGTATCTTCATTTTTGCAGTTTTGGTAAGGTTTTATACGTCACCCTAGTTTTATACGTCACCGTTTTTTTAATTTTTGGACGTATATTTATGTATATTTATAAAATATTCCATTACGGTAGATTAGCCAGCATAATTACCTACAATTTAAAAAAATATATATTTTCATCGTTTAGATCCTAAGCTACTTAACATTTTGCGCCTGTTAGCCGTAGTCGTACATTATTCAACATATTAACATAAAACAAAATCGTACGTGTGGGGTAAACCTTTAACTTTAAGTAAACAATTGTTTAAATTTACTGTTGCATATTTCTAATAGTATACAAGCGCCGAAGAGCGGAGCTCGCGCTCGAAAATGAAAAGTTAAAGGTTTACCCCACACGTACGATTTTGTTTTATGTTAATATGTTGAATAATGTACGACTACGGCTAACAGGCGCAAAATGTTAAGTAGCTTAGGATCTAAACGATGAAAATATATATTTTTTTAAATTGTAGGTAATTATGCTGGCTAATCTACCGTAATGGAATATTTTATAAATATACATAAATATACGTCCAAAAATTAAAAAAACGGTGACGTATAAAACTAGGGTGACGTATAAAACCTTACCAAAACTGCAAAAATGAAGATACTTGAATTTTGCAAATTGCTTTTGGTTTCTGCATATTTACACTATGTGTGTACCAAATTTCAAGTGTCAGCAAAGCTTCGAACAAATTTGGCAAAGTTTCGAGTTTCAGATGCCGATGAATGTATAACACCTTATAGAACAAAAAGTTTTGCTCTCCTGATTTTCGGCTTTAGCGTCATTATTGTATATATATTGAACTATAGTTTTCGAAAGTTTTATCACTTTTTGTTTATAATTGACATTTTTACAGCAACTTAAAAAAATTGGCGTTTTATACCGTTTTTTCAATCTCACGGCTTTGTTATTGCAAATTTCGTAATCGGACCACCGCCATTTTGTAGCTATTTTTATTACGAACAAAATCATGTCCTAAGCATTTTTCGTACAAAGTCATCCCGCTGAGTTATTTAAAGAAAACTACTAAAAAAAATTTTTTTCACGATTAAATTGTTAATAACTTTTTTTCCTGATAAAATACTTTGTCAGCAAATTAACCTGTTATTGTACTCATCATTTAAAGTAGATCTGTGTAGTTATTTCCGAGTTATCAAGAAAATGTCACCAACAGTAACTTTTCGGCCTCTGCCGACTGGAGTATTACAACAAAGTATTTTCAGGGCTAGGTACTCTCTACGGAGACATAGAATCGCCTATTGAATACGGCCTCAGTCACACCTACGGCACAATGAGCAAGTACGGCCCGTTCGGTATCTATTCAAGGCCTAAACGTCCAGATCAACCCTTCATTCCTTCAAAGAATGCTCAAGAAACCACATTACCCCCAGAACCGAATAAGAAATGCTGTAAATGCTGCGGTAGGCTGAGAGGAGGCGGACCTTGGCCAGATCAGTCGTTCGTTATTATTGAAAATTCTCCTAAAGCTGAGAAGAATTTTAAGAAATTTGGAAGGGGCGAAATACATAATAGAAGTTGCTCAAATTCCAAACAGAGATGGAGCGATATACTCAGATTAAAAGGCGGTGGCCCTTTAGACGTAAACAACTCCGGCCAGCTAAAATCGCCTATAAAGGAGTGCAAAGCGGTTATGGACAAATTTGACGAGATCCTGGCCGCATACAAGAGGGCCCTAGGGCCTTGCGGGCAAGCGACGTGTCCTAACGCTCCTAGTATGGCACAGGAAAAATGCAAGAGTGTATGCGGAAAGGGGGAAACCATCCCGCGCGGAAAGGGGGAAAGCATCCCGCGCAATAAGAATGGTGGCGTCCTCTGCGAAACCCCCTGCGATAATAAGGAAGGCTATACAGCGGCAGCTTGTAGAGATCCGAAGTGCGCTTATGCCAAATATAAACTAGGTATTAATTTTTGTATTAATTTTAGCACAATTCAACACGAATGTTCGTGAATTTTACGAGTGTACAGGCTGGTCCATTTCGAAGGGATTTCAGGGTATCTACTAAAGATATGATAAATCTGACACCACGTTTTCGAGCTCGATTTTCATGGCAAACTCAACTGTCAAATCAGAAATTTGCTATCTTCATTTGTTTCTGAGTTACAGGGCGTTTCTCGTTATTGTGACACTTTTGAACATGTCTGTATCTCAGCTGTTAAATAAGTTAGAGTTAAAGTGAAAACTGCTCAAGACTAATTCTTTGGCGTAGAATTGAACGCCGGTATTAGATTTTTAGTAGATCTTAAGATTTCGGAGTTATGACCCAAGTTTCTATTTTTTTAAATGGAAATCGTAGCTAACCATGGCCTAAAAAAATAGAGATTTTTTTCCGCTTTTCAGCAATATATCACATGCTATAGTTATTTTTACAAACACGGGAGATACAGGGTGTTTTATATATAAATTATATTTTTTTTCCATTTTAATATGACCGGCTATGAAAATACAGATAAAACTATAATTTTTACTTTTACAAAAGTCATATCTGTTGTAAAAATATGACATTTATTTTAAATGCACAACATATACTCGTGTGATAATATAATACTAACGAAATTTTAGGAGATAGGTGGATAGGAACAAACGGACCGATCAGATGGCCAGCTAGGTTACCTGATTTGAGTCCGTTGGACTTTTTCCTTTGAGGTTTTCTAAAAGACATTATATTTAAAATTCCTTTTAATAATATTTCAAATACCTATACATTTAATGAATGCTACCCGAAGCGTTGCCAGAAGATGCGTGAAATGTGTGACAGTTGAGGGACGGCAATTTGAACATTTAGCTATCATTTTTGAAAGTTTTTATTGATGTAGGTACTTACTATTGTTTAATTTACGTTTAATATTGTAACTTCAGTTGAAGTGGAATAAAAATTTGAAAACTCTGTCTTTTCTTATCTGTAATATATATTTTAAATAAACGTCATATTTTTACAACAGATATGAGTTTTGTAAAAGTAAGAATTATAGTTTTGTATGTATTTTCATAGCCAGCCATATTAAAATGTAAAAAAGGATCGAATTTATATATAAAACACCCCGTATCTTCTGTGTTTGGAAAAATAACTATAGCATGTGGTATATTGCTGAAAAGCAAAAAAAAATCTCCATTTTTTTAGGTCATAACCAGCTACGATTTCCATTTAAAAAATTATAACTTTGGGTCATAACTCCGGAATCTTAAGACCTACTAAAAATCTAATACCGGCATTCAATTCTACGCCAAAGAATTAGTCTTGAGCAGTTTTCACTTTAACTCTAACTTATTTAACAGCTGAGATACAGACATGTTCAAAAGTGTCACAATAACGAGAAACGCCCTGTAACTCAGAAACAAATGAAGATAGCAAATTTCTGATTTGACAGTCGAGTTTGCCATGAAAATCGAGCTCGAGAACGTGGTGTCAGATTTATCATATCTTTAGTAGTTTCTGAGATACCCTGAAATCCCATCGAAAATGGACCAGCCTGTACAGTGCTGGTAATTACTCGATACATACCTTGCTATAATGAGAAAGAAATAAATGTTTAATGCTCGCGCCGTTTCAGTAGTTAAAACTAAACGACGTGGCTTATTGTTGTAGATGTTTACTTCTTTATTTAAATGTCTAACAACCATAGTTCTCTTATTGTCGTATACATTGTTCTTTGCACTGTATTCAGCACTGTACCTACATATATACATATGAATATTTGCTAAAACAGCATTTTCCCGAATATTATCTAAAATCTTTGGAAATATTTGTAGCTCCTGTGGCAGATAAATAATTGAGCAATATCTGAGATGATTGCCACAGCATCAGTTTAAACTTCTCGATATTTCGAAAGTAGACCAGGGTCGATAATTTTTGAAACCAAAAAAAATTATAGTAGTATGAAACCCATTGGAAAAGAAAGAGAATATAACAGAAATGAAAGGAAAAATAATTTACGGGAGATCTGAGGTCGGGAAGGGGTAGGGGGTGAGTTTTTAAGGGTAAAAAACGGTTTCCCTTGATTTCCAGAAAAACTACAAGTCTTATGGAAAAAAGTTAAATGGCAAAGTTGTAGGTAATAAAAAGATCTACAACTTTTGTATTTACACTTTTTTCACATAACCTCAAAATTTATGTGAAAAATTCAAATAACCAAGTTTTTGGTTTTTTATTTTTATCTTTTACAAACAAATTTTTTTTTTCACGAAATTTGGTGAAAACTTACCTATTTATGTCCCAAACACGCTGTAATTTTTTTGATTTGAAATATTTATTTTTTCACCTTATTTTTACTTAATATCGAAAAAGCACCCTAATTTTCAATCGAAAATTCTCACGTCAAAATATCTGCTTTTTTAAAAACGTCGGTGGGCTTTTTCTTCGTTGAAATCTCTACTTTCTGATGGTGTAAAAAAATATATACATTACTATGGTAAGTTTTCTCAGGAAATGCAAAGAAACGAACTAGAATCCGAAAATTTTTTTCTAATCATTATGTACAATTTTGAGCTATTTATTAAAATTTACACTTTAATTACTCGAAAAACGTAAGATTCCATGTTACATTGATAAACAAAAAAATTACAAGTCGAAATATACTATTATAATTAACAACCAAATAAGTTAATAAAGTTAATATTTAATAAGACATCTACAATATTTTGAGAAAGTTGTAGAATCTTCTTTCGTTTCTTTGCATTTCCTGAGAAAACTTACCATAGTAATGTATATTTTTTTTACACCATCAGAAAGTAGAGATTTCAACGAAGAAAAAGCCCACCGACGTTTTTAAAAAAGCAGATATTTTGACGTGAGAATTTTCGATTGAAAATTAGGGTGCTTTTTCGATATTAAGTAAAAATAAGGTGAAAAAATAAATATTTCAAATCAAAAAAATTACAGCGTGTTTGGGACATAAATAGGTAAGTTTTCACCAAATTTCGTGAAAAAAAAAATTTTTTTGTAAGAAATAAAAATAAAAAACCAAAAACTTGGTTATTTGAATTTTTCACATAAATTTTGAGGTTATGTGAAAAAAGTGTAAATACAAAAGTTGTAGATCTTTTTATTACCTACAACTTTGCCATTTAACTTTTTTCCATAAGACTTGTAGTTTTTCCGGAAATCAAGGGAAACCGTTTTTTACCCTTAAAAACTCACCCCCTTCCCCTTCCCGACCTCAGATCGCCCGTAAATTATTTTTCTTTTCATTTCTGTTATATTCTCTTCCTTTTCCAATGGGTTTCATCCTACTATAATTTTTTTTCATTTTTTACTATTTTTGAAGGCTTAAGCACTGGTCTAAAGACGTACCACCGCTCTGTTTTTCACAAGTCAGGATGAGAATTTTAGAGGCAAATAACTCAAAACTGACACCGGGACAACCAGCTCGAAAATTGCTTAAACAATGTTTAGAAAAATAACCATTTGTAAACGAACCTATCCCAATTATTTGGGCCCTTTGATTTCAGCTGGACTCTTGCCTAGACGAATGTTTGGCCTTTTCATGAAAATCCATTAGTGAATTTATATTTGGGTAATTATTTTCAAATCTTCAAAAAATGTTGCCTACCCTTCTATTTCTGATGATGCAGAATCTGGAATTATTTTCGTGCCGTTGATCCGAGTTTACCAGAAGAAAATTTCAAAGTCGAATCATCGCCGTTTACAATACTGTACAGCCTACATTCATTTTAAAGATGTACCTAATCATACCTAAGAGACACCAAAAAGATATTTAAATATAATTTCCTTATTTAAATAGTAGTTTAATATAGTCGCGTATTACAAATGGCGATATTGTTCTGATTGATACTTAACCTAACCTCGCTAATGTTATATAAATGGAATGGATGTATCCGCACAAACTAATCACACATGTTTTCAGATTTAGTAGATGATGACGCTGCTATAGAACTCCAATTTCTACCTCCGGCTGTATCGGGTAAGTGCGGCCATCCAAAATGTCCATACCCTCTCCAGCCAAACCTGCCGCCCATCCATTGGGACTGCCCCGAGCCCCTTCCAAAAGGCATCTGCAAGAACCCAAATTGTCCCCTTCAGCCGCCCGATTTGAAAAAATTAAAGTGTCCCGCGCCGAAACCGGGACCTTGCGGCAGTTCAGACTGCCCGTACGCCTTGCCTCCTCCTTGCGATTTGCCCACCTGCCCCTTTAGGCCAAAACCCACGTGTCCCTTCCTTGAAAAAGAACAGAAAGTGTCATGCTACCAACCGGAACAACAAGAAGAAGAAGAGTACGTGTGCGAAAATCCCGAATGTCCTTTCGCGAATGAAAAAATTAATCCATCGGAAAGTTTCGATATGAAGGGACAATTTATCGATTGCGCCAATCCACAGTGTCCCTTCGCGACCAAAGGTAAACCCTGTAGACCTAAAGCTAAGTCTGATAAAATGAACATATGCGGTAATCCGTCCTGTCCATTCGCCAATGTGAGAAAAATGAAGCTGTGCGGTAACCCCTCCTGCCCGTACGCTCCCAAACCAAAGAAACAGAGTTACTCGTGCGGCGACCCACAGTGCCCTTTCGCAGAAATGACAAACGGAACCAGTAAGCCGAAAAAAAGCGATGTCTGCGATGACCCAAACTGTCCCTTCGCCGGCATGAACCACCCTTTATCAAAACCCCCCAAAAACAAATCGAATGAAACTGAGAATTGTGATAATCCCGATTGTCCCTTCAACGAAGAAAAGTGCTCCAAAACATCAGCGGATTGCAACGAGAGCCAGAGTGTATGCGAGAATCCAGAGTGCCCTTTTGCCGAAAAAGAACAACCTCCGGTGTGCGACGATCCTCTGTGCCCTTACATGCAACCCTTGCCTTCTTGCGGGATCCCAGGGTGCCCCTACGAACCGATACCCGTGATTCCTTGTCCGGGTCCGAAAAAACAAAGCATCGTCAAACAACCCGCTTCTTCTCAAGACCCAGAAACGATCGTAATGGTCGAAACCGAAATTGTGCAAGTATCGGTAGAAAAGGGAGAGAACAACGAGGTATGTGGAGATAACGGAGGTGGAAAAGTGGAACAGATTGAAATGGAGAAGAATGGCAAAAAGAAAAAGAAGAAACGCAGCAAATTCGTCTACACCATGGGGAACCAGTACCCGGGTGTCAAAGTGGGACACAAAGAATGCGTCACACCAATGTTTAAAGTACCACCAAAAATGGGATGGTTGTGGAACATTCCAATGGAAGTAATGAATTTAAAGGTAACAATACTCAACTTCATATTTAATTAGTAAATTAACTGATTACACATCATTGGAGGCGTAGTAGCTCCTGACTTCCATAAGGTAAGGCGGAAAAAAATAGATACAAAGTATTGAACAAATTAATCAAATATCATTGGGTAGTTTTATTTTAAGTACTATTGAAATATAGAGAAAATGTGCTAAACAGTACACAGCCCCACAAAAAAAAAAGTATCGGATCTGGTATTCAGACCCATGTATTTCTATGTATTTTTTCCGCTGAATCCGAATCTGCCTTCAGATTTGGCCCAACGGGTCTGAGTTTTCGGGGAAATCCAAAAAACAGGTTAAAATTCTGTTAAATTTAAACTGTTACAGTCTTTTAAAAAACACACACGAAACAATACGTGGGTAACAACATTTTAAACCACACATAAACAATTTACGTTTAATAAGAAAAAAAAGCGGTAAATAGCTATTATTTGGTTGCTGGCGGACTAAACAGAGCCCAAACTGCATAGTCGCTACTCCCATTCCGTCTTTCATTGCTGCGCAACTGTAAACATGACCACCGTTGTAAACACTTTACAGGTTTAGGGGCGAGAAACCCTACGTGGGTTATACGAGTATATGAATATTAATATAAAGAAAACTCCATGGTCGCCCGAAGGGGGGCAGGTGCCCCCCCCCCCCTGAGATGTAACCTTCACATTTTCAAGGTTGAGTAAAAATATTTGATCATAAGAAAATATAATTAATGTAATTAGCTGCTTATAACAGAAAAATTTAAATAAAAAAATCTTATTGACGCATTTTTTATTTGATCACTTTTCTTTTTATAAAACTGTTTAATTTATTAGTTTTATGTCTCATGCGTCGTTTGCAACTGACAACAAAATAAGAAGTGGATCTTATTTGTGGAAGGGCGAAATGGGCGGTGACTATTAGACGCCTTCATTATAGCCATCTTTCTCTATGGCATGGATTTCTATGACTTACTTTATCGCTCTCAAGTAACGGCCGATAAACCATGGGGACTTTCCGACCCTGTATATAAATGCTGAACAATTGCTATCTAAAAACAATGGCTATCGAAGAATAAGCATTATAATTCTGAATATTAGTAAAATTAGTGGATCAAATAGAGTTATTTATTTACAAAATGTTTTAGTTTAGACGTAATCCTGTGATTATTGTTAAATTTATTTAGTTTTTGTGCTTTAAAACAATGTGATTTTAGTTTTTGATATATTGTTTAATACACTTTATTTCAGTAGTAACTCGTTTTGTATGTCTCCTATATTTATAAAGAGTTACCCTAGAAGTTTTAGACAGGCAGTGTACGGAAAATGCTTGAAAAAATGGAAACGAAATGTAAAATGGTTTTTCCATCTATGCGCTAAGCCAACAAAATAATGACACTTAAATTTGGTACTTGACAAAATAACAAGTTTGGTTTTCTCTTTTTAGTTCACAGTATATTGCAGTCGTATTCCATAGGATCCTACGATTTTAATGTTACACCTATTTTTCTAAGGTTTAACGTGAAAAAAAAAAATTGTGAATATTAATTACATTATATATATTAAATATTACAAATTTTATAAGCTGCGCTTACTGTTTAAAATTTAAAGCAAAACTGCAATTTTCGAAAAGATTAATAATACATTAATTTAAAATTTAAGTAAAAAAATAGATCTTTTTTTAGTTCGGAACTAAACTTCTGCAAAAAATTAAGGGAGCAAAAAAATTTTTCGAATTTTTAGTGATTTTTCAGAATGCTGTATCTCAGTTAAAAATGATCGTATCAAGGTTTTAAAAAAAGCATTTTAAAGCGCCGAATGTCTAGTTTCCAGATTTCTTAGTTCAAAATTTTTAGGAGCGATAGTCATCGCGAAATTCTAAGAANATTCATACATCTTTCTATCATCCACCTGTACCACCTATAAAACCCACCCATCCACCCATATATCCATCTATTTTTTGTGCTGAGAGATGAGATAACAGCCTAGAAGATTGAGAATGCAATAAAACTTGTAGAATACTCTACTTTCCAAACAAAAGAAAACGATATCTACAAATCATTCTTATTTTTGTTGCTATAACGTGTTCTCTTTTCTTCAAAGGATCTATGCAAAGGGTTACGCTTTCGTTTAGTCCTTGTATTTTTTGTTTTTCTTTTTAAGAACCAACATAAATCGGCCATCATGTTATGATCCCATCTTCCTTGATATCGCTATTCTATAACCTTCATATCCTGATGAGATCGTTCGCCTTGTTCTTCGCTATGATCTCTACGATTTTCAGGAAACCAATCCAGATGTGAATGAAGGAAGTGCAACTTGTAGTCCATCAAACATCCCAGGTCTTGGAAGTCTTTTATCAGTTTTAATACAATTTCTTCGTATTTAGGACTCTTGTCGTTTCATAAAAAATTTGTCGCTACAACTTTGAAACTAGTCTAAGCACTCTTCTCAACGCTACTCATTGTAGTGAAAAATGTTGCATCCCTGAACAATGTCCGAATCTGAAGTCCATCAAATACACCTTTCAATTTCGCCTCAAAAATATTCGGAAATTTTCGCCCTTTATATATGTAGGGCGAAAACTTGTTGGTTGTTAAAAAGAGAAAAAGAAATAAAACGAATAAACGAAAACGTAATCCTTTGCATAGATCTTTTGAAGAAAAGAGAATACGTTATAGCAATAAAAATAAGAATGATTTATAGATATCGTTTTCTTTTGTTTAGAAAGTAGAGTATTCTACAAGTCTTATTGCATTCTCAATCTTCTAGGCTGTTATCTTATCTCTCAGCACAAAAAATATATGGATGGGTGGGTTTTATAGGTGGTACAGATGGATGAATAAATATGTGTATTCATGCATGAACGACTGGATAGAAAGATGTAACACGAATTATGCCATGAAAATGGCGTTTTTGATCTATTTTCTGTTTTTGAATGAAATTGGACCAGCTTGTCTGACTCTATGATGATAAATTCCAACTAAACGAGTGAAAAATCATACGTCTAGTGAGCTGGTAGAATAATTTGATTTTTTATAACTTTCGTCGATCGTAAATGACGTTTTTTGTGAATTTTAACCTGTTTTTTGAATTTTCCCGAAAACTCGGACCCGTTGGGCCAAATCTGAAGGCAGATTCAGATTCAGCGGAAAAAATACATGGAAATACATGGGTCTGAATACCAGATCCGATATTTTTTTTTTGTGGGGCTGTGTTATTTTTCTAGTCCATTCTCTTGCTTTTGTCTGAAATAAGCTTTTCAATTAGGTACTTTCTTATTAGTTTGGTATTTATCGCACCACTGATTTTTAATAAACAGCATTGCAAGTGCTGTTAGTCTGCCTTTAGATTCTAATTTAAACTTTTACAGTCTTTTAAAATACACACACGAAACAATACGTAGGTATCAACATTTTACACCACACATAAACAAATTACGTTTAATAAGAAAAAAAAGCGGTAAATAGCTATTATTTGGTTGCTGGCGGACTAAACAGAGCCCAAACTGCATAGTCGCTACTCCCATTCCGTCTTTCATTGCTGCGCAACTGTATACATGACCACCGTTGTAAACACTTTACAGATTTAGGGGCGAGAAACCCTACGTGGGTTATACGAGTATATGAATATTAATATAAAGAAAACTCCATGGTCGCCCGAAGGGGGGCAGGTGCCCCCCCTCCCTGAGATGTAACCTTCACATTTTCAAGGTTGAGTAAAAATATTTGATCATAAGAAAATATAATTAATGTAATTAGCTGCTTATAACAGAAAAATTTAAATAAAAAAATCTTATTGACGCATATTTTATTTGATCACTTTTCTTTTTTAAAACTGTTTAATTTATTAGTTTTATGTCTCATGCGTCTTTTGCATCTGACAACAAAATAAGAAGTGGATCTTATTTGTGGAAGGGCGAAATGGGCGGTGACTATTAGACGCCTTCATTATAGCCATCTTTCTCTATGGCATGGATTTCTATGACTTACTTTATCGCTCTCAAGTAACGGCCGATAAACCATGGGGACTTTCCGACCCTGTATATAAATGCTGAACAATTGCTNAAAAAAGTGACTTTTTGACTTGTTTTGCTAAGTCGACCGCATCTTTGCTAATATCGATGGAGAGTCTAATGCTTGTACGAATTTTTACACCTCGATGTACCCCCAAAAGCTCCGTAAATGGGCAGATCGATCTATCGAACGGTTTTTCCGGACCGCATAATTAAAATTTCAGATTTTTTCAAATATTATTTTTTTTTTCAAATTCAATGAGCAAAAAATGCCCAGTTGTGAAAGAATTGGAAAAAAATCAAATTTTTCATTTTTCGAACGTTACAGGGTGCTGAGAAATGTAAATTTTCCTCCTTTAAATTTTTCTGAAATTTTGATTAAGCGGTCCGGAAAAACCGTTAGATAGATCGATCTGCCCATTTACGAAGCTTTTGGGGGTACATAGAGGTGTAAAAATTCGTACAAGCATTAAACTCTCCATCGATATTAGCAAAGATGCGGTCGACTTATCAAAACAACTCAAAAAGTCACTTTTTTCAAGTTAATGTCGAGGATGAAAGAAAATTTTTTTCTTCCAAGAACGCTACATAGCCTTGTAGGACATTTATTCGAGATTTCGAAACTGCCCGTCAATTTTCTGTCTGATCATTAATTGCTGAGATATCGATGGTTAAAGCCAAAAGGATGCTTTTGTATTCGTAGTCAAATATCTCCGGGTCAAATTAACGTAGAGAAAAATTAAAAAAAAGAAATTAAAGCTGAATGAACAGGCTATCAAGTCCATATCATGATTTTTGTGTAAAAAAAATTCCAAGCCCGTGGACCGAGAAAAAAAAAACGCAAAAAATTGAAAAAAAATTTTTTAGTCGTATTTCTTAGAATTTCGCTTTCTGTCACTCCTAAAAATTTTTAGCTAAGCAATCTGGAAACTAGACATTTGGCGCTTTAAAATGCTTTTTTAAAACCTTGATACGATCATTTTTAACTGAGATACAGCATTCTGAAAAATCACTAAAAATTCGACAAATTTTTTTGCTCCCTTAATTTTTTGCAGAAGTTTATTCTAACAAGGCCTCGACGCATTCCGCTGTTCTCTCAATATTCCTTTTTTTACGACGCAATCCGATGGCGCTACTAAAATTACTAAAAGCCTAACCGAACTGCTGACACTGTTATGGAATGCTTTTAGCCAAGAAGGGGTTGGAAGCCGGGCGCGATCCAAAAGAGTATAGCGGCCAAAATCAGGGCACACAGAGAAGCCAAAGGGTTGGGCATCCTGAGATTACCGAAGTTCAAAAAGAACAAAGGTGGTATCGGCTACGATGACGATGGCGACGACGTGGTCGTCACCCCGAAGCCCACGCTGCAGATCCAGAAGAAGGACGGCGCCTACTGGATCACCATGAACCCGCTCAAAGACCCCAAGACGCTGGTGGACAACGAGAACCCCTACATGGAATGCACGCCCATGCAATTCAAGATCACAAAGAATAAGAAGAAGAAGGACGGTACAGGTGAATACACCTACTAGTAGTACTAAAACTTAAAAATATTGCGTAACACTGTATCTTTATTATTTTTTAAGATGACGACTCCAGGCTGTGCTACTGCGATGAGGGCGATGACGAATCGTCGTCCAGCTCCGATAGCGAGCTAGACATAGAATTCACTCCGCCCGCGGGCATCATACACCCCGAAAGGTTCAAGAAAAAAAAGAACATAGTACACTGCGAAGCGCAGTACGACACTAAAGACTTCGAGCCGGAAAAACCGGAAGCGAAGGGAAAGAAAGGCAAGGGTGGAAAAGGGGATAAAAAGAAGGGTGATAAAGGTAGTGGCAAAGGTGGTGATGAAGGTAGTGGCAAAGGTGGTGATAAAGGTGGTGGCAAAGGTGGTGGTAAGAAAGGGAAGAAATAGTACAACGTGGTGAATAGGGAAATTATTTAAGTGTATATTTTTCATAAAAACCTTTCTGACTGTACAGTTTGTTTTAAAAAAGTGTGGAATTAAATCGTTGTATGCAACTTAAAATGTAGTTTCAATTATCCCAAATTGGTTTATTTACTTTTAGAAGTATTGTATAATATTTCCGATATCAATTGAAGAACCAACAGATTGATAGTATGTACCAGGTTCGGTCGCTGACGCAGCAACTCGGCATTGAAATATCTGAAAAACTTGTTGCCATATTTATTTAGCCATACCCATAAACAGGTCTGGTCGAACTAAACGTGGAGGCGATAAAAATGTATATGCTCAGTTGAAGAATTCGAGCGCGGGCAAAGGAAAACGATCACAGTTGCATTGGGCTACTGGGCAATAAATCGCAGCAGGTGACAAGTGGTTGATAAATTGCCCAGCAGTGCAGTGCAGCAATGCGGAATTTGGTGTGATTCAGGTAATTTTAGTTTATTACAGGCACCTTCTATCAATCATTCATATTACAATTGCGAAAGGGAGAAATAAGAGGGATATTTTGTTTACTAATATTATCACAACATGGCATTTTGGAGACCTTTTGAAACGGAACAAAACGAAATTTACCACCAATACAATAAAATTGTTTGAGGACATGAATAATTAAAATATGTTGTTGGCCAAATGAACATACAGGGTGTCCGGTAACTACGGGGAAAAAATAAAGAGTTATATAGAGCAGGTCAAACGAGTGCTAGTACTTCATATAAACTTTTTACCTAGGTGCCATGGTTGAGAGGTTATTGTCACTCAAAGAAGTTGAAAAATGAATATTGCCCATAATTTCTACCCATAAAATATGTTGTTGGCCAAATGAACATAAAATAGAAATTTTCTACACATTATATACAAATTATTATAATATTTTACCTTTAGCGGAAAATTTTTTAAGGACGCCTAAGAAATTCATTAAATTTTATTACCAGACGTTTTTTTAAATGTTCAACTGACTTCGGAAAGACTATAACTACAAAATTAAATAGAAGTTTACATTTTCAAAATCCTTTGAGCGAATGTACCAATTTACACAGGTTTAGTTTACGTATGTGCATGTATTTTGGTTTTTGTCTGTTATACAGAGTGTTACAAAAAAGTACTCGTCATAATTATAGTAAAAAAAAAAGTTTTGATAATATCTGTTATGTTTTGAGATATTTTATTATAGCCCAGAGAACAAAGAGGAAAATAGGGTAAAACCTCCGAATACTTTATTCGAATAGATCCGATTTTTATGAAAATTTGAAATTAAGCTTATTTCACCCTGTAGATGAAAAGTTATATTTGCTTGATATGCGCTTCTTATTTTTAGGGGATGAAAACCACCCCTTATGAAAAAAACTGAATAAATATAAAAATAGGTGTTTTATAGACTAAAATTTATTATTATTTTTATAAAGTTTTAACCCTTAAAACCACCCTTAATGAAAAAAATATAAAATTAATAGTTTCTTTGACCTTAAAATATTTTTACAGCGCATATATTATAGATAGAAATCTTTTCAGTAGTTTATGGTGTTATAAATAATTTATTACAATATTTCAACACTTAAAAAACTACCCCTAATAACAAAATATTAAATAAAAAAATTGTTTTAACTATTTGAAATGATTTGATATTGATCGTACACAGGATAAATGAAATGCTTTTACCTGTTTATAATACAATTTATAATTTATCGCATTGTTTTAACCCTTAAAAACCACCCCAAAGACAAAATATAACAATCCAATAAACAATGCAAAATAAAAAAAAATTTCGTAATATGTAACTTTCTCGCAAATTTATGCACTATTCAAAATAATTATTTCTCAATATTTTTTTCATGCAAAAAGTCATAATTTCAAATTTTTCTGTACCTATATGAATGCTCCAAGTTCTGTATAACTAAAATATTGATATGCTCCGAAAATTGAAGCAGTAAGGTACCGTTGGTTTTTTACGATAACTTCCTTAATTTTAAAGATACTCGAAAAACGAAAATTTCGACAGCTAAAAGCACTGTAAAATTGAATATTTTTTAACGCGTTATTTTTGAGATTTTTGAAGTTAAAATGTTTGAAAAACGTGACCTTCGCCCTCAATTGCAAACTTCTAGCAGCGACATCTCTGTTAATTTTTATCCTACACAAATAAAAAAAACAAAATATTCCGTGAAAAAAAAAACTAAACTTTTGAACTCTTGAATATTTTTCGTATCTTTTTTATTTTTAAAGTTATTTTCAAAAATATGTTATTTTTTTGGAATTAAAAAAATTTTCAATGAAACCGTAATATTTTCAAAAATATGCTTTCTAAACCGCTTAAACTTGTATAATATATTGTTAGCGCATAACAAATGTAAATCGTAGAAGGATTACCTTTAATTTCAAATCTCGTGAAAAATTCATAAGTTTTTGTACTGATTATTTTTTCCGAAAAAACGAATTAACATTTTATTTTGATCATAACTTAATTTTTAAGCTTAAAGTCAAGTTCATTTTAAAAGATTTTTTAAAGTACTTTAAAAAATGTTCTGTGCAATTTTCTCGAAAAAAGATATTTTTAGTCATTTTACAAATGCTTCCAATTTAGTTTCTGGCTTACATGAAATTATCTTCAATCAGCCATACCTCAGCACCTATTGCACCTACATAGATGAAAAAAACTCAATCTCTTTCTTTTTCTATAAGCTTCATTTTCTTTTGGGATGTTTTTTTTTCATAGAATGTCTATTTTGCGAGTTTTTCGAGAAAAACTACTGAAGAAACGTCTTTTTTAATAAAAAATGTACATTTTCTGTCAATAATAACGCATAAAATATTGACTTATCGAAAAATGTTCATAAGATACTCTCTGCTTAAAATTGATTCCTTTATCGATTCCTGGGATTATTTTCAATATCTTATGTTTCACCCCCTAGAAGGGGTGGTTTCGACCCCCTGGGCAAAAACGCTCATCGGCACTATATAACTTTTGTTTCTTGAGTTATTTTCTACTTACAGTCACTGCAAGAGACTAACAACAAATTGACAGTTTAGGGTGTTCCATTTAAAATAAATAAGTTGATGGTTACTTCCGGTATAACCGGAAGTGGTACGTAGACGCCATTATTTTAGTTGAGAAGAGCATGCCCGAAAACCCGGTATCCCAAATTTTCAAAATTCAAATCGAAGTAGTCTGAAATAAATCTAATGGGCCGTCACTGTGAGACATCCTGTATGTTACGGCTAAGTCAACTGCAGATTGTAGAACTATTTTTAATGAAAATTTTACCACAATTCTGCCTCTGTCACAGAGTTATCCGTTCTCTGCCTCTGTCTATACAGTACGTTGTCATTTATTATTTCCAGAAATTACAATATGACATAAAAAAAACTAATTATATGTAGGCATTCATTGACTTTTTGATATTATATATGAAATTTTACCTAAGAAAATGACCCTAACCCAATTTATTGTAACTCCGAGCAAAACATGACGGCTACAACAGCGCCTAAGGTGGCGAGTTAAAGACTAAGATATTATAGTTATAAGGTTTTCCTTGTTTTTTCGTTTTTATTTTAAGTGAGAGTATTATTTATCTGAAATTTTTGTTATACCAATATAAAGGTAAGGTAAGGAGATTTTCTGAGGTTCTGTCAGAGTATTTGTTTTATTTTTATAAAATGTTTCTTATAATTTTGTCACTTTGTAACTTGTCACTGTCACTTTGTAACTATTTTTGCTATCAAAATTGAATTTTGTAATTTTTGTGAATTGGAATTTATTTTTAATTTTTTATGTATGAAATCAAAACATTTATTACATTACTCTGATCAACTTTTTATTAAAGAAAAAACGGTCAATACTGAACTTACTTCTGTACGGCGAGTATGAACTTGTTGCTAACAGGGGATGCGGTACAAACAATTTACTGTTTAAAATGGAAAGAAAAGCTGGTATCGCCACTGCCGCGCCAAAGGTCGTGGCTCCTGCTAACAATAATGCGCCTAAATTGACGTTTGCCATAGCCCCTTTGGTTGCATCTATAGATTTTTTCACTGGGATCTTAATAAAGGGCACCGCAAAGTTCAGCTCCAACTAAAATCAAATGATGCGTGAAATGGACGACCTATTTATCCCATATCACGGTGGAATATACTTGCCACTATCTCATCGTCGTCGGTATTGAAGCTGATCAACCTACTTTGTCTGTTTGGAATAACGCCTTCGTCTATGGACATATATCCACCCGTTGTATTCCAACACACCACACTGCCACTAACGATATATACGAATAAAAACCCAATTACTGTCATCCTTTTGGCTTTTTGATGACTTGGTGCGAGAGTATCTCGTTAACAACTGGGCACCAAACATTTTTTTATCAGTACAAAAACCAAATTAACACCGCGAAAGTATATTATATAACGAATAGTGGTAGACTAGACAAAGCTGTCAACGTTAAAACTGCATTCAGTGAGTAAAAACAATAGGAAGGATTATCTTCCTGGTCGAATGCAATAATTTTGTAATGTGTGTTAGTTGATTGTGATTATTCCATAATTAACGATGTCTGAAGCAAAGAGAATTTTTTATGTATGGAGATCATAAGATCTTTTTGTGTGTCATTTTTTCATTGTTAAAAAGCCCTGTATAAGTTTGTACAATATTTATGTAGAGAAAACATACATATTTTAAACTGTAGTACCTATATTTAAATTTGTCTTCCAGAGATTAAATTTTGAAAAGGCCATAGAGAATCGTTTGCACCTTTTCCATGTTCTTTTGGAATACATGCAAGTGGAACACAGTACTTAAAAAACGTAATTTCTCATTTAAATCGTGATTACGTATTTCAATCGTAACGCACGAGATGTACCACCAAGAACTAAAAAGAAAGTGAAGAACCAGATTCTCGTGTCGCACTAACGAAATACCCGATTGTCCATTGTTTTTGACCAGCGCCTGTGTCTTTTATTATGTATAAAGGGACATGCAACTTGTCACAGCTATGTTAGTTTTATTTTATTCAAAAGACCGCATAGTCAAGTCGCCTGTAAATATGAAGAGTACGTGCATTCTTTTGTTTTGGGCAGCCACCGCCAGCTTGATCCTTTGCAACCCCAAGAAGTACGTTCAAGATGAAGGGTTAGTTTGTCTATTTTTTTAAATGTTTTATAACCGCAAGCAGTGGCGTATAGGGATCCAAAAAAAAACATATTTTCAGAAATTTTGAACCCAGCAACCGCTATTACGAGTCCAATCTGCCCGACTACCGATTTAAAACCAGCCATAATGAGACGAAACCAGATAGGAAGGACAACAAAGAGTCCAGGTTTGGCATTATTCCCATTACGACAGGTTACGGCAGTAGTGGCAATGGTAACGGCATGCAATACGGCACCAACGGCCTTATGATAAGCCCTATGAAGATAGACCTAGGTGGAGTAGCTTTGGGGGCACTTATTGGTCTAGGGGCCATTCTAATCGTACCAAAACTAGCCCATGTGCTATCGGGAGGTCTTGGAGGATACAGAAGTAAGTGATTTTTAAATAAATTGTTCTGTACGCCAATTTTCTACACTTTCGAGTTTTTTCTATTTGTAATCGACCAAAAAATATTTTATAGGTCTGGAAAACGAAATGTCCTCAGTGACCGATATCCTAGCAAGGATAGACAACTCCCTAGAACAACAAAGCATCGATAGTAGCACTTGTATACAAAGAATAATCTGTTCCTATGTCCACGATGCAAGAAAGAATATCAATAATGGGGAAGCTAATGGTGTAGATGAATTTATTTTTGGATTGACGAAGTAAGTGTACCTACAGGGTGGACAAAATTCGATTAAATGAAATAACTGCGCTTGTTGGTACCTATTTTACGGGAAATACAGAGGAAAAAACGACGTAAACCGCAGCTTGCTACCTCTCATTTTGCCTCCAAGTCCCATTAAATTTGGTCCACCCTGTACATATAATAATTTTTATTTGCAAAACATTAAGGCATATTTTAGACTACTAATCGATATATTTAGTCGGTAATATAGGTATATTATTTTTTTATAATAAACTACAGGCAAATCATTATCTTGTCAAACAGCTTGCTGAATTAATAATTAATAAATTTGTTTTATTTTAATCTTTCAGCAATACCTTATTTTCTTATATGACGGACGGAACTGGAATAAAACACGCTGTGGAAATGGGAAAGACTGGAACTTTGGAAAATTGTTCACCATTCACCGCAAAATGTCCGATTACTAGGGATAATGTTATGAAAGTGATTTCAAGCCTATTACCTGCTTAATTTTATTTATATAATATTATGAAAACTAAAATTATCAAATGTTTGTAGTTATAGTACCTACTTTATAGTTATAACATTTCTCAATAAAAAATTAAAATCTATAAACCAATATTTTTTAAAAATCTGTAAACTTGCTAGCATCCATTCCAATTAACTCCAATCCAGTCCAGTGTCTCCAGATCATTTTAGGACGTTAAAAACTCAAAATTATTCTTTTGCAAATTAAAAATTAAAAAATTCAGATTGTGTTATAGAAGGTGTTAACGAAATAAGTACTCAAAATTGGAGAGTATGTAAAACATGTCGAAATATGACGAAAACCTTACTAGAGTTTGTACCGATTGATTGGGAGTTTTTGCATAAGATATTTACGAATACGATAAACTTTAAAAACACGTGTGACTGAATACCGTATTGACAAATAGCGTGTACTGAATGTTTCCAGTTTTTGCATATCGTGTCGTTTATCCGCAATGGTAAAGCGTGTCCTAACCTCAATTCTGACGGTTATGCTTTCATTTGACACTTTTGCGGTAAAAGGCAGTCGGCAAATTAAAGAAAAATGGATGGATTATTAATCGTACACAAAATTACTATCTTAAATGCACGGTAAACTAATACCGTAATCTGGGTTGGATATCGGAATACCGTAACGATAAACGCCAACGGTAACTGTCGCACATGCGCAATGCCCCCTCACGTGACTTTATCATTTACGGTATTCTTAAAACCGATATGCAAAAACTCCCTATTAAGCATATAAATAGTAATACCTACACTACAACCCGAAAATTTCGTGATTTAATATTAAACCGTTTTGAGATTATGCAATAAAAACTGTCTCCCGAGTTAACCCTTCAAGGGGCTGTATCTTCCTTAGGGGCCGCCTTTATAAATTTTTAATTTGATTCATTGACCACAATACCACAGACTACTGAATCGAAATTCTTAAAACTGATTAAAGTAATCTCTGTGCTCTGTGATGCTTTTATGATCTTTTAATAACAAATGCAATAATGCAAATGTTGGGAGTTATTTGCAAATCGACATCCCTGAAAATGTTGCTCCCCTGGCAAATTTCTGACGTTAAGTCAATCCTGGCAAATTTACTGGCAGGACTCTTTATTCCTGGCAAATGCCAGTAATTACTGGCAAAACGGCAACCCTGACCGTAATGATAAACGCCAACGGTAACTGTCGCACATGCGCAATGCCCCCTCACGTGACTATCATTTACGATATTCTTAAAACCGATATGCAAAAACTCCCTATTAAGCATATAAATAGTAATACATATGTGGTAATACCTACACTACAACCCGAAAATTTCGTGATTTAATATTAAACCGTTTTGAGATTATGCAATAAAAACTGTTTCCCGAGTTAACCCTTCAAGGGGCTGTATCTCCCTTAGGGGCCGCCTTTATAAATTTTTAATTTGATTCATTGACCACAATACCACAGACTACTGTCAATCTATTATCAATGTTATCACTTCACTGGAATGGATTAACTTCAAATTTGATTTGAGTGATTGGAAGATTTGATTGGTTAACTTTCTGTTAACCAAACACCAATCTGGGTTAACCTCCAACTGTCAAATACGTGGCCGCCGTAAGCTGAAGCTGTTTAATGTTTATCATACATATAAAATAAATTTATTATAACAATAATCAGGCCTTTCCTTAAATTGTAACGATTTGGTAAACATGGGGTTGTGTAAGTGCCCTAAACGAAGAGTAACTAATCAGTTTTGTTTCGAACATCGAGTTTGTGTTTGTGAAAATTGTATGGTAACAAATCATCCCATTGTAAGTAAACAGTAAAGTGAATAATTGTCATAAATGCTGTAAATATTCCTTTTTTAGTGTGTTGTACAGTCATATTTGCAATGGTTACAAGACAGCGATTTTAACTCTATTTGTGAACTGTGCAATAAGGAATTAAATGTTGACGACAGTATACGTTTAACCTGTTACCGTAAGAATAACACACACCGATGTTATTTTGCTTGCTGAAAATGATAATTTTAGATGTTTTCCATTGGTCTTGCTTGGATCATTTTTCAAGGCAATTACCAGCAACCACGGCCCCCAGAGGATATACCTGCCCTTCTTGCAAGAGCCCGCTATTTCCTCCGTCTAATTTAATAAGCCCCGTGGCAGACGTTTTGAAAGAAAAACTTGCTGGTGTTAATTGGGCAAGGGCTGGTCTCGGATTACCATTAGTAAGTACGATATGTGCAAAGAAGACAGTATTGTGACTGATATAATTGTGTGTAGTTATCTGAAGAGAGAGAAGTCAAGGCTGTAGTAAACAATATTTCAACGCCAAGAATGTCACCCAGTCCATCACATTCCGTTGTCACCGTGGATGGTCATGGAGCATTTAACAGGACAGACAGCTACCAGGCTTCTTCTAATCGGAGAATATTCCAGGACATCAGAGACGTGAAAACTGTAGGTTTTGATCACGACGAGGATAAATACAAGAGAAGATCTGTGTTTGAGATTATTGGCAACTGGTGGAAGTGAGTACCTCTTGATTATTATTTGTTGTTAGGGCGAGGCTGCTAGTTATCGTTAATTTTTTATTGCTCAATATTTGTCTTCCTCTTTTATATTGGTTTCCATCATATTCCGTTTTGTCGTGTTGAGTTTTGAGTAAGGTTAGCTTAGGTTAAATTGGGTTAGGTTGGTTTAAATTAAATTGAGCACATATTTTTAATAAAAACTTTATTTATATCTATGAAGTCTCTTTTTTTTTATTCAACCGTTCTCACTTTTTGTCTTTATACTACTTTAATAAATGTTTTTTCATGTCGGATATTTCTTATTTTTGATTGCCCTAAAGTGTTGAAGACTCATTAAATAATTTTAAATGTTTGTAGAATTACTGGTCCTCTAAAAGGAAAACGTGGTAAACCATCAATTTATAGAAGATACTGCATGCTTGTAACTCTTATGATATTCGGGGTAATCTTCTTTCTATTTATAATGTCCAAACTTGGTAGATATTCCACAGAAAACGATCCAAACTTTGACATAGGTAATAATCAATTTGTTAATGTACACGATAATATTTAAGTAAAAAATTTTAACTATATACAGATTAATCTTACGGTTTTAAATTTTTATTATGTACAGAATTTGTAAAATAATTATAGGTAATATATGAATTAAATCTATATCTTTATTTTAAAGGTTTATTTTATTTTCAGTCTAATTCGTACATTTCAAATACAATATAAATCTTACTGTAAGTAGTTTTATTTTATCCTAACGAGTAGGTAGTAGTCTGTGCCTAGTTCCATAATGAAATTTTCCTACCTTCAACTACTAGCTCTAAATTGTATTTTATGTGAATGTCAATTGTGTCAGTTTGTCAGATAAGTAATTTTATACATCTTTATGAAACTGAATCAAAATAAAAATTTTAGTACGCGTCATTTATAACTAATGTTTGTGTCATTCCCAATGTTCGCAATAAATTTACCATAATGTTGTGAAATTTCGCTGACAAAATGTTCATGACAACCCAACCCTGGCAGCAAGACGAAGACTACAGAAAACTTATTCAAAATTTGGAACCGCCACCTCCCCCGGGTAACGACAATGCGTGGGAATTGCATTTTTGCAAATGGTGGGGTTGGAACTGGGTTAAGAAGAAGGAAGTAATAGAAGAAGCTCCCATGCAAAAATCTGTAGCACATAAGTAAGTTTTCCTTGCAATAAGGACATTTGTGTATCATTATTATCAATTTTAAAGAGTTTGATAAATTAACAAAGCTCATGCTTTTAAATTCTCTAGGTTACTAGAGACAAAAAAACCGGAAAAGAAACCTGTAAAACACCTGTGCCAAAGCCTGTGCTTTAAGAAGAAAAAAGATAAAAAACTCCAAGAGAGATACAACACTCCATCACAAAGCATAATAGAAAATACAAAAAAGTCTCCTGCGAACTGTTTAACGCAAGATGACAATAGGAAAATACAAGATATTCAGGATAAAATATTTTCAGATAAGTATGCTGGTAACCAGAGGAGTGATTCAATTGTTGAAAGAGAAATAGAGGCACTAATAACAAAGGAGGTTCAGAAAGAAGTTTACGCTGTTCCAGATGTGCCAAAAAAGAAAAAACGGGAGAGTAAAGAATGGAGCACTAGTTCTGAAGAATATTGCTGCCGTTGTTGTAGGTATAAGGACAGGTTTGTATGCCATTTGACTTGTTAATTTGAAACTATGTGTATAGAGCCTTATGCAACCCAACAATGCACGATTGGTAGTGGTAAAACCAAAATTACCTAAATCTTCGCGTCACCAATATTAATGATTTGTTTCCAATGAACAATGACAAACTATTAAGTCTACACTGGAAATAATGCAATTGCTGATTGGTTGAATAGAATTTTGTGAAAAATTACATTAATCACAGCCGAAGAAATAGAACATTGTGTGTTAATGTAATCTTACGGTTCTGAACAATATTACTGGTCACGTGGCGTGTAATCATTTATGAAGGCTCTATATGCAATGTGGCCTACAGCTTTGTGTTAATTTTTCAATTTGTTGTCAGCTAGTTTTAGTTTTTAGTGTCAAATACAAGATCCGCTTTTGAATATAAACCTGTAAAAAATATAAATAGTCCAATCAAATTATACTTGGGGAAAAAAAATTGTTATCTTGACTTTTATATGTGGAAATGGTAAAAGGGCTTATAATAAACCTAAAAAAAATAAATGTGTGAGCAGGGGTGGCGGAGGGTTGATTTGGGGGGTTGAAAAGTTGTGAAAAATTGTACCATTGGGATTTCTGGCGAAAGTTGTACAAAGTATTAACTGCAAAGTCTACTGTTGACGCGAAAACCCAAAATTTTGCAAAATCGTTTTATTTTTTTTACTGGCTTTATTTGAATACGGATTTTAAAATAAATTGCATATTCTCAAACCATCCAGAGATAGTTTATCATTTGTGCATTTGTAATTCGACTTCGATGTTTATAGCAATACTATACAATAAAGTTTTTGGTCAAACAATGAGACACAGGTTTTTTCGTATTTTTCTCCGTAGAATTGAATGGTGTAATCAGTTTTTGAATTTAATTTCAACAAATTATCAACAATTACTGAAAAATGCATTGTTGCGTCATTTTTTAATTATTTTTGCATTTTTGAGCATGTTTTTGAACTGTGATTACAGATTTTTTTATTTCACCAAAAAGTATACGTCAAAACGAAAAAAATTATCACTGGCAGAACTCTGTACGATGATTTTCCTAAGTAGAATTTTCCTTTGAAAAAAAAGCGTTTCAAACCGAAAAAAATGAATATCTGGGAAACTTCTTGATTTTTTTATCTAAAAAAATTTGTGGTTATAGAAGACACAGAAAAGTATACTTTCACCAAGTTTCGTCAAAATTAAGTTATTTTTGCAGAAATGAGAAATAAAAAACGAAAAATCTGAAAAAACTTGTTTTTCGCATTTTTCTCGGAAATTTTGAGGTTATCTTATAAAGTGACCTCTACAAAAGTTGTAGATTTTTGCATAATCTACAACTGTTATGTTGGATACTTTTTTGTTTGACATCAACTTTCGCCAGAAGTCCCAATGATACAATTTTTCACAACTTTTCAACCACCCAAATCAACCCTCCGCCACCCCTGCTCACACATTTATTTATTTTTTCATTTATTATAATTATATTAATTATATTAATTATTATTATTTCCTTTACCATTTTCACTTATAAAAGTTCAGTTAACAATTTTCTTTTTTTTTCCCCACTAAATGAGTTATTTCCATCGGTCTGAAATACCAACATATTTTAAGAAAAATAGCACGGATGATGGGCTTTCCAGTAAGAAATATGTTTTAAGTGGCGGACCCTGTATATTTGACATCAACTTTAATTTCCATTTGCCATTGTATAAAAAGTTACATATGTATTGNCAGTAAGAAATATGTTTTAAGTGGTGGACCCTGTATATTTGACATCAACTTTAATTTCCATTTGCCATTGTATAAAAAGTTACATATGTATTGTTCAGATTATTTAAGACAAGAATTTATCTTTCCAGATCATCCACGGACGAAAGTGTAGAATGCATAAACGTATGTACAAAAAAAAATCACGTTTGCCGATTCAACATTAAATACTTTTCAGATAACTTGTTGTTCCTGTTGCCCTCCCAAAGAGCTATCATCTACAAAAAAAAACACGGATGAAAAGTACACGCAGGACAACCAACCAGAGAGCAAAATAATAGCCACTCAAACAGAGGAATGTCCTGAAAAAAGAAGGGAGAAAAGACACAGACGAAAGCGCATCTGCGTGGTTTGTTGCTGTAGATGTAAGCAAAACCAACCATCATGTTGTGCATGTTGCTCCTGCAGTAGTATTGGAAAGGTTGAAGGAAAAATGGATAAAAAACCAGAGACATACGTTGAGCGTGAGTCTGCGCCTAGACGTAGCCCTGCTCAACCATCTTATTCTGGAAAACCACCCGTCACAAATTACACAACCAACCAGCCTGCCAAGAAACCGACTAAACATCCACACCATCTTACTCAAAGATTTGAACCTCTGTATATGACGGGAATGCCAATAGACACTATGCTGTATCACAATAAACCCATCACCAAATTTGGAATACCATCGCAAAGCTACTCCTGGATACACGCCACGAAGTCTGATATTTGGGATCAGTTTTCTCATTCGAGAATGAGCCATGAGTTGTCCAACTCTGTGTCTGGGAAGAGTTACATCCCTCCTCTAAAACTCCACGATGTGGATACGGGACCATCCACACTATTTAACCCTCTAAGCGTTGATAAGGAGCTAGAGAATTTAAAAAAAATTGAGACCGATATAAAAATGGATCTTAAATCGAGGATAATGTTAGACGCTGTTTGTGACGCAATTCTAGCAAAGGACAAAGAACCTAATGATAGTTCCAGTATATTTTTAAACGAATTCACTTATCCTTCGAATGTCGCACAGACTGAAATAAACGACATATGCAAGTCAGAACAGAAAAATATGTGCTCCAAACTGAATCAGACGCGTTTAGAAGAAATCATTTTTGAAGATGTCACGAATAAACCTTATGAGAACAAGGTTAACTGCGAGACAAATACTAGCAGCTTAAATCTTAATGTGCTTAATCGAGAAAATACTTCGTTACGTGATTATATAAATGTTCGTTCTCCGCAAATATATGCGACGGACAATTTGTATAGAAGACCTCTTCGTAATCGTTGCATTCCTTTTAATTACAACATGCATCGCGAACGTGTAACGTTAAATGAAAACAAATATCCACGTAAATTGATAGACTACGCAGTTACGAACAATCGCCCGCTAATCCCAACACAAAGACAACCAACATTTACAGTAACTAAACTCGTGCCGACTTCCAAGCGATGCGCTTCTCCAAGCCCCAGAACTCGAGATATAAAAAAGGTGAAGCTAGGGGATCCTTCCGCTTTAATGAATTTTAAAAACACAAACGTCTCGGATATATTTAAGAAAATCGATGAAATCATTTTAAGAAGCAAAGTTAACAATGAGGAAATACAAACTGTGCTAAGTAATATTCCAAAAAGAAGTTACAAGTTCTTCACTTCTTGGGAGGTGTCCAATTTAATAAACCAAGATCCTCCCTTGGAATTTATAGATCCAGGGGGGAAAGTTAACTCGTGCGTAAACACTACCATTGAAGACAAGAAAGAGAAAAACGATAAGGCAAGAGCACCACAGTCTAAGAAAAAGAAAATTGGTACTAGGCCGTCTATGATTCCCAAAAGGGTGGCTGATTTAAAGTTAAACAAAAGGAATGTGGATTTATAAATAATTTATACACAGAAATTAAATGTATTGTACATTCAAAACGGGGAATTTTTTTCAGAATTAAAAAACGAGATGTTTTTAACATAATTTATTTAAAAAAAAATAGTACAGTATAGGCTACAACACCGGGTAATACTTAAAAGTCATTCTTAGAATACATTTCAAGAAAACTGCTGATGCAAAAAGTAACATACATAATGGACAACTTGCATATATTTCTCCTTAGTTTCCAAGAAAAAAGTTATTGAAGTAGTATTTTTAACCCTTACATCGCTGGGCTACTGTAGCGTCATTCGTGCTGTGTGCGATGCACTCTTTCTACTTCGCCCCAGCCGATTCCAAATATTGAAATCAGATTTTAGTATTAACGTTTTTGTGATAGTGTTTACATTAGTTTTTCAAGTGTCCAAAATGGCTTATGTCTATAAGAACTCGGAGTTGATGGATATCGTTTTAATTTATGGTGAAGCAAGACAACGTTTGTGTTAGTTCGTAGAAACTTTGTAAGACAGGTCGAAATGTGTTTACACGTTGGTGGACAAAATTTTGATTAGTTGTATAGTCTTTCCGATATCAGTTGAAGAACCAAGATGATGACAGTATGTACCAGGTTCGGTCGCTGACGCAGCAATTCGCCATTAAAATATTTGAAAAACTTGGTCGAACTAAACGTGGAGGTGGTAGAAATGTATACGCCCAGTTGAAGAATGCGAGTGTGGGCAAACGAAATACAAATACAGTTGCATTGGGCCACTGGGCAATAAATTTCAGCCGTTGACAAGTGGTCGACAAATTGCCCAGCAGTGCAGTGCAGCAATGCGGAATTTGGTGTGATTCAGGTAATTTTAAATTATTATAGGCACCTTTTATTAATCATTGATATTACAATTGTAAAAGGGAGAAATAATATTATTACATGGCATTTTGGAGACCTTTTAAAACGGAACAAAAGAAAATTTACCAACAATATAATAAAACTGTTTGAGGGCATAAATAATTAAAATATGTTGTTGGCCAAATGAACATATAATAGAAATTTTCTACACATTATATACAAATTATAAATTTTTTACCTTTATCAGAAAACTTTTTTAGGGATGCCTATGAAACTCAAAAAATTTTATTGCCAGGTGTTTTTTTACATGTTTAACTGACTTCGGAAAGACTATAACATCAAGTATGTCAAATTATTTTATTAATTAAAACCACAAATTAATTTTATAACCTAATTAATAATAACAATATCGGCAAAAGCAGTTGAATCTGCTGATATAAAATAGGTGTTATCAAATTTTATTCTTTCTTTGGGAAATTCTTTCAATCTTTTGTCCGTTCATTGTTTATTACACTTTGCCACTGTGCCGGTTGCTGACTGCATGCTTTGCCTTACATAAGATCAGGTTTTACCATGGACCAGTTTCCAGTGCCATGCGGAAATGTATTTTTAAATCATTTTCGAATTGCCCTTTTTGATTTTCGTGTTACAAAATTGTATTTGTAAGAGTCCCCAGAACACTCAAAATTTTTTTTTTGGATAAGTTCTGAATCACCCTGTATAATCATGTTATGAAAATATTAAAAATTACCTAGAGATTATTAATCAATAATTATTATTTAAAGTTGGGTTTGGAAAATAATTTTAAATCGGTTTGCTATCATGCTAGTTTGTGAAGTTTTTTAGTGCGATGGAAAATCGAGAAGATGAATGACAGAAAAAAACAACCCGACAGCATGAGGTTAGTAAGAAACGAGAGCGTGAAGACAGCCAAATTAACTACTTCGAAGCATGCAGGTTTCTTTAGATTAAGTTCTATCTCGTTGGCATGAAAATTGTCCACCAGTCGGCTGAGAAGCAAGTTGCATTCTCAGTTGCACCAAATAACCACAATGCGTTCTTGGTCACATGAAAGAGTAAATTTTCACGAAATTCTAAACGTCTATAATTAATATATATCTAGCATTAAAGAAATTAATTTTTTTACCACTGTTGTCAGTTATAAAATAAAAATTTATGCTGTTCAAAAAGAAATTAAATTTTCATGCAAGTTGCCTATTGTTTATGATGAAAGCATATATTGATATACTTTTAGAAACTTAATCAACTTCAATTTAAAAGGTACATTAAATACAAACTATCCACATTGTGCGAGCCTGCAATAAAGTTATACAATTTTTATATTGTATTGGGGGTAACATTTAGAACTACATGTCAAAAATGAAGGGGGGTTTTTGCTTGTCTAAATTAAAGAACATCCGTTTATTTTTTCTTGGTTTATTTTTGGGTATTTTGTCATCCAAACAAAAAAAAATTCAAATAGCAAATTTGCGGCAATGTTTCGCTTAAAAGGTTCCACATCGTCGGTTGCGATTTCTTGACATTTGGAGATACCACCGTTTCAGAGCTTAAGAAATGTCAAAGTCTGAACAGACATGTAAGAACCAGCCCAGAAATTGTTAATGCCACAAAAACATCAATCTGGGATTATTTCTATGATTTTTTTTTTGCCAGGTGACAGAATATATGAAAAATATGAAAGGTATAGCGAAATCATTTTCAACACCTTTTACAAAATGATTTAAATATATTCTAAATTTATCAAAATGTGTTAACATTTAACATTGCAAATCATTAATTTGTACCGACCGATAACAGAAGTTTTAAAAAAGAATTAAATAATATTAGTTCAAAATAAGATTTGCGTTTCAAAAATATTTTCTCCGTCATAATTTAAAAAAATGTAAGCAGCGTAGCAATGGCATTTAAGTTATGACAATGCCTAATCTACACCACTAGTTTAAATTGAATTTGATTTTTTTTTGCATTTAACACCAATTTATTCACGCCTTGTACAAATTTTCACTTTAACACCATTTTTTTATTGATATTTAAAGAAACAAAAAATATTAGCATCTTGTTTGAAAAGTAAATGTTTAAGAAAACATTTTTTAATTACACGAAGAATATGCACCTTCATTTTTGATGTACTGCATTTGACACACTTAACACATAGAAAGTTTATGTCTGAGAATCTTCTGCAAGACTATAACTCAGTAACATATTGTAACATCTATTTTTAAATTTATCAGATATATGAAGATTCGTACCAGTTATGACATAGTTTTCACAATATTGAAAAAAAAAACATCGATTACTTTTTTATAATCATCATTCTACGCGGGAACAGCATTATCGATGGATTCCGACATATTTTTTAATAAGGTCGTTTCCTTGGGTGAATTTCAGTAGAAAATTTTGTATAAAATAAATGGAAACGGGAATTTTTCATTAAATTCTGTGGTGTCTTCTTCTTAGTACCGAGATAATGGCGGTATTAGCTAATTGCTTATATTTAAATTTGCAGTACACTAAATTTAGTCACAATGAAAGTCAATACAATTCTAATGACGAATCGTAGCTGGAATCGACTATAGAAGTGCTCTAATGTGTAGACTTTAACAATCTACATCGTCACATATTTTGTACTTCTTTTTTTTGCATAAAAGACTGAAAATCAAAAAGTGGTGCAGGGCGTATTACATATTTAAAACAAATCTTTACAAAATAATTTAAAAAATTGGAAACGACCCTATCCTACGGTACCTACAAATTTGTCAATCACTGATGCCATGCATTATATGAATCACGTAACTTAAATTCTACACATACATACAAGAAATTGCAATAAACTCCAGTGAGAAAATAATAAGCAGTGGAGTTTTGCTGTTAAAAATGCCTATTTCTATTAATGTGTACAAAAAGAGAGACAACCGAGACTGCACGGTTTGACTCCTTGTTTGAGTATGTGTCAGTTTCTAGCTGATGTACTAGTGCTTGTCATAAGTGTACAAGAGGGAGACGTATTTTTATTTTCACATTTTAGTTATTACAATAAGTGTTAAAAATGGAATTGTGTGTAGTTGTTGCTGACCAATCTGATAATCAGAGTAATCGTAAACAACCAAATTTAATAAATCAAGAATATTGTACCATGAACAGAAAATTCAAGCACAAAACACAGATTTATCAGTGAAATGAACAGTTCTTTAACAAACATTAAAAAAACTAAGTACTCGTTTCCAGTATAAATAAAAAAGCACCTACCTACCTGCTGGATATTCGGATATACCAGGACTAGTGAAAGTTTGTAAGAATAATTCAACCAAAATGGACATATCTATTTGTCGATTTATATTTAACAATATTTGGGACCATATGAATGGAACTGCCTACTATTTTAACACTGGAATATAAAAATAAATAAATCCCTAAACGATCTACATATTTCTTTATTTTAATGTACCACGGAATGGCAACAAATAAATAATTTCACTAAAAGAAAATATATACAACATGGCAGTAAAAGTATATTTACAAAAAGTCAAAATACCGCAATAAATAGATCGAAAAAAATATATAAACAAATTGAGATGCCTACAAGCATTAAAATTTAAAAAAATGACTAACTATCACACGATTTACCTAAATCACAACTCAAACCTAGACCGTCTTTGCTCGAATACGACCTGTTATATCTCAAGTGGCTTCTTACCAAATGGCCACTGACCAACGCCGCCATAAGAGATAATTCACCCGCCAAAACAGACCCACAAACTACCCTCGCCAACTGCTTGGCATTGCTTCCGGGGCTGCTTTCGTGTGAACCCTTAACCCCGAGCATTTCTAGACAGGACGACTGGGCGGGCAAAATAGTACCCCCTCCTACAGTTCCTATTTCTATCGAGGGCATCGTACAAGACACGTACAGGTCCTCGCCCTTCTCACCCCATGGTTCCATGATGGTTATGCAGTTGCTACTCGAGACGTTCTGTGCCGCGTCTTGGCCAGTGGCGATGAAAATGGCCGTTACGATGTTAGAGGCATGAGCGTTAAAACCCCCTGAAAAAATTATATTGATAAACGATGTAACATTTTTTAAATATTTTTATCTTATATTTCGTTACTGGTTTGCAGAATAACGTGAATGGCCATGAATTACGTGAAACGTGAATTACATGTTGGACTCCCCGATATATCTGCCAAACCAAAGTTACTAATTTATTAAAATGAGAAAACAAAAAATAAAACATTTCATTGTTTTGTATTAATATCTGTAGGTAATTATACAAAGTGGTTTTAAAATGTCCCCCGATAGTTTATTAACCTTGTCATGACTTCAGATATTTATTTGTACCAATTTTAAGACATGTCATGAATCAATAGAATCTTTATAGCTAAGCCCGTTTATCTTGAAAATTGTTCAATTTATGAATAAAGTCTGAAAATCTTAAAAACGACCAATGAGAATTTAAAAGGGTAGGTCAATATATTTCTTTTTTGCTCAGAAGTAGCCGTCAGTAAGTCGAAAGCATCAGCCTAAATAGTTTCAAATGAAGTAAAAATAGTTTCACATGTAGTTTACTCAAAAATTATATAAATGTAATGAAAAATAAAAAAGTTATGATGAATATTAATTTGACAACACCCAACTTCAACAGTTAATAAGTCTGGAAGAGGAGTTAGGAAAAAAAATTATGTAGCCTTGGAGTCGCCAACTTTTAGAAACAATTTTGACAAAAAAGCAAGATTTCTATAAAAAATCAGGATGATGTATTTATCCAATTTAAAAGACACATTAACATTTTGCTCATGTTATTGTGCAAAAATTCGCTTCTCACTACAGGGATCTCAGGAACGGTAAGAGATATGAAGTAGCTTAAATGGGGGCAAAGTTGCATAATGCCTCTATTAGTTTTCGAAATATTTGAAAAAAACGAAATTTTGAAAATCCGTTTTTGTTTCATTTGAGTCTTGTTTGTGTTAATATTGAAAAAAGAAGAACACTTTCTCATGACAACTTTTTGCCCTCTATCGAATGGCATAATCAATTTTTATATGTAACGTTTTGTCTCTCCAGGACCATCATCAATTTCATGTTATTAAATACAACCCTGAAAATTTTATTACATATTTTGCAAGCTTTCAGTACCCCCAGTAGTGTACTGTCTCAGCCCGAACCAGGTTTAGACGTTTTGTCTCGAAAAATTAATCTTCAATGTATTCGTTCCATATTTATCTATTTTTTTTTTTTGATTTCTATGTTTATTGAATTATCGTATACTCTAAGTGTTGTTAGACCTTGTGAAATCCACCTAGTTATTTAAACTATTACCACCACACGTTACAATAAAACGTTATTAGAGTTTTAATCCCGTGCTCATAGTTACTTGGGTTAGTTAGTTAGGTTTATCGAGTGCTCAAAATCCAAACAAATTTCTATCTAATTTTTTTTCAGGATATTCATACAAATACATCTGACATGCTCTTTCACAGTTGTGGTTACAGGTATAATAAATCCTGATCATATTATGCTCCTCTTCATTTTCAACATTTACTGTAATTTTTTAAAGTATAATATTCATTTGGAGTTTTGGTTGTTCATATACATTTTTAAAAATTAATTTGTCATAATGAAATTAAAATTGTAATATTTTAATCTTGACGCAACAATCTATCGAATTATGTATGACCTGGCGATGAAGATTAAAACTCTAATAATGTTTTATTGCAATGTGTGATGGTAATAGTTTTAAATAACTAGATGGATTTCACAGGATCTAACGACACTTAAAATGTATGATAATTCAATATTCAATAGACAGAAATCTAAATAAAAAATTTAGATAAATTTGGTACGAATACATTGAAGATGAATTTTTCGAGATAAAAGTTAGAATCTGGTTCGTGCTGAAACATCATGAAGGCTTGCAAAAAATGTAATAAAATTTCCTGGGTCGTATTTAAAAAAATGAAGTTGATGATGGTCCTGGAGAGACGAAACGTTACATATAAAAATTGATTATACTATTTGATAGAGGGCAAAAAGTTGCCATGAGAAAATGTTTTTCTTTTTTCAATATCATGTCAAACAAGACTGAAATGAAACAAAAACGGATTTGCAAAATTTCAGTTTTTCTCAAATATTTCGAAAACTAATCGTGTTAACTTTGATTTTTTAGAGGCATAATGTTGGTCCCCTGATTATGCAACTTTGCCCCCATTTAAGCTACTTCGTATCTCTTACCGTTTCTGAGAGTCCCGTAATGAGAAGGGAATTTTTAACAGCCTGTATATAGTATTATTACTGTATGTATAACATTTTGTTGTTACCTTTCAAAATTATTTAAATAAGACTGCCCTTAAAGAGATGGCGGTAGCGATATCATCAATAATCTTCTAACATCGCTGAAATCAAGACATTCAGTGTACTGCCAAGTGGTTAAGTGGGACTTCAAAAAAAGTAATTTGAGAGATTGACTGTCATTTATTAAACACCCTGAATAATATAAAATATCCGCTGTCCACTACTACAGTACATTGTGTAACGAGTGAGGAAAAGTTGCCAATAGCACCAAGCGAGCGCAGTTGACGGAAAGCGCCCAAGTGGCGTTATGGCAACTTTTCCGAACGAGTTGCACATACTATTTTCTATCACAAGTGTGAGTCGTTATGGGATCTATAGCATAGGGGGTTATATGCACGGAAAGTGCCAGATAGTACAAAGGCGTGATGATATTTTCTACGCTATAGGTCCCATAGCGAGCGTGCATGATAGAAATAAATTTTTTGATTTTGAATATTTCACAAATATATAAGCACAAATAGAAACAGTGCATTTTTTTGAAAAAAGATTAAAAACCTTTTATACTTTTTAGTGATATATGTAGTGTAAATTTTTCACATTATAGCTGAAAAAACAATGAAGTGTTGAAAATAAATAATTACTTACCTATACTTCCTGCCATAGCAGAGCCAATCATGTTCTTCGAAATATTCAAATCTACTAAAGCGTGTGTGGTAGTTTTTAAAACAGATGAAACTACATCTGCAGAAACGATGCACTCGCAAACAACAGACTTTCCTCTTCCTTCAATCCAATTGACTGCTGACGGTTTCTTATCAGTGCAAACATTTCCGCTTAAACTGAGTATCTCCATTTCAGGAAATTTCCCCTGTATATTCCTTAGTGCCTTTTCAGTTCCTTTTGATATCATGTTCATGCCCATAGCATCTCCCGTTTCAGCAACAAATCTAATGAACAAATATCGGCCTGCTATGTGCACAGTTATCTTCTGCAATTTCGCAAATCTACTAGTTGAGTTAAAGCTTTCTTTGATTTCGATGAAATTAGAGGGATCCGATATCCACAGTTTGGCCTCAGTAGCTTTGACGATGGAAGAAAAACGAACAACGGGGCCTCGTGTCATGCCATCAGCTACTAATCTACTTTTTATTCCACTCTTCTCAATTGCCCGACAACCTAAAAAAAAAAATTACATACGTTCAAATACATCTACACTTAACAAATGCTGCTCATTAGGATTAGTGCTAAAATGTGAGCCTCCGTTGATCTGCATACAATTTTATAATGATTTGAAATATATTATTTTTCCCCTTTTTCTAAATTGGTACTTTCCATCACTATGTATGTACACTTATTAAATAGTTGAATTTCTTGCAAAAGAAAATTCTACAAACTCTGTCCATGAGCATAATTCTAATTAATCCAAATATAAATAATGATCCCGAAATCAGAAGCTTGTGGATAAAACTGACGGCAATGCTATTCAAATGAAAACAATATGTACACTACTTACCTCTATTAGTACTAGCCACCAAACAACCTTCAGTAGTAGCCATTGGTATATAAAACTTTTTATCGTCGAGTAGTAAAGGTCCAGCAACCCCAAGAGGCATTGGTACATAACCTATAACATTCTCACAACAAGCTCCCATTACTTTTCCATAATCGTAATTTTGATAGGGCAGATTAATAAAAACATTCTTCTTATTCAGCATATTTTCAATAATCTTCCTTCTGATATTAACACCACGTTCATGATTTTTTACGACTTTCTCTAAATTGTATGCGGGAATATGTTTCGTATCTACCAACATGATGATCTCTCTATCAGATAATTCATCCGCTTCATCTGCTCGATAAATATGCAAACAGTCTTGTAAACTTCGAGAAACATCTGAGACTTTATCAAACACTGTATCGACTGCTTGAAATGTAAAGAGTCTAGAATCTTCTGTCTGAACCTCCACATTAGAAGACGTTGTTCTATTGCGTTTGTGGATTTGTATACTCTTTTTAAATTTTATCATGGCATCTTGTTCAATCTGCTCTAGTAAGTGTTCTTTACTCTCAAAGAATATAAACTTTACCATTAGAGTTATCAACAAAATTAATATGACTATGTGATCAGCACTCAAAGCGAACTGTTTCATGATATAACCATAAATTGAAGTGGTCTCAGAACAGTCTTTATTTGCATCCAAATCAATACCCTCAGTTAAACCATCACTTGCAAAAGTCCAACGGCTATGTATGTGAACAACCATTAAGCCAAAGGACATAATCAATTTCACACGTTGTACGGCAGGATTAGATTTTTCATTATCCTCCAGTAACATTTGCATAACTCCTGCCTGTTGTTCTCCATAAAAGTTGGAGATCTTACCCAGTTCTAACATTAAAGATAAACAAGCAGGGTAGAATGTCATAAATATAATATAGTTTACAATTACCGATAAGCATGCAAAGTAAGATAACATTTCCAGGCGATGCACTCCTGACAAGGTTCCAACACCTATTACCAACGTTTCAACTATAGTATCTAATGTAATGGTAGGACCCAAAACAGACACTCCTCTAGCTATGTTTTTGCTGATTTCTCCTTTTTCTGAAGACGTCAGAGCAAATTGTGCTAATTTTGCTGCCTTAGACAGATCTATTAGTAACAGGAAAAAGAATAATGCATCCTTTAGATCTACTAATTCTATTTGAAGAATATTTAAAACAGTCGACGTAAAAACGAAACTAGAGAAAACAACAAATAAACCGGCAATACCTAAAATGTATTTGGAACCTAAATTCTGTAGGTTTCTAAACTGGTGATAACTGTAGAGAATAGCTAGGCATCGTATAATAGTCATAACAATAACATCAGCAGCGTTAAAGTGTTCTTCTATGCAGCTATGGCAAGTTACAGGTTTTTTAAGTGGTATCGTTGACTGGGGTCTGTCCATTGTTAGAAAACATGTTGTTAATGTTACAACAGCTACTATAACTTCCCATGGGTGGGTAGCACACATTTCACCATATAATCCAAATATTTGAGACATGTTCTTTATAATTATTTATAACTTAACTTCACAATCGGTGCATCCACATCAAGAGCATTACTACTGATTTATAAAATGTTTTACTCCATTGTCTATAAACTCTTCTTTAATAACACTAAAAAGTAGATAATTTCAAAAAATTACATCATATTTAGTGCAGATTGGCGGATCACCGGTCACATTCACGATTATCTAACAGCTGATCCTGCTGATCTGGTACAGATCACAGTACATATTAGTATACTGTGATACAGATCAACTGTAGCTGGAGTCAAATTCGAACTGCGTTCCTTTGTGAGTGTAAGTAATATTAGGACTGTGCTAACGTTAAAAATTTAATCTCAGATAGTCTTAAATAACTATAAGTTAAATTCATTATTATGATCCCGCGCTAGCCTAAGGGCCATGTTAGCAAAGCGCATCCCAGGCTGCATAGCCGCACTACCCTACCCAACCATACCACACATAAATATGACACTACCCCCGGGGTTTACACAGACGAGCCGGCGAAGCAAGAAGAGCGCCAGAAGAAAGGGCCCTAGCCGGCGGGGCCCAGCCAGGACAAAAGGAGGTCCCACAAAGCGCCTACACCGGCCGCATTTGCGGTCGGGGTAGACGACGGATGGGGCCCACCTACGAAGGCTGTCCAGGCCTACACGAGATGAGGCAGGATAAAGAGGGATAATCCCCCTCGATCTAAAAAATAATACTATTTTTATCAAACTAATCCGATCAATTTATTAAAATAATAAATAATATTTACTCTAATTATAAGAATAGCCTGAAAATTGAAATTAACAGATATCAAAAAATAAAAAATGGTTATTGCTGATCTGAAATTGTCAATGAATTTGATTTTTTCTACTTTTAACTTTATTTAGCTTTCAATGGTCATCTGTCAATCGATTAATGGCGCGTTTGTTATGAAACAAAATAAAGTTGATAAAATGAACTAAATAAGTAAGAATTAAATGATAAAAGCTCTGATATATTTGAGAACACAAATATTATAAATATTAAAACAATTCTTTAAGTATAAATTAATTATTTTAAATGTTGCCGAGTTAATGTTATGGATGTCACTGTGACTGCTAAATTCTGGTGAACATTTTTCATCCATTACAATCCAAAAACATTAAAGATCAAATAATAAGTCTATATATTTCAATGTCAAAAATGGGATCTTTATCAAAAACTCTATTCATAGCCTTTGAAATAGTAAACGAATTGTATACTGCAATCGGTTCAGGAATCCTGGGAATGATAGTGCTTCTCAAACATGGTATCATTTCAAATCAACCCCTCAAAACACTATCAGTGTTAACACTTACAACAGTAAGTTTAGTTTTCATATCTCGCACAACTGAAAAATTAACACCATCTAAGAAAAAAGTGGTATTGATTACTGGTTGTGACTCAGGCTTAGGATTTTCTATAGCTCAACATGCCTCAAATATGGGATACACTGTCGTGGCAGGGTTTCTAAGTTTAGAATCGAAGGGATCTAAGCAAATAAGGAATCTCTATGGCAGCAACATTATACAGATTCAGTTAGATATAACGAATCCCTATAGCATAAAAGCTGCTGTTGAAACATTAGAACATTATTTAGATCAAAATGCTGATTATTGTAAGTATTTTTCTATTTACGAAATTAGTAAATTAATTAATGACTAATTTTATACTTCATAGCACTCCATGCTGTAATCAATAATGCTGGTGTTATGGTTTTTGGAGAATTCGAATGGTTAACTGATAGATTAATTCAACAGCAAATTGATGTTAATCTAATGGGAACTTTAAAATTTACAAAAGCACTTTGTCCATTATTAAGGCAGTATAAAGGTAAATACTATGTGAATTATAGTCAACATTTTAATTACAGGATTAAGAAAGATCAGATAACTTCATCTGCGTTTTCAAGTAATTGGCAGTCACAAGCGTCTTTATCGTTAAAATAAATATTTTTTTAGGGAGGCTTATAACAGTTACAAGTCACTGTTCTCAAGCAACACTTCCAGGCCTAGCCGTTTATGGAGCTACCAAATCGGCATTAACAGCTTGGAGTGATGGAATCCGTGTAGAGCTAGGAAAATATGGTGTAAAAGTAGTAACTTTTATCCCAGGATCATTTACAATGCAAAGTAACATCATGGCAAATCAACTGCAAAACGTGCAAGAAATGCACGATAATTTAACAGCTGAGCAACATAATTTTTACAGCGATTATTTCAAGAGATACAATATCTATTTGTCAGGCATCAAACCACCATCAGAACCAGTTAAAATTGAGGATAATGTAATGTACAGAGTGTTTGAGTGTACGCTTTTAGATAAATATCCAAAAGTGATATACAAATGTCAACCCCTACGTTATGCTTTTTATCATACTCTATTTAAGATCAGTCCCTGGTGTTTGCGAGATTATTTTGTGACTTGTTTTATGCAGATGCCCAAATATATACCAGTGGAGGAAAAGCCCAGTGATGCAGACCTCGAAGAATTTGATGACTTGGATGATTTGTAAATTATAATAACGGAATAAAATATTTATTTTGTGAATTTAGATAAATTATAACACTAAATAAATAAATAAAAGTAAACTTATAAAAGAAAATTGTACAAAAGTTTTGTTACTACTATTACACAGATGGTCCTTACAAAAACAGAGTATTTTCTTGTTATCGTTGGAAGTAGAACACCCTACTTTAATATTACTCTGATATTTATCTTTATTTCCATAACATCCTCTAGATGTTTTAACTACACCGCTGACTACTTCCACTTGCGTGTAGCAAAAATCTTGCTTGTTTGGAGGGCACTGAAAGGTTAAATTCAATTTTTCTTTCGGGGTTGTCAATTTGAAGAATGAAACACCACATAATGGTGCTTTTTCAACGTTTGTAGAGATGCACTGAAAACAAATTAAACTTTTCGCGGCGCTAAAATTTATTACAAAATCTCCATTAGATTCAATTCCGTTTAGAAATAAAATTATGAGAAAAAGTTTTAACCAAATAGATTTGAAATTATTTAAAATTTGCATTTTCTCGAATTACAACAATCGAATGAATATGAAAAATAGTTCAAATGTGCCTTAATAATGAAGTTAGCAGTAGTGACAGTGGCACGATAAACACAAGACAACAAGTCTTAAAACACTAGTTATGTATGTGTGAATTTTATACATGGAGTGAAGACTCCATGGGGGCTTCGTATTTCAAAAATAGTACCTATTAACAACTAATATCAATTCAGAGTCTCTAAGTTGCTATTAGCTACTAATAGCTACTATATTTGCCAAATCGAAAGGCCCTAAGTTAGAAAAGTGAAACATTCTGTCACGTAAAGGCATAATTTTTATTTTTCACTAATTTCTTAATCAATATTAAAAAGTGCTCGTGTAAGTCGTAAGTCATTAGACTCACCAGTGCATTGGCGCTACAACGGCGACTCCTTATACTCCCCGTCGGTCACAATTCACAAATTATCGAGGCCACGCTTAATGCCAAAAATAGCGGCGCGAACTCCTTAAATTGATTGACATTTACGATTTTATATATATGTCCACCAAAAATACATGTTCATTTCGAATGTATATATTTAAATGTAAATTGTAGTTGAATTGACAAATTTTAATTTTCCACTTATAACCTTATAAACTACCCTTCTAAATAAATCTAGGGAAAAATATTGTCAATTCAGGGAAATTTAAAAAACATGCAGGGATTTTTGTTTAAAATTGGATGGCGACAATGAATTCTCGTTTTTATACAAAATTCATCCTTTTTCTTGTTTTGAGGTTAGGTTAGGAATCAAGGAAGAATTGGATTAAGATTATGTTTGGTTTATGATATACATAAATACATATTATAAAAGAATAGTAAAAAAATATGTCTAAAGCAGCAGCAAAGTTAAAAAGCCTGAAAAAGGTAGTGGATAAAGTTCAGCATGGTAAACTAAGAACAAATATACCTGCCGGAATGGCTGCTGCAGGTCCTCCATTGGGTCCCATGCTAGGTCAGGTAGGACACATACTATTATTATAAATTTCTATATTAATATGAAAATAATAATTGCAGAGAAGTATCAATATAGCAGCCTTTTGTAAAGATTTCAATGAAAGAACTAAAGAAATAAAAGAAGGAATTCCGTTGCCTACAAGAGTAAAAGTAAATCCCGACAGAAGTTACGAGATGGTAATTCACAAACCTCCCGTTACATATTTTCTTAAACAAGCCGCAGGAATTCAAAGAGGTGCAATGGAAGCAGGTTATAATATAATGTTTTTAATTCTCATGATTTATATATCACATTTTAGGTAATGAAATTGCTGGAAAAGTAACTTTGAAACACGTATACGAAATAGCAAAGATTAAACAGGAGGATCCACCTTTAGAAGTAAAAAGTTTAGAAGAAATATGTCAGATGATATGCGGTATAGCAAAATCGTGTGGAATAGAGGTCGTTAAACAATTAGATGGAAAAGAATACGAGCAATTTTTAATCGAAAGAAAAGCAATTGTGGAACAACAGAAGAAAGAATTACAAGAGAAAAAAGAAGCTAAGCTGTTGAGAACAGGATAATATTTCTTACAATTTGTTAGTTATATTTATTTAATAAAATAAAAATACATAAAAACATAAGTTATGTATGAACATTATAAACCACAACATTAAAATATATATATATATAAATCGGATTTTTTTAACCTGAAACTTCAAATCTCTAAAACATGCGTTCAACGAAAAAAATATCCATAATCAAAATTCAATCATTCCGTGGAGTAAATACATTAACGCTAATTATTAAATTGTTCTAAGGAAATTCTACATAGTTTTAGCCAAAGAATCCGAGTCTACAATAAAAAATGGGGGTTCCTATTTAAGATTTCAATGTGCTTATATTTCGAGATATTTGAAAGTTTCAGATTAAAAAAATAGATATAGAGGTAACAAGTTTTTTATGGCACTAGGTTTTCTTGATAGATGAGGGCTTTACAATACATAATAGCGTCACTGGAGGAAACACTGCTGAAACATATTTTTTCATGTATTACATTTCAAAAAATTAATATATTAAGCAAATTACTTTGTAACCATATTTACATAAATTTCAATTATAATTTTATAAACTTACATCATCAGGAGATGGAGGTGGTTTGGCGGAAGTAGATTCATTTTGGGTTCGAGGTACGATGTAGTTATTATCACATATATACTTAATTTTTTGCTGCAATTGTTGGTTTTTATTTTGCAAGTTCTGAATGTCTTCTGAAAGTTTCTCATTCTCAATTTTAATGGCTGCTGTGGCACTTTTTTCTATATCAAAATCTGTTTTGTACAGTTCTAGCTGTAACCGAAAAAAGCAATGACTTTATGAAGAAAATAATGTGTTTAAGGTTAACCTGTGATTTCAGCGCAAATATTTCTTCTGCCTGAGCTTGTGACCTTTCCAATTTTGTCTTCAACTCAAGACTCTCCTTATTCAATTTATCGATCAGAGCATAGGCCTCTGCTCTGCTGCAGACTACCTTGCTCAACGTAACCTGAGTATTTCCCAAATGGTTTTGAATACTGGCCATCTCTTGCTGTCTACTGGTAGCAAGTTGTTTGGCCTTAAAAAAATATATGGACATTTTACGTGTTCTGTGCGCAGGTCTTCAGTAGTATCAAAATATTTTTTAGATCGCTCCGGTAACAACTCATATGTTCGAATAAGATATGAGAACTTTAGAAAAAATCGGACTGAAAAAATATTAATTACTTATTACGACTTATTTACTCAGTATAATCGTAAAGTATGCTAGATAATTTTTTTATTTTTTGGACTGCTCTGTATGCGATCCCGAGTACATCTGGAATAGTAAAAATACTTGAGTTTTTATCCCTAATGAATTTCTATAATATTTGCACCAAAAATAGAATAATTTTGAATTATAAAATGAATGAAATATCCCTTCGGTGCACTTAATAGTTCATCAAAAGCGGCCAAAAAAAATTCAAGGAGTCAGACTATCACTTATTTAAGTGAATGGCACATTTTCTCTGTGAACATTACTTCATAGATTATGTAGAGATAAAAAGTTGCTTGTTGTGAACTTTTCATTTCTAAGCCATAAAAATGGTAGCAGGGCACAGAAAACCTCACTAGACAATGGCAGCGAACCGTTCAACGTAATACACTTTGATTTTTAATTTGCTGTTTTTTTTAGATTAAAATTTAACATAGGAAAAATGGGAAAACTGTTGCACTACCTTAAAATAAAAACATTAAGAGAATAAAAAAAATTACCTCCTGAAATTCGCTTTTAATAGAGTGTAAGGCTCTTTGTAGACTGTCAATTTCTTTTTTATATTCTTCAATTTTACTATAGGCACAAATTAACTTAGCCTTATATTCTGTATTTTCTACAGTCAGATTCTTGTTTAATTCTGTCTCTTTTAGTTCCTTCTTCTCATTTATATTCTTAGTTATGAGACTCAATTTTTCTTGATAGAACTGTTCTTTTTCCATTAACGCCTGTTTTAAAGAATTTACCTCCTCTTCTTGGGTTTTCTTACTTGCTTTCAACTGCTCCAATTCACGAGATATGTTGGAATTTTCCTTTTTCAACTAAAAGAAAACAATTTTACAAGATTAAAGGTGCATAACTAAAAAAGTCTTATAATACCCTTTCTATAAATTCTTTAGCTTCAATAATTTTTTCCTTATGTGTTTGATGTACCTTCTGCACATCTGATTGCCATTTTACAATTCTTTCATACTGCATCTTCATGGTCTTGTTATTCCCGAGGACTGTGTCTAAAAAATGCATTAATAAAAAATAAATATATGTTAGTACTTTTTCAATTGCACATGTATAGACAAAATATATAGGTCTTTACCTTTAAGTCGAATATTTTCTTCAACAATTTCAGAAACTTTCTTTTCAAGTTCTGCTGGAGTGAGGTCATTAGTCAAAGTTGGTATACTTATAACATCTGATGTATCCTATATTTTTTAAAAATTCTTTAATATGTATCTAATTAAAGGAAAGAAACATAAAATTTTAAATACTGAAATGATAAAAACTAAACTTTTCGAACACACAAACTTACAATTTCATTTTTAATCTGTTCCATATTTAGTAACTGTAATGATTGGTCCATTTTGGCACTCTCCATATTTTTTCTTTCATTCTGATTACTTAGACCATCAACGGACAAATCATTTTCAGCTTGTAACCTAATCTCGTTTGCAAAACTTGAATGTTCTAACTTCAATGATTCTTTTTTTAATGCCGATTGAACTTCAATAAATTCACTACTTGTAGATTCAGGGTAAATTTCTTTGGATGATTTGTTATCTCCATCTTTCCATAAGACAACAAAAGACTGATCGTCTGAGACTAAGGAAGATGCTGAACACTGCGACGAAACAATATTGAAACTATTCAAAGGCAGATCACTGTTATTAAGTTTACAATCTTGTGACTGATCCATATTGCCATTCAAATTATACAAAAGCAGTATACAATTCGGTACAATATCATATGGCAATAAATTTGTTAAATTTATAATAATTTCACCTTAAAATTTTAATATTATAATATTAATTACTCCTATTATAGATGTAAAATGTAGTTACCTTTCTCAGCTTTTTGATTAAAAAAAATGGTTTACTTTCAAAATTAATAAAAAATAAAATGAGTCAATTTCTTAAAATAATCACAGCTCCTAAAATGCGAAATATGCGACGTATTTTTTAAAGAAGTAGCACAGCACAAGAGACCGGTTCGGTTAGATAATTTTTTTCCACGGATTTTGTGACGTCATTTTTCAATATAGACGAGAGATGAGAGTGGAGGAATTCAATTTGTGTCTCAGTGATACCACCCCCTTTGTGGTGTCTGCTTACATTACTAGCAAACTTACTAATAAATACACTAATTTCTTCATATAAACTTTACTCTAATCGTGAAGTCGTAAAAAAGTCCTTAAAAATATGCGTAGTGTTATAACTACAACCATAATACATACTTACTTCGGGACATTAGACCTACTTAACTGTTTGTTGACAGTTGACTAACTTTTTGTAGTTGATTTATAACCTCACAAATTCATATTCATATTTTTTTTACTGTTTAAGATTTACCATTTTTTTTTTACTGACCCAACATGTCAGGTGAACTCGAATTTGAAAATGATATATCTAGTGACAGTAGTGCTAATGAAACTGAAAATCAATCAGTTATGAAAGAAACAGAGAGGCTACAAATTCGTGAAAAGTTGTCAACTCTTAGTTTTGGGGATTTGTTAAAGATGAAGGAACAAATGGGTTCCAAATTGTACGACGAAACTGTATTTGGGGAAACCAAGAAAAAGTCAAAGAACGATTTTAAGAGAGCCAATAAGAATAGACCTCGGGAAATGAGTTCGAAAGTGAGATGTTTTAGAAAGGAATTAAACAGTGGTATTACATCGTTTCCCAAAAAAACAGTTTCTAGAGATCCAAGATTTGATCCTCTTTGTGGACAGTTTGACGATAAGACATTTAAATCCAATTATAAATTTGTAAATGAAATACGCCAAAAAGAAATAAAGCAGTTAGAGAAGGAACTAAAATCTTGTACTGATCCAGAGAGGAAAAAAACTATAAAACTGTTGATTCAAAGAATGGTATGTTTCTTAAAAATTTATTAGACTATAAAATAATTTAATTTATTTTTAGAATAACCAAATTAGAGAACAGCGGAAGCGAGATGCAGAGAACAAAAAGAAATATGAAGAGAAAATGGAGATGAGAGAAAAACTTAAAAGAGGGGAAAAGCCTGTATTTAAGAAGAAATGTAAGTACACGTAGTTGATATTGTGCAAACAGATATAACTAGTTTTGCTTGTTTTTAGCTGTGAAGAAACTTGAAAGTTTGATTGAAAAATACGAAGAGTTAAAGAAAACGAATAAATTGCAGAAACATATTGAAAAGAGAACAAAGAAGTTGTCTGCAAAAGAAAAAAAGAAGTTTAAGAATTAATCTTGCTGTCTGGAGAAAAATTGAACCAATTGTAAATATATATATTATATAATAAAAGGAATAATTAAGTAAAAATAATTTTAATTAAATAAAAATAATTTTTAATGATATTTATATATAAAATTTAAGAGAAATATAGAAAAGTACAAAAATATAATAATCCTTTTTACAATGAAAGAGATACACTAAAACTAAGGAAGAAGTTTATTTATTGAATTTTTACTAAACATTAAACATGCAAAAACAATTTGAAAACTAATTATAAGAGATAATCAAAAAACTTCGTCTTTGTTGCTAAATATGCATATCATTGAACTTCAAGAACTCAGTTATGTGTCATCTGCAGTGTTGTTTCTTGTACCCTCTGAAAAATTTGTCCACACAAATCTTCTAAATTACGAACTGTTATTATTTTGCACATCATAAATTTTAAATAATCCAACAAAAGGAAAAGTCGCATGAAATTGTCTGGTGAGTGGTATGGGCATTTTAATAAGTTTTTTGTGATGAGCAACTGATGAGCCTGTCTCTGCCGATGAGATGGTCTGGAATAATATTGATAAAAGGGTATGTAATTTAAATCAGAAAGAGTGACATTTTTCGATAAAGTCAAAAACAAAAGAGTTTCTCCTCTTGTCAACTCCATCCGTGGACACACTGTATATACATTATTAATAAACTTTATTGTACTTAAATTCTCAAGTTTTTATTAAATTATTTTAATAAAAAAATCAAAAAATCTTATTTTTTGCTATATTAAAAAAACTGCAAGTGATTTTTCCCCTATCTTCAATTTCAACCCTCTAAGTTAATAGCACCTCGCTGTTTTTCCTTTTTAATGACCTTTCGAACAATTCGTGATGAAAATGCTTGAACGTCTTATTTCCTTCCTTTTTTGCAAAAAATGAGAATTAAAACGTATGAGGGTAAACGCGACGAAAATCGAAAAATTGGCTAAGTTTGAGCGGCCATATATCGATCAATTTTCATCCAATAATACTTTACAACCTCTTGTTTTGAAGGAAGTTTTACTTTTTTTTCTATGAAGCAATGCCTATACCTATCTTTACTAAAAAAAAAAAACTAGAGGCAAAGAAGTAGAAAAAATCAGAAAGTCGAATTTTTTACTTTTTTCAAATTGTTTATTTTTTTGCATAAAATTTTCCTTTTAAATTTTTTAAATAAACTATTTCCATGGAAAATTCAATTCTCTAAATAATTTTTCCTATGAACTATAGCAAAATTTTGCTGCGATTTCGAGCTAAAATTAAAAAAACTGAAAGGGAAGCATTTTCACCCCTATCTCCAATTTCCACCCTCTAATTTAATAATATAAAATGACTGAACGATTCATGCCATGAAGACTATATATCTAGTCTCCCTGGATTCATGCAATAAAATTGCTTGAACGTCATAGTTCATTTTAACCCTGTTTTTTTGGATATAATCATAATATTTAGTTACTCTTATGAATATAATCAATAGCCTATTTTGTCTGTTTCCATGTCTAGAGATCAAATCATATAATGGGCTTTTTTTCGCGACTGAATATTGAATTGAATATCTAACTTCTAGTTACTATTTATATGTTATATGTATATCTTTTGATCTTAGTTGTCATATGGTAGCTGAAATCTCTCTCATACTTCACATCATAAAACAGAAAAAAGACTTTACATACTACAACATACCATTATTCTGGGCCATTATCTAGGCAACATAAGACTTCACTCGCAAAAAAAAGCCTAATGATGTTTATTCTATACAGGGACGGATCCAGAGATTGACTTTGGGGGGAGGGCGTTTCTATGCAGTTGATGTCAAAAAATCTTTTAGAATCTGTAGCCAGCAGGGATCCAAGTTCATAGAATAATTTGACACATCTCTCTCCATTCAACAAAATAAACGCGGTCTCTTTTAATTGTCTAACGGTATTATTTTTTTTCCAACATTTTAGCCGAATTTCATCGAATTATATGATCGTTTTCCCAAGCGTGATCGCAAATTTTAGATTTCTCATATTATTTTTTTAATATAATTTTTATATTCATCTATACAGAGTGTAACAAAAAAGGTGGGCTGGCTATACATAGCCATATTGTACTCATCAAGACGANAATTTCCCTTTTACATTTTTTAAATAAACTATTTCCATGGAAAATTCAATTCTCTAAATAATTTTTCCTATGAACTATAAAAATTTTGCTTCGTTTTCGAGCTACAATTAAAAAAACTGAAAGGGAAGCATTTTCACCCCTATCTCCAATTTCCACCCTCTAATTTAATATAAAATGACTGAACGATTCATGCCATGAAGACTATATATCTAGTCTCCCTGGATTAATGCAATAAAATTGCTTGAACGTCATAGTTCATTTTAACCCTGTTTTTTTTTTGGATATAATCATAATATTTAGTTACTGTTATGGATATAATCAATAGCCTATTTTGTCTGTTTCCATGGCTAGAGATCAAATCATATAATGGGCTTTTTTTCGCGACTGAATATTGAATTGAATATCTAACTTCTAGTTACTATTTATATATCTTTTCTTTTGATCTTAGTTGTCATATGGTAGCTGAAACCTCTCTCATAGTCATACTTCACATCATAAAACAGAAAAAAGACTTTACATACTACAACATACCATTATACCATAAAAAAGCCTAATGATGTTTATTCTATACAGGGACGGATCCAGAGATGGACTTTGGCGTTTCTATGCAGTTGATGTCAAAAAATCTTTTAGAATCTGTAGCCAGCAGGGATTCAAATTCATAGAATAATTTGACACATCTCTCTCCATTCAACAAAATAAACGCGATCTGTTTTAATTGTCTAACGGTATTATTTTTTTTCCAACATTTTAGCCGAATTTCATCGATCGATCGATTTGCGATCGTTTTCCCAAGCGTGATCGCAAATTTTAGATTTCTCATATCGTTATTTTTTTAATATAATTTTTATATTCATCTATATATTCTAATATTCGAGAAGTATCTCCAATATAATGTTTATATTGCATAAATGCTATGCAATTTTTTGAATTTTGGAAAACATTACTTGGACGCGTCTTTGATAATCAAGTTCGTGTCTGAAGAACTGTTTTAATGTTAAATAAAACTCGTAGGGTAGATATTGATTATTTATTAGTACCTACCTACATTTTTTATGAATTTCAATTCATTATTAAAAATTTCATCTTTCGGCTAAAATTTAGCACCTTGTAGTGTTTCAATTAAATCATAGTCAAAGAAGACTAGTAAATAATAAACCTAAATCATGTACCAAATTTGGTTCTTCTGCGGTAAAGTGTTGCAGATATACTAATTTTTTTCGAGATTTACGGCCCCACTTTGGGGGCTAATAACTCCTCAGGGGTGCAACTTGTATATAGGTAAGTTTGGTTAAATTACAATATTTTGGACACCCCTATATGCATCTGCCCTGTGGCGGTTCTTATGAGGGTCACCCTGTATATCCATGTTAACAATCGCTTTTATTAGGTAAATATTCAACGGAAATGGACCGTATGGTTTTCAACATACCTACCTATAAGTTTAATAACTTTCGCTCACATGCTTGTATTAAATCAAACCGAAATATATTTGCGAAGACATTTATATCAACTTTGGAATTACCTACTAGATGACGACGTGTATTTCCGGTGTTTTGGCATATTATTCTTAGAACATGAAGAAATAATTAAATAATTAAATAACGGTAAACTTAATCGTCTACAGGACATTTTCATTATAATAATCCATGCGGTTTAGTCTTATCTGACCAGATTTCCGGGATGTATGTTAAAATTCAAATGTTAAAAGATTACTAAATCCGCATATTTTTCATAATTCTTAGCAATTCTATCTTTGCTTTTGAAAGATGTATCTCTTCAGTCTGTTCTTTCTCCTATTACCTTTAAAAATTTGTTGTTTTAACATAGACACAAATCATTTTATAGTGTATGAGGATCCCCAAAGAGTTGCAAATGCAAGTTACAATTATTTTGGATATACAGTGCTTCTGCATCCAGGAAACAAAGGTCTGGGAAAATGGTAAGAAGGCAAAGCATGTTTATTAATATTTTACTGAAATAAATCACGATGCCGTAAAATTATACTTATACACAATAATACTGTCAAAAAAAGCAATGGNTAGAGCAGATCTGTATACAAACTTTTTTGATCGCCTTGATGAGTACAATATGGCTATGTATAGCCAGCCCACCTTTTTTGTTACACCCTGTATATTCTAATATTCGAGAAGTATCTCCAATATAATGTTTATATTGCATAAATGCTATGCAATTTTTTGAATTTTGCATAATAATTTGAATGTTAAATAAAACTCGTAGGGTAGATATTGATTATTTATTAGTACCTACCTACATTTTTTATGAACTTCAATTCATTATTAAAAATTTCATCTTTCGGCTAAAATTTAGTACCTTATTGTAGTGTTTCAATTAACTTTAAATCTTAGTCAAAGAAGACCAGTAATAATAAACCTAAATCATGTACCAAATGGTTCTTCTGCGGTAAAGTGTTGCAGATATACTAATTTTTTTCGAGATTTACGGCCCCACTTTGGGGGCTAATAACTCCTCAGGGGTTAAACTTGTATATAGGTAAGTTTGGTTAAATTACAATATTTTGGACACCCCTACATGCATCTGCTCTGTGTCGGTTCTTATGAGGGTCCCCCTGTATATCCATGTCAACAATCGCTTTTATTAGGTAAATATTCAACGGAAAAGGACCGTATCGTTTTCAACATACCTACCTATAAGCACATATCTATAAGTTTAATAACTTTCGCTCATATGCTTGTATTAAATCAAACCGAAAATATATTTGCGAAGACATTTATATCAACTTTGGAATTACCTCTACTAGATGATACGACGTGTATTTCCGGTATTTTAGCATATTATTCTTAGAACATGAAGAAATAATTAAATAATTAAATAACGGTAAACTTGATCGTCTACAGAACGTTTTCATTATAATAATCCATGCGGTTTAGTCTTATCTGACCAGATTTCCGGGATGTATGTTAAAATTCAAATGTTAAAATAAAGATTACTAAATCCGCATATTTTTCATAATTCTTAGCAATTCTATTTTTGCTTCTGAAAGATGTATCTCTTCAGTCTGTTCTTTTTCCTATTACCTTTAAAAATTTGTTGTTTTAACATAGACACAAATCATTTTATAGTGTATGAGGATCCCCAAAGAGTTGCAAATGCAAGTTACAATTATTTTGGATATACAGTGCTTCTTCATCCAGGAAACAAAGGTCTTGGAAAATGGTAAGAAGGCAAAGCATGTTTATTAATATTTTACTGAAATCACGATGCCATAAAATTATGCTTATACACAATAATACTGTCAAAAAAACAATGGGTTTATGCGATTTTCATTCGTATTTAATAGTATTTTGATATAGGCGCTAATAATTTTTTATAAAAAAAAAACTTTAAAATGATTTACCGAAGAATTCCGGTAGACCGGGTACCTATAATAAGTACATCTAGAAGTAAAAATCGTTTTTTTTTAATAGGGTTTAACATCGTAGATACGTTTAGAATTTTTCTTATATTTTAGGATCAAAATTGGTGCTCCTAAAGGAAACGATCCCAAAATAAATAAATTTAAAAACACTGGCGTTGTTTATGATTGTCCCTTTATGCAAAAATGCAAAGCTTTGGATATTAAAAGAGGTGATTTACAATGAAAAACACTCGAGAATTAAACGAAATTACATTTATTTTTAAATATTTTGTAGGGTATTTCAACAGTATGGAAAAACTGAAAGGTGCTTGGATCGGTGGTTCGATGGACATTAATTACAAATTTAACAAATTAGCGGTAAGTATCATTATTAACTTTCACGTCACATTATTTTTTATATCTCACAAGCCATATCTATAACTCGGCAACTTCACTACTTATTCTGAATAAAAGTTAAAAGATAATACAATTTTTCTCTGTTTGCATGTTGCTTTCTGATGTTTGTTAATATTTTTTTTCTAGATCTGTGGTTTTCGGACAATATACGAACGGGGATCTGATTACGACCCTCTTGGTTGTTGCCATATATCAGATTTAAATAACAGTTTCACGGAAGTTATTCCCCTAGCAGACCATGGTGAGATAAATTTTTATTTATTGGAAAACTTTTTTTGCCAGAATATTTTTTTGTATATGAAAGGAAATTTTTGTAAAATTTTCCTCTGTTAATTATCATAATTTGCCATAATGGTCATGAAGTAATAGTACAATTTAGGTTAAAGAATTTTTTTTCATACTTGCACTTGTTTATAACTTTTTTTATAAGCCGAAATCGATAGGTACCTATATTCATTTTTGTTCTTTTTTTTTAGAAAAAAAGTTTTATAAGATAAGACGGCAAAAAGTATATAATTATGGAAAGGGAGAAGCTGGATTTGCAACTCATATACCTGAAGTAAGAATAACAGTCGTTTTAATAATATTTTTTTAAATATACATATTTTTTATTATTAGTGCTCATATTTTTACTAAATTATAAAGATATCATAAAAATTGTTTCCTAAAAACTCCTATCAAATGTTTAACTTCATTTGACAGGGGTTTTCAGGATTTTTTAGAAGCATATTTAATTATCTTAATACCTTTTATACACAAGTAAAAAGTTTTAATAATATTTTAATAAACAGCTTTAAAATATACAAAATTGACATTAATTAATTAATTTGCCACCTATTAACTTTAAATTTGGTGAAAAAAAAAAGATTTATACTTTCATATATAGGGTGTCCCAAAATATGTGTGAAATCTTTCAGATTTATACAGGGGAATAACATGACAAGTCCCTATAAAAATTTTCCTTAGAGACCCCCCTACGAAGATACAGACCCTTATGGGACGCCACTGAAAATCGTTTTTTTTAAATAACTTAAAATACTTTGTGTAATTTAATAATTTTTTTTTATACGATGGACAACAGATAAGACTCCTTACAAATTGCCTCATGAAAACAATTTGGCTTATTTGGTTTGCCAGGGAGGGACTAGCTGTAGCATAATAATGTCAATAATTTTTTACACCCTTTACGATAAAGGCACAAAAATAATATTTTTAGATAGCTTGAATCTTAAACTAAAAAAAGGCATCTTGGTTATTGATATCGATAAAATGAACTGTTTTTGAGAAAAAACTATTTTTGTTTAATATGATTTCTATTATATCTGTAAGAGAAATAAACCGATGGAATTTTCATACTTTCTGCGCCTATTTAAGAAAATGCCACTTTTATATACATTTGTTTTTTTCCTAAAAATAATTAAATTACACAAAGTATTTTAAAAGTTATTAAAAAAAGTTGATTTTCAGGGGGTCCTTTAGGGACCTGTATCTTAATAGGGGGGCCTTTATATGAATTTGTCATGGTATGTTAACGTTCCCTGTATAAATCCAAGAGGTTGCGCACATATTCCGGGACACCCAGTACACAAAATATAAATTTTTATAATTTTAAAATAGGTTCCAGTGTGCGTTTTCTTGTAGTTATTGCCAAAAATTTAAATATTTTCATTTTTATTTCATATGGCATGATGGCATATTCTGGTTGCATTTTAGAATGTAAATAATGTGATTTTGGGAGCTCCTGGAGTGTTCAATTGGGCTGGAACATTAATCAACATTGTCGATTTTGATAATGAAGAACCAACAGCTAGTAGATTGACAGTGAGAGATTCTATAAATAAAAGATCTCTTCTGCCGTCATTTGAGTTAGTGGCTGATGCTACGAAACAGACAATTAGTTCGGCTTTTGAGTTATTTGGTAAGTACCTATCTGCTAGATTTTATTATTCTTACCTCAGCAGTAGGATAAAAAAATGTAGGTAGATATTTATTTTGTTGGTTCAAATATACTTCTGTTCTCTATTCCATATTTTATTTGCTAAAATTAAAAAATCTAATTTCTCTGAACTGAAAACACTTAAACTATTAAAATAACACGTAATTTGATTTGATATTACAGTAAAATTATTTCCATATCCATATAAAAAATTAAGTTAATTTTTCAAAAATGTTGGTTAATAAATTAAAACCAACGCTACTAAAAAGAACACAAAAAAGTCCGATAATAAAACAAAGGGCGATTTTTACTTTCTTTTTTTAAAATTCAAAGGAAGAGGAAATAATTTTTTTCAGTAAGCATTAAATTATGCATTACTTTGTTCATAGAAACTTTTCAGTATGTCTAATAATTGATTTTAAAATGTGATTTTAGGAAAAAAAGTTCTTTTAAAAGAAAATTACATTATTTCGATCAGTTAAATTAAAAATAGAACATTTTTCAAAGAATATATACAGGGTGTCCCGCATAAGAACCGACACAGAGCAGGTGCATGTCCAAAATATTGTAATTTAACTAAACTTACCTATATACAAAGTTGTGCCCCTGAGGAGTTATTAGCCCCCAAAGTGGGGCCCTTTTCGAAAAAAATTAATATCTCTGCAACACTTTACCGTAGAAGAACCAAATTTGGTACATGATTTAGGTTTATTACTGGTCTTCTTTGACTATGATTTAAAGTTAATTGAAGCACTACAAGGTGTACATTGGGGATGATTCACCCCTAAAATTGTACCGAACTTTTTTTTCATTGACCGAATTGAAAAATAATAATATTAATTCACAGCAGAATTTAATTTTAAATTTTTTTTACTCTTGTTAAATTTTAAAAAACTTTATGGTTTTCAAGAAAAACCGTATTAACTGACACAAGATTTTAACAGTGTTCATTAGAAAATAATCAAAAAGTCAGTAGTAGGCTTTATCTTTCAAATTTGACAATTGGCCAAATAAATTTTACTTCACTTCACTCCTAATTCTACAAAAAGAAAACAAGTACCTAGGTAGTTTTTAAATAAGCGAATATTGTATTAAGTAAAAAACACAAATAAATAATAAAAATAATAATTGAAAGCATCGGGATGATAAACACAATTATTTAAAAGAATGTTATGTACAATACAATGCAGTTTGAAAAAATATATAATAATAATTAAAACTAAAGGAAATAGTTCAAAATTTGCACCATTGTCCCTGATACATAAATTTATTCTTCGCCGAAAATTGAAGTTTACTCTGTCTAACAAATAATAATGATCATTTCTTATAAAGCTACATTCATTTGTAATACGATTCCACAAAATTTCTTGGGATTCAACTGGCGAAGAATAAACAAAATCCTTCAATGTTCCCCAAAGGAAATAATCACATTTGTTAAGGTCTGGAGATCGTGGTGGCCAATTTTGAGGACAATTATTTCCTCGTCCTATCCATTTATTTGGAAACAATCAGAGGCAATTGTTGAAATAAAATAATTTTATTACTAAAACTGACAAGTTTGAAAGATAAATTCATTGCCTACTACTGACTTTCTGTCGGTTCTGATGCGGGACACACCCTGTATGGACTAAACTCTTAATTTGTTATACATCCTTCATTTCAGGATATTCCGTTACTTCCGGATACTATTTAAACAAAAAATTGTACTATGCTGCAAGTGCTCCAAAATATTATTATAAAGGGAAGGTTAGTATCAAATTTAAAATTGAAAGGTATGTATATGCTAAATGAAAATCACATTTTCTGATATATTAAATTGGGAAAATGTAATATTCTAATAGTTTTCCCTAACATGACGTTTTGTACTAGATTTAAATTATACGATTGAAATAAAATAGCCAACTTTCTTTTACAGGTAGTACTAGTTGAATTCAATGGAAATAATCGTCTTAGAGAAAAAGTAAAAGTAGTTGGAAGCCAATTCGGGGAATATTTTGGTGCGGCCACTGCCTCTGGTGATATTAATCAGGATGGTTTTGATGACCTTATAGTTGGAGCACCATATCACAAGAAGAATACTTTCAACGAGGGAGCAGTTTACATATTTTTGGGCAAAAGTGAGGTACATATTTATATTGCTATAGCCAGCCATTTTCCATTTTTAGATTAATCTTTTTTACATTTAACCTACATCATACTCTTTCGAGAGGGCGATAAAATTTTTTCCACCCTATTAACCCCACCCATTTAACACTCCCGCTGCCAGTATCTCTGAAATGAAGAAATCTATTTTAGTTCCGGAAACTGGGAAAATCTATTATTTTATTCTTTTAAAATTTTGTTATAATGGCTTTATTAACACCACATACTACAATATAAGGAGATGTAGATGTTCAACAGGTTCTTAATAAAATGTCACGATCTAAAGCTGCTGTAGCTGCATAAATTTTATTATATAAATCTGCCATGTCTTCTATAGGGTTCTGACATACAATGTTTTTTAAATGATCCCATAGGAAAAATTGAAAGACGCAACCTGATAATAAAACTGTAATAATTATTGGAAAACTAATATGTTTCATCTGTCATATATGTTTTATTTTAAACAAATGACATGAGCCACCTATGACTGAATTTTTCAATAATATTTGATAAAATATACGATTCGTCTCTGCCCCTTATAAGATTTACCATTGCACAATTTTTTTTCTTTTGCAGTTGTTCATTTGTTTTTTTATAATTTATTGTTTGTTAGTTAATATGTGGTGTGATGTGGGAACAATATTTTAAATGAATATTTTGTCTCAGTGTGATTTAAATAAAATAATAGATTTTTCTGTTACATCATGCCTTGGATATTGAAGTGAACATGTCTTGAAAACAAGTAAATATTGGAAAAACTTTATATTACTAGATTACTCAAAATTTAACGATCTTTCCGATAAACTGCGTTTCCACGTTCTAGGAATCAAAAAATGTTATAGTATCACCACGCCATCTATACACAAAGATTTCAACTAACAATTCTAACTGCAATTTGAAGCTATTCGAGGGACCTATAACAACCCCAGTTTCCGGAACTAAAATAAATTTCCCAATTTCGGAGATATTGGCAGTGGGAGTGTTAAATGGCACACCCTGTATATGAAAATCTATTATTATTAGTCTGTTTTTCTTATGTCAAAAGCTGATTTTTGTGAAATATGTTTCTTGTGTTGGATTAGTTTTCATGTTTACTTTAAAATTAAAACAGGTTCAGACAATACACAGTACACTAAAGCATTTAAAATTCTATTAATTTGGAAATTAAATCATAAGAAATTTTTTTTCATAGGACCCATTTAAAGAGCATCATACGTTATATGGTCAGAAGGCTAATGGACAATTTGGAAGTGCAATCATGTTCCTAGGAGATTTAAATAATGATGGTTTTGGAGGTAATATATAACATATACACCTTTGGCAACTGCAGCATGCATTGTTGTTAAATCTTTTTTGATTTGTGTACATATTTTCCATAGTAGGTATCACTCAAAATTTAACAATGAAGACATACCAACATACCGTACCGTCATTAAATACTGAAATGAAAAACACCGTGCGCACTACACAAATTGCTTAAGATTAATAAAATTAGGCATCCATTTTGCTGAATTAATGTTGGCTGTTTGTTTTTTGCCAGCTTAACGACCTTTTATCACATCACATCAGGTGGATTAATTAATATTAGTGCACTTAACTAGGTCAGTGTCAGAGGGATCATTGACACAGATTCACAAACTAAACACAGTGCTTTAAAAAAATAGGAACAAATTTATTAATTATTTAAAACTTGAAAGTGCAGTGCAGTTTAAAAAATTATAACGACAATTTATTTGATTTATAAAAAATATAGGCAATTTTAAATTAATACCTAAAAAACTGACCCCCACTTAAGTTACATATGTATAAGAAAACAAAAAATTACATAAAAAAGTATATTTTATGTTCATCATAGCTAAATCTATATCATTATAGCCCATATCTATAAATTACCAGTACCATACAATAACAAAACGGTTTCTCAAAGAAGGAGTATTTTTCTACAGGGTGTGGCGTGTATAATCTAAAATTAAGCTACAGCTTCCTGATGATATTTATAATAGAAAAGTCTTATAGTACGAAAAATTCTATCTACGCGTTTTTTTTTGTAAATTATTAAAGTTCATTTATGCATCGTCCATCGACCCATCAGTGTTAAACAGTGAAAGATTCCAGACAAAAGTTTTTGTTTTGTAATTCCACGACAATGACAGTGTAATTTTTATAAAGAAGTAAAAAATAAGAATAGCGTGCCGATTACATTAAAAACGAGATTCATATCTCATACTTTGGCTTAATTTTTTAGTTGAATGAACCGAGAAAACAATGCATTTACTATTTCCGAACGTGTCAATATGGTGTTAGTGTATGGTGCAGCCGGAGAAAATGCGCTAGCGTCAACTAAGTTGTACCAGGAACGATGACCACAATATCACCCCCCATGTGCAAATACAATACTACAGTGCGTTCAGCGGCTGCGAGATACGGGAAGTATTATTCATCGAGGAGAAGGACGTGGTCAGCAAGTGATGCACCTTAATGTTGAAGATGCAGTGTTGGAAAATCTTGACAAAGATCCCACAATTAGTATTTGACGACTCGCACACCAAGTAGGAACCTCATCTCGTAACGTACATTCCATCTTAAGGTGCCAGCTGCTGCTCCCCTATCATCCCCCGGATTGTGATCAATGAATGCGTTTTTGCAGATGGTTTTTACGGCAATGTGCCAATCAAGTAGACTTTCCTGCTTATATTTGTGTAACAGATGGGGCGACATTTACCCTATTCCTCACGCGATTAGGGAAACTCATTTTCACCATTGGTTTCCCTAAATGTTTGAGGTGGCATAATAGGCGATGTACTTGTGGGCCCTTATTTCTTTGAAGGACGACTAAATGGACCAACATATGCTGACTTTTTGGAGAACCGGTTGCCTGAAACATTGGACGATGTGGCATTACAAGTTCGGGCAAGCATGTTTTATCTTCAAGATGGGGCTCCTTCACACAATACTCGAGAAGTAACGACACTTTTGAATGAAATGTCATTGGTTTACAATACTCCAATTGCTACGATGGAAGAATTGCGAAACAGTATACTTGAAACTGCTGACGCAATTAAGGGAATACCTGAAACTTGGGAAAATATTCGCCAAAATTGGGTGCGTCGGTACCATGTCTGTAGTTAGGGATGTTCTGTGCATGCCTGTATCCGTACTAATGGGGATCGATTTCAACATTTTCTCTAGAAATGGTAAGTTTTATTTCATTTTGTTCCATATTTTAATGGAATTTGTTTAGTGCACGCAGTTGGCAACTACAGATGCTTACGGATGTGGTTTTGTTTGCGAACTCCTGCAGTAACAATAATGCATTTAAGATAGTAATTACTATTAATCATTATAATAAGAAAATATCAGTTTTTTTTAAATATCTATTTTTCTTAATTTGTACTTTTGCATTGAAAAATTCCCAAAAAATTGAAAAGTATCTTTTTATCTTTCAACGACGATTTGTTTACGCGGCTGGTCTACAGCATGTAATTCATCGTACAGCACATGGACAGGACCGTTCCAGAGAAAATATTTTGATCCACAACTGAACGAAAAAAAAAAACGCAAAAATAGAACTTTTCGTATAGAACTTTTCTATTACAAATATCGTTAGGAGGCTGTAGTTTAATTTTTATTGATTATACATGCCACACTTTGTATAAATAGTGAGTAGTGAAAAATAATTAATTTTGTGAATTCATAAATAATCAGCAGATAAAACAATATATTACATTACTTAGATTTTTTTATATATTTACTTGCAATAGATTTATCGATGAAATATTATTGGCGGCGTTATTAATCTCTTTAATATATCCTCTTAGATTTAGCAATAGGCGCTCCCTATGAGGAAGATTTCAGTGGTGTTTTGTACATTTACAAAGGGAACAAGGAAGGAGTTGATCGACTGCCCTGCCAGAAAATAATCGGAAAGGACATATCATCGGAAATACGAGGATTTGGTGTTAGCATATCTAGAGCAGCGGATATTGATGCAAATGGGTATAAAGGTGGGTGGAACATATTTAAATAATAATAAAAGAATACTAAATATTTTATGATTCGAAATTCGACATTACTTCCTTGCAGATTTGGTCGTCGGGGCCTACCTGTCAGGCCACGCGGTCCTATTAAGGACCAGTCCAATAGTTGTGGTTCACTATGAGATGAAGTCCATTCCTGAAGAGCTCAAGCAAGATACGGAACAATTTCTGATAAACATATGCTATAAATACGACACTCATTTCAAAGAAGATAATCTAAGTATGTGGTCCCTGATGATAAATTTTTTGTTTATATTATTTTTAATCTTCATAGGTAACACTCCTGTGACACAGTGACATGAATTTTTTTTTCTAGCGTTAAATAGAACCATAATAATAGACGAACTTCTAAGAAGAGCCGTTTTGAAAGATCCCAAAGAAGATACTAAAACCATCATAATCAGTAGACTCCAACCATCTACTTGTGAAAACGTTACAGTGATATTAAGGGTGAGATCCTTTCAAAACATATCTTTATTAAAAACAAAAACATATGTGATAGTGAGCTTTTTTTTCTGTAAAATATTTAGAATATCACGGACCATGTTGCTCCGATAACGGCATTCCTCACCTATAAATTAGCAAATCAACAGAAAAAGAAAGAAGTAATATACGTCTCTGAAAAGTACCAATACGGCACAGATACTTTCGATGTACGACGTCCAGTTTTGGATGAATTTCGTTCTACTCAATCGAGTTCGCTTGACGTGCTGTTTAGTCTGGGTTGTGGATCGGACAATTTCTGCGAGTCAAAATTGACAATTGACGCCAAATTTCTAGATCTAAGGTACAAAGAATTCATCTAATTACCACATTATTGACTTATTCACTCTTGGCGCACAGTGAGTACATCTTCGTCCTATGCTATCAATTCGGAGAGATGGAAATAGCCGCGGCGCACTGAGCGCAAGGGTGCAAATAAGTCGAAAATGCTGTTAGTGTTTTGTCATTTACAAAAAAGCAAATAACAATATAAGTTAAAACCTATGCGGATATTAAATAAGTTCTTGCTGTTTTTTCGTGAAAATTAATGCTTTATTTAAAAACATTAGTAAAAAATGTGTCACTACTTTTCCTCATCTTTCTGGCTGCACTTTAATTATATCCATTTTTGGGCATAAGAATGGAATTGCTGCTCAGCTGGGCCATGTGCCATTTGATGGGAACAAGTGATAATCGGAAGGGACAATATCTAATGAATATAGGGGGTAGGACTTTACATTTTAGCATTTGTATGTTGTCACTGGTGGCCGAGCGCTGTCATACTGCAAAATTACTTTGACGTGTCTGTGCTTGTATTGCGCCCATTTTTCCCTCAATGTTCGGCTCAAATGCTAGCGATTTACCGTGATGGTTTCATTCGGTTTAAGCAGCTCATATTAAATTGTATCCAGCTGATCCTTCCAAATGCAAAGCATAAGCTTGGAATCATGGATATTCCTATCCAATGCATAGGATTATTGTAGCATATCCATTTTTCATTGTCAGTCACGATAATATGCAAAAACCTTTTACTTTTCTGTCTTTGATGCAGCTGTTCACACGTGCAGACATCGTCTCACGTCTCTCGGCTTCAAATCGTCCTGCACCCAATGTCCTTGCTTTTGAATTATCCTTAATGCTTCCAAATGTTTCAAAACTGTTGTGTTGCCTCCAATTTTTTAACTGCAATCTGTTTCGGTGCGCCAGAGCGTTCTTTATCTTCAACGTCAAAAGGTAACGTCATCTGTTGGAAAACAACGAGAACTTGTTGAAGGTCCCTATACTTTTTAGAGCATAGAATTAACGAACGCAAAATTTTTTTTATCTAGGCAGGAGAATACGTTCGTTGTGGGATCCACAGATTTTCTGAATCTACAAACAGTGATAAAAAATACAGGAGAGAACGCCTATTTCACACAGCTTGAGATAACATTGCCACCAGAAATTATTACTTTCAGACAAATACCTCCTGGGTGTTATGAGCAGAACACTTCTGTTATTATTTGCAATGTTGAAAACCCTTTGAAAGCAAACAAAGAGGTACTGTTTTTTCATTTTTTTCAATTTCAAGTAATATATTAATAAGAAAAATAATTACAAAAATATGTTCTGATCTTTATAAAATTGTTCTTTGAACTTTCATTAACAGCTCATTTTTTTTAATACAGAAGGTCCAAATTCTGAATCTCGACATGAAAAATATAAACAAAAACAATCTTATAAATAGAATTAATATATCCGTTAGAGTAACGACTACCAGCAACAACAGTAATCCCGACCAGAAAATTTTGACGCTATTGCTGGGAAGAGAAGCCGATATTACTATATCGGGGTAAGCAAAGAGCACAACACAAAGCTGGAAAAATAAATTAATTTTGTGCGTTTTTAGGAAATCCAATGACCAAAGTGTACCTTTCGGAAAGATGTCATATGGGATGCCAAACTTCACTCAAATATACCAGGTATAAAAATTTGAAAACAAATTAATCTGGAAATTCAGATTGTTGTATTTCTTATACAGGGTGTTTGTAAATAAGTTCGAAATATTTTAAGGGGTGGTTGCTGAAGTTATTTTGTGAAAAAAGTTCATATAAACGTAGGTCGAAATATACTTAATTTCCGAGATATAGTGTTTAAATTTAATTTTTCTTATTAATTATTTCAGAGTTTTAAAGATATTGACTTGAAATTTGAAATGAGTTTTAAAGATATTGACTTGAAATTTGAAAAACAGTTTGAAGGGATAAATGTGCATTTTTTGGGGTAATCCGAATATTTCTACTTGCACCAGTGACGTTCGTGCGAGAAAGCCACAACCTTTTTTAATAAAAAAATGGTACGAAACTGACTTTCTCCAGTTTTGATATATTTTTTTAGAAATTGGTCTTCAATTTTTTTCGTTTTTGATGAAAAAATGTAAAACATATTTTATTGCAAGTTGTGTATTTTTAATTTCTATTGATACATTATTTAGTAGGTTGTTGTCAATATTTCTAAATAAATTACAACCATCGAATTTCGAGTCGATATCATTAAAAGTTTTTGAAATAATTAATTAATGAAAATAAATAAAAAAATTAAAACTTAAACACTCCATATTTCGACCTATGTTTATATGAACTTTTTTTCACAAAATAACTGACAACCACTCCCTAAAATATTTCACACTTCTTTTTAAACACCCTATATATACAGGGTGTCCGGTAGGTATCTACGAATCTCTAAAGAGGGACGTCAAAATAACACATAACAGATAGACAGACAGAACATGTCATACTATCGAACTGAAAATATAATTTTTAAATACTCTAAATACTTTCCTTTAAACAAAAGTACTTTTTATTTATTTTGATAAAATGAACAATTTTCGAAAATTTTAAAAATAGCTGAAGAGAAACAAGTTAAAGTAATAATAAACATTTGCACCTCATTTTTACCATTTAGTGTGCCAATACTTATCCAACGCCTTTAAAGATTGATAAGTAGGTCAAGGCAGACCAGTCTTATGAACACCTATGTCGCCTGATCTAAATCCGTTAGACTTTTTTCTGTGGGACCATCCAAAAGAACTGAGTTATTCAACATCCATAAGTACTAGAAAAGAACTTTTGTACTTTTGTGGAGAATAACACAGAACTGTATCCAGATTTATAATCCTGAAATGTTATTTTATCTGCACCGAGAAAATATTCGTAAAAAAAAGGGAGCTGATTTTAAATGCTTGTCGAGGTGATATTTACCTTTCCTCATTTTTTATTATGTAAATGTTTATTTTTAAAATTTAACTTGTTTGCCTATCAATTTGTAAAAAAATAAACTACTAATAAACTAGTTGTTGCTGCTACTTCCAAAAGTCGATTTTTCTTGAAAACCATTTATTTTAACTAAATAAATGGAGAGTTTTAAAGAAGAATATCTAAAATAACTAAAAATATTTTCATTTAATAGCACATTTTGAAAAAATTGTTTTGGGGCAAGTATATTTTGGATATCTTGTAATAGTAAAAACCAGTGTTTACCACCCCATCATATCTGTAATACATTATACCAAAATTTTATAAAAATATACAAGATGTTTTCAAAATTAGAACCTAAAATGTAAATCTCTAGATGCACCTTTGATATCTCTATTAGCAAGAAAATTATAAGAAGTTAAGTCCTACTGTTGTTTAGACCTCCTCTACACACTCCCAAAAGTATAGTAGATACTTACCGGACAGCCTGTATTCGGTTATAATTTTATTATCTGGTCTCCTGACGAGTTTTACCGAAAATGTACAGGTTGAGAAAATAGGCGTCAGTCCCTTAGAGAAGGTACTAGTGAACATCACAATCCCTCACTCTATAAGAACATCCTCTGGCGACGTTGGTTTTATCAAAGTTTTCCCTCCAGATGGCACTTTTGATGGTCAACCTGTGACCTGCATGAGCTCTCTCGAATATATCATAGAGTCGAAACTTACGGAAACAAGCGAGAAATTAGAATCTGACTCAATGCTTCTACGAAGCAAAAGACAGGTAGAGGTTTTTAAAGAGATGGAGGAGAAAAAAAAGGAGAACATTATTCTCGATGGGAAGGAGTATGATTTGGTGCCCAACAGAACATTCTTTTTGAACTGCAGTATGGATAACATCATCTGCTCGAGTATTTTATGCTCACTTGGACCCTTTACAAAGAGGCAAATTCCTGCCGTTATCAAAATTAAGTTGATGTTTAATCCATCCGCAGTATCTCGTAAGTTAAAACATATAATTCTGCATTTCACAATATGCTGTGTTAATGTGTACAGACAGTAAAACATAAGTCTCTCATTTTATTTTTACAAGAAATTAATTTTTAGATTTAATAGGGGAAAAAGACATGATTCTCTATACTACTGAAGGAACCACAACAATACAAGTTCCTACTCAATTTATTCAAAATGGAAACAGGTATGAGTTTCTTCGTTTTTTTTGGGCCACCCTTAACATATAGACCAAGGCGGATCTGTCGAAATATTCCACTTCTTGGATGTAAGAGGGGGCAAGCTAATTTTTACTGGAATACCTTCAGTACAACTCGCATAATAAAAGTGTAGATCTCTAGATCTGGGCGAGGTTGGGAACATTTTCAAAATTGTAAAAATGTTTAAAAAATTGTAAAAATACCTATTATGTACTTATATCTTGGAACCTATGCATTTTGGAAGAATATTGAAGAGGAAGACAGTTTTAGAATTGAAATTTGCACAATATATATAAGTTAAAAATTTTTAAATTTATTGCCGATGTAGCAAAATAGCAATAATTGATGAAAAAAAGACAAAATAATCAAGTTTTTTTTTGGATAATTTTTTAAAAATATTTGAATTGCTCCGAGGGCATTCTAATTTTGGTAAAAAGAACTTTAGAATATAATAAACTAACACACCAAATTTCATTAAAATCGGTTTGATAGTTTTCGCAAAATAATTTTTTGAAAAAAATTTTGAAAAAGAAAATTACAAATTTTCAAAATGTTGCACAGCCTCAAATAAAGCATTTAGATACTTGAAAATTTTTTCACATAGAAAAGACCACTCAACCTTTCAAATGGTTTTTGAAAAATTGAAATTGGTTGATTAAGACGGCCACAGTAAATTTTTAAGTTCCCTTTTTTTTTAACAATTAGATTACATTTATCAACTTGCAATTTAGTTTTTTTTCAAAAACAATAATTTTAAAGTACTCGGAAAGGCGATTCTTTTTAAAAAAAAGTTAAATTCCGTTTATTGGTTTTCGAGATATAAGCGGTTAAAGTTTATCGGTATTTACCGTTAATTTATAAATAATTTAGCAATAATCTTTGATCCAGTGGCTTCGTTTTTCCGAGTTCTAAGCTGGAAAAAATTTTCATATGCATAAGTTATCGCCACATAGATAAATCATCAGAAAAGCTGTCGCTCGCATGCGGGAAAAGTGACTCAAATCACGAAAAGTGGGGGAGGGGGCTTTCGCTCCAAGACTGAATTCGGAGGTTCAAAATGCGAAGATACGAAAAAAAATGCATTATCTCTGCTTCTAATGGACCAATTTTGATCTTTTTTTTTATTCTGATGTTTCGCAAGTTAAAGAATTCGAATATCTTAATGCCAACTGTCTAATTTGTGCATATTTTGTTATAAACAAAGTTTATTATTTATGGATTAAATATACTGTATATTTTACCCTATGCTATTGCATTTTTTCAATGAAAAAATTTGTTTACATATATATTTCAACACTCTCATTAGTTATAATTATTACGATTATTTAAATAATTTTTGTTTAAATTAAAAATTTTTTTATTTGGAAATTTATTTCTTTGTTAAATACAGATAAAATTAAGAAAAAATAGTACCTTAAAATTATTATTTTTGAAAAAACTCAATTGCAAATTGATAAATGTAATCTAATTGTTTACAAATAAAAAAAGAGTGTTAACTTTAAAAATTGACTGTGGCCGTCTTAATCGACCGATTTAAATTTTTTAAAAACTATTTGAAAGGTTGAGCAGTCTTTTCAAGTGTCTAGATACTTTATTTCAGGCTGTGCAATATTTTGAAAATTCAACAAATTATTTTGCGAAAACTATCGAACTTATTTTAATGAAATTTGGTGTGTTGTTTTATTATACTTTAAGTTTTTTTTTACCAAAATTAGAATGCTCTTGGAGCAGTTAAAATATTTTTAAAAAATTATCCAAAAAACTTCATTATTTTGCCTTTTTCCTGCCTTCAATTACATATAACCTATTTTGCAATATCGGTAATAAATTTAAACATTTTTAACTTACAGTATATATTGTGCAAAATTCAATTCTAAAACTTTTTTCCTCTTCAATATTCTTCCAAAATTCTTCCTTTAGGTTCCAAGATATAAGCAAAAAACTCAGATAAAATAGGTATTTTTTTAAATTTTTTAAACATTTTTGAAAATGTTCCCGACCTCGCCCAGATCTAGGGATCTACACTTTTATTATGCGAGTTGTACTGAAGGTAAACCAGAAAAAATTTGCTTGCCCCCTCTCACATCCACCTCAAAACAGATCCAACCTGGTCTAATATATTGTTCACACATTACTGTTAATTTTGCACTTGTAAATAATATCCCATATTTCAGAACCGATTTTGTACAAGTATCTAGTCTTTTCATCAACGAAACTAGAAGGAACAAAAAAGTGGCACTCTGGATTATAATTCTTGCAGTAATTGCAGGAATTTTATTGCTCGTTTTGATTATTTATGGACTTACTAAGGTCAGTGTATATAAAGCAGGATGAGTTTTTTTTTTCTTAATTTATCTTCATATTTTCCAGGCTGGATTCTTTAAACGGGCCAAAAAAGAGGAACTTGAAAATTTAAAAGCAGCGGTATGTAAACAAAACTAATTTGCTATGAAAGTACATATATAATTTTTCTTGTTAAACAGACTCAACAGATGATTGAAGCAGAGTCAGATCTACAGAATGTCGATCCTGTTATAAATAGTTCCACAGAAGGATTAGTGGACGACGATCCCACTGTAGAATCGTCTGCACATGATCATACTGCAAATGCTTCGACTGAGGGATCAGTAGACAATCAGTGCGAGGATGTCTTTAATTAATTTAATAAATTATCAACATAATAACTTGATTAGCAATTCATTAAAGATTTATTTTTAGAAATTTTTATAAATTCTCCTTGCAATCATTTCCCTATTTCAGTTTGAGGTATAAAAATGGGTATTTTAGGCTTATGCTTGAAATAGATAACTCATTGTTTATTTCATAGCGTTTTTAGGAGATGATTTCTATGCTGACATGGAGAATTTTTGTAATGAAAAAATATTGAACAAAAAAAACAATTAAAATAGGGGTTGTCCACCCTCTTCAAAATGATTGCACTTATATTGGCGAAATATTTTTCTATAGCTAATTGATAGAAACAAACAGATGTTTCTTTATTTATGTTGCGGATTTAGGAGGGAGGGTTGTCTTATTGTCTATCCTCTGACATAGCCCCACGTTGGGCGCCAAGACGCGGACTTTTCTCGATCTGACTAACTTACGGTGAAGTTGACCTATTCTCATCTTATATTTTTAACATTTTTTTTTGTAATTTTGATACTTCACCACTACATACTGGAGAAAATACAGAATTCAAGCTACAATCTTCAATTTTCCATTCCAGTTTCAGGATCATTAAAAAAAATAATAAGCTTATACGAATCAAAATGGATGTCTGTAGCGATTTTTGAAGCTTGGATTCTGTATTTTTCCTGGTGTGCATTGAAGAGGCAAATAACAGTGCACGCTAGCTGTGAGCACGAGCTACAGCAAGCATTGTCTCGTATTTCTTGATTCCTATATACATGTTTTTTTTTTTCATATAACACAAAAATTTAACAATGAAGGCACAGAAAAGCATAAATTACTTCACACATAAAATCGCGAAATTACCTACGGTGTTGCAAACTCCTCATGCACCGTTAAACCAGAAACTAAAATAAATGTAATAAAATGAAGTGGTGATATATTCAGCTATTCTCGTACCAGGCTGTTTGTTTTTTGCAAGTCTAGCACACTATTGTCATGTCACATTACGTGGATTGATATTATGTAGTTCACTTAAAATAGATAAATATCAGAGGTCATTGAAAGTAAGATTTACAAACTAAACATAGTGCTTTAAAAAATAGTAGTAGTAATACTTGAAGTGATTTTAGAAAGTACGTCAAATCTATCAGATTACTAAGTATCTTTTTATTATGTACATTCTATAAAACAGCAATAATTGTAATTTGAAACAAAAAATGACTTATTTGCAAACAGTAGTCTACCCGCTAATATTAGTTAAAAATATATATTGCAAAAAAAAAATTTTGTAAAAATACTTTTTTTTAATGTTCAGCACTTCTCACAAAAAAAGTATATAGTGACGTTAAAATAACGTCGTGTTCATACAGGAGCAGTGTTTTTGCAAAATTATTTTTCATTGCAGTTTCACTCTCTGCCATTTGTTAATTTCATATAATTGATTTAAAAAGGTAACAGGTAACACTGATGAGCGTGCACATACACCAAGTTGGGGAGCTGCCCACTAATGGATAAGAATTTAATAGTCCAGTCGCAAGCATTTTGGCTACCAATTTTTTCAGTTGGAATGGATTGACGTGAAATTTGAACTGTAGCTAGGGAATAGCCCACGAAACAAAACGTCCTGTAGCGGAAAAATTAAAGGTTTTTCGAGGAAAACTTATATAACACTTATTATAAAGTTCTTGAAAAGACCTTTAATTGAGTGGTGGTAAAAGTCGTTAGCATGAAAACTAATGAAGTTACAATCAAAATAAAATGATCGTCTTGATTTTTGAGAAAAAAAAAATCGTTATTAAAATTAATGACAAAAAAAAATGTTACGTATTCCTTGTGCAATTTACTTTACTTATGTATTAATAGTAGATTCTGGGAATTTGAACAATTTTAGAAGCCTAAATTTAAAAAAATATTTCATTTACTTTTGAATAAAATTTTTAAATTTTTTAAAAAATCGCCTTTATTCAAAATATTTCAAAAACTAACAAAGTTATAAAAAAATGATAGAATAAGAAATTGTAGGTTTTTTTCTTACTGAACAATTTGCTTTTTTAAATTTTTGTAGGACAAAATTTGACTGAGTTAGAAGCTCAAAACTAAGCTCCAAGACTGCCTTTCCTGAGCCTTTTTAGCTTACAAATCTACAAACCGAAGGGCTCAAAACAACTGCAAATCACAGAACTTAAAATGCTTTAAATTCCCTACAAAATGATTTTTTGAGTAAATTTATAACTTTAAAATTACAAAAGTTATGGTAAAAAAATTAATCGCATTTTTTCGGTAAAATTTTCGGAGCGGATAAATTACCATCATCTTTGTGTATTTTGGAGCACTTGTGAACTGATTTGAGTAAGTATTTTAATAATATACATACACACACGTATCCGAGTTCACATGTATATGTATGTGTACATTCGGAAATTGGCCGAGGCCTCGAATTTAGGTTGGCACCAAGCGAGAAATTCTGTATATGCACAGGTTGGCAGCACTACTTAGATAAAGTGCATGCGCTACATGCAATGCAGTGCTTTCATAAATAAATTTTTTAAGGGGTACGATTTTTTATAAGGGGTAGGTCTTCCATAAGGGTTTTTTGGGTGGCTGAAAAGTTGCAAAATAGTATAGATCATTTGAAAACCAATAAAAAAATTTATAATTTAACATATGCATACCATTAAAACATCTCAAACTTTCAATATTTTTTTGTTTATTTTATTATAAAGGGGTGGTTTTTAAGGGTTTCAACTTTGTAATGAGTCGTAAGATTTCTAATGAATAACAAAAGAAATGCAATACATTGTGAATGCACCAAAAGAATATTTCAAACTGTTAAAAACTTTTTTCTATTTTTTTGGCCATGGAAGGGTAGTTTTTAAGGATTTTTAAGGGTTGAAAAGTAATTAAATTTCATAAATTATATTAAAAAACATGAAGGGAACTTTATCTAACATATTTGAACATGAATTGAATCTTTAAAATACGTAAATCTGCGATTTTTGCATTTTTTCGTACAAGGGTAGTTTTCACCCCCAAATAGAAAAAAGCACACAACTAGACAAATTAACTTTTGAAGTAGGGGGTCAGATGAGCTTGTATGCAAATTTTCAGGAAAATCCATGCTATATGAAAAAATTCGGAGCTTTTACCTTATGTTCGCCTTCAATGAAATTATCCGATTTAAAAGAAAATATTTTCATATTAGTATTCTGAGGACCATGTATTAATACTCCTAAAAAAACTGAACTCCATCTAAAGTTACGCTGTATGCCTAACCTTTTTCAAGATGTCAGTTTTGATTCTATTTAAATTTTTTAATTTGTAAATTTCGTTTGAAATTTTTTACATCATACCGAGTATAGAAATCATCGCCTAAAAAACTGTCCCATGATTCATTATCAAAATATTACCACTTTAATTTTCACCAGCTGCAATATCTATAATAGGCAAGGTGACCAACTCCTCAAAGTGATAATCCGAAACACTTTTATGAAACCAAAAAAAAATAAAAAATTGTCATTAAAACCACTAAAATAAAACTAGCTATGTAACAGGTGAAGATGTGTGCCTGGCCTAGTATAAGTACTTTATTTAAATTTATATTTTGTTTGGCTGTGAATAACTTTTAACTCTTTTACGCTTTAAAATAAATATCTATAAAACAGGTAAAATTATTATGACATATTGTTATAATTATAGACTTTACCGTCTCTACAATAAATTCAGTTTCTGAGATTTATTTCAGGTTATATAGCGAATACTATTGAAAACGCCATTCCGGTACAAATCGGTAGCAAACAAATAAATTCGGTACAATTCCGGGACACTTTATTTCCCGGCACTCGTTCTAAAAACTGGAAACTGTCCCGGTCAATCCGGTACAGTTGGTGACCTTGTAATAGGGCCATTCAGAATAAAGTGGGATATTTTGTAACATAAATTAACGTCCACCTAAATGCTTGTTGATAATGAAAATCAGATCCTTTATTAAATAATATACATTTTATTATTTAAGCTTGCATATTTACACAAAATAAATTCATCATCGTGCCTAAGAAACACTTAATGATAAGTCTCATTATTATTTTAAACAATATTATTGTTTATGTACTTATATTTACAAAACCAACCAATATAAAAAGTCTAACAATAAATAATCATAATCAAACAATCCAACGAATTTCCTATTCTTGCTTATCACAAAACGTATTGGGGATTAAATGATTTTATTACATTTGTGAATATTGATAGTAATAAAAGTGAACTGCAGCAAATATTACGGAAAGGCCAAGACGGTACTACCTGATTCCACACTTTTTATAATTTTGAATTTTACCAAAACTTTTTTATTTATGCAAGTTTCAACTTTTAATTTTTTTTATAACTTTTGCCATACCTTTCAGCTATCACACCAAAAAATATTTTGAATTTAAAGTTACAGTTTACTGTTCAGAAATCAATAGTTGGTGGAAGATCCTGTAGTAGATTTTATATAAAATTAGTATAAAATAACAATACATAATCCCTAAAGTGAAGCAAAAAAAAAAAATACAGAACATATCACCGGCACTACTGCCTCTATTAATAAAGCTTTAACATCATCGACGTCATGAAAGAAACATGCCTTCACTAATTAACAAAACGAATTATATATTCTAAATACTTTTTTACACATCTCATACATGTATCGTTTCAAAACAGAATTTTTTTAAATTAAAAAAGAAATATTGTGCAAACCCTGTATGTTAAGCCTTTATACATCTAAATGTAGGTAGGGGAACCTTTAAGACTTGCGCCGCAGGCCTCGCAAATCTTAAGGTTCTTTGGATTAACTAGAGTACATTTGGAGCACTCCGCACCGCCGATCTCCATCGGTTGCTCCATGGTGGTGATACGGCTCTTGCTGCACATATCACATATATCTTTGGTAAAGTCATTCAGATACGTACAGGCTCTACACTGCCATGTGGTGGAACTAGGCTTCGCTTCATTCGTATTCTGCTCTTTGACCGACTTACCGATTTTTTCTTCCTTTGTTTTTCTCACGTCTAACGTTTTGAAGTTCTGCGGTTGCTTGTCATTTAAAATTTGAGGTTTATCCCTCGGGAGAGATTTCGTCTTGGCATAATTTATGGTTTTCGTAGTTTTCAACACTGGCTTTTTCACTACATCGTTCGTATTTAAGTTTTCGTAACTGCTTGTAGGGGAAGTTTGTTTGTCGATTCTGGTTGCTTCTGGAAGTGGCTGAGGCTTCTTTTCCTGTTCCAGACGTTTGATGGCCTCACTCACTTTTAAGGGCCTATCGTTAACCATCAGGTTATTCAGAGCCTCGTCTAAATTCGTTTCCTTAATCCTCCTGCCATCCTTCAACAGTTTGTGCGAGTTAGGGCTTAAAACATCACCTCTTTCGCCAAGGTCTTTCGAGTAACCCTGGCTTTCTAAGTTGCGATAAACATAATCCCAGTCCTCAAATTGTGAGTCCTCTTTGTCATTTTCCTTGTCTATAATATTGGCCTTAACTTCATTATCCTTAATTTTATATAAATCGTTATTAATGTGATCCGTGTGACGCGGTTTGTGACTACCCCTATCCGTAACATCATAACCTCCATTATGGGGTTCTAAATCTATAAGAGGGCCGGTTGGTACGGGATACTGATAGTTTGGAGGCATCGGGGGTGTTGGATACCCATTTGTGAAATAATAACCGTTTACATTCGGTTTCATCATCGGCTGTGAGTACGGCATGTAGGCGTAAGCCCCGCAGGTAGAGTAATTATTCGCACAGCAGCCATTGGCATAGACGTACTGCGGCATGGGTTGTGGAGTGGGAGGTAGACCGACATGATGGTGACTGCTTAAGCCGGCTAGTGGAGGGAAAGAGTGATTGATGGGTACAACGGGAGAAGTGGAAGGAACAGCAATCGGCTGACATCGAGGGACATACGAGTCGGAGCCTTGAGAGTAACTCCTGGTATGTTCTTGGTACTGTCGCTGATGGTGGCGGTACCTGAGCGCTTTGATGGCCTGTTCTGGGCCGCATAAGTGTGTCTTGCGGAATTCCAACACTTCCAACCAGGATATTTTGAAGGAAGATGACAGTTCCTCCCAAATTGCTTTCATAATCTGAAATATGTTGCAACTGATTTTGGTTTCAACAAAATTCTTAATTTCAGAATAAAACAATATCGAAATTTATTTTTGACAAATCAACACAGTAAGTAAAGAGAAGTAATGCCCAAGGTTGCTTATTATAATAATAAAATATTTATACTCATACCTGACATTCAACATAGGCAATAAGGCAGTCCTTTGAAATGGCAGCTACTCTGTCTGGGCATAATGGGCCATCCAGCTCCAAAATTCCATCCGTGTAATGTTTGTAACCCATTACTTCAAATAAGATTTCTGCTCCCACTAAATTCGCTTCTATTTGATGTTTATAGAAACCACAGTATGTCTGAAAAAAATTTATAAACTATTATTGCACATAAAATCTTAATAAATATTCAGACGACTTACCTTAATTTGTCTATATTCTTTTCTCCAAGGCTGAGAAAGCAAATTTCCAGCATATAGCTGAATTGCATTAAATCCAGTAGCTGCTTTGTAACCACTAAAATCTTTTTTATTACTAGCTGACCTTTGTAAAACTTCTTGGGTTTCTTGGAACATAAATTTTTGTGAATGTGTAGCAACACACAAGAAGTTATGAATGTATTCTGCAAGAAGCGATTTTACATACAAATATTTACTACAGAAACATTTTCATTTACCTTCTAGTTTATTTCGCTGCTCGATTTTCTCTGGACTTTCCTCCATTTCCAAATAACTTAAATGGCATTTCTCTATTTCTTGCCATAACTCGTATATTCTATTGTGTGGAGAATAATAATTTTCCATAATGACCATATTATTTAAATTAACGTCACTCCTTAAATATTCAACCTATCAACTAAAACAAAATAAACTTTTTTAGAGGTATTTCTAAAAAAATATGTCATATCAACAATTCAAAGAATAAAACTTACGCACGCTTTGTGGATTGATTACATTGTGTTAAAATCATGTTAAAATACAATTAAAATAGTAAAATATATTTTTAATACTATTTTGACAGATAAATAACCTATACTTTATTACTCATCACTCCAAAATTAACCAAAACGTACACAGCTGTTCATAAATTTTACTTTACACCTACTATTCTTTGCGAAAATTATCTTGTTTTCGTATTGAGTAGTTTATACTTCCTAATTTCACAAATCAATTTCATATTTCAGAATGTAGTCTCACATCAAACCGTGCTATATAAGTATTTTGATTATGGTATAATTATGGATCATCTATATACCTCAAAAAAAGGTACGAACTGACAACTGACGTAACAACGATGACAGTTGTCATAATGTCAAAAATCAATTTCCATACACATGAGGGCCTTTCGATTTGGCAGCAATAGTACCTATTAGTAACTATTATCAGTTCAGAGTAACTCTAAATTGCTATTAGCTACTAATAGCTACTACTTTTGCCAAATCGAAAGGCCCTATGTATGTACTATATTTGCCAAAACGAAAGCCCCCATGGAGATTACAAAAGGAGCCCGAACTCCATGTAAACAAATATCTTATCAAATTAGAGGGCGCTAGTGTCCCATATGCACCGAAATAGTAGAGGCAGATAAATAAAGCACCAGTTTGAATTAAAAATCAATCACACTGTTTTTGTGTTGTGTTAAAAATTTTAAAATAAATAATGTAGGCTACTCTGAATTAGATAAATAAATCAATAAATAATGAAAATGTCAGTGTACAAGGAACACTAGCCACTAGTACCTATCTCATTCCAGACGAGCAGTTCGCCTTCCGACCCAATCACTCCACTGAACTCCAAATCCTTCGCCTTACCGAGCACATCACGGCGGCCTTCAACAGGGGACAGTACACTGGTGCTGTCTTCCTGGACGTCGCAAAGGCCTTCGATACGGTTTGGCATGAAGGCCTACTGATGAAAATGCTCACCAACCAATATCCCATATCCTTTACCAAACTCATAAAATCCTACCTACACCACCGAAAATTCCGCATCCAAATCCAAGATTCCCTTTCCACCACCCGTCCCATGGAGGCCGGTGTCCCCCAGGGCACCGTCCTGTCTCCACACCTATACACCATTTACAACTCCGACATCCCACATCCCCCCAACACCAACATATACTTATACGCCGACGACCTGACAATTACATCCCAATCCGTAGATCCTAGATATTCCGTCTCCCTCCTCCAAAACTCCTTAGACCAACTTGAAACCTGGTGCAACAGGTGGAAAGTCAAAATTAATCCCAACAAAAGTTCGGCTATCCTTTTTACCAAACGAAAAATCCCACAAAACCTCGACAGACTGACACTATCCCAGGAACCTATCTCCTGGAATCGACAAACACGATACCTGGGCGTGACGATGGACCAGCGTCTCACGTGGAAACCGCACATCGTGGAGACGGTGGCGCGAGCGAAGACCACCAGGGCTAGGCTCTATCCCTTACTCAAAGGTGGAAACACCCTCAGTTTAAGGAATAAGCGAACGCTTATCAAGGTGGTACTTCAACCGCAGCTAACCTACGCCTCCACGGCGTGGGGTCACGCGGCAAAAAGCCACTTAAAGTCATTACAGGCTGTGGAAAACATAGCCCTTCGCACGGCCACCGACGCGCCCTGGTACGTAAGAAACACTGACATATTACGAGACTTACAATACACAAACGCTACACAGACAATAAGACAAAACGCGGAGAAACGATTTGACGTAGCCGCTAGACATGACAATCCCCTCCTCAGGCAAGCCGTTGACTACGTACCCGACGTGACCGACAAACACAAAAGACCTAGACACCAACTTTTTGACCCTGGGTGACCACCCCAATGACCCCCCCTCCCCTGCCCGCTAACCTTTTCTGTTTCAGAGACAGCCAGGATCAAGAAACGAAGACAACGACACACACACACACACATACACACCCCCCATACCCTCCTTACCCCTCCCCTCCCGCGCTAGCCTAAGGGCCACCTTAGCAAAGCGCATCCCAGGCTGCATAGCCGCACTACCCTACCCAACCATACCACACATAAACATGACACTACCCCCGGGGTTTACACAGACGAGCCGGCGAAGCAAGAAGAGCGCCAGAAGAAAGGGCCCTAGCCGGCGGGGCCCAGCCAGGACAAAAGGAGGTCCCACAAAGCGCCTACACCGGCCGCATTTGCGGTCGGGGTAGACGACGGATGGGGCCCACCTACGAAGGCTGTCCAGGCCTACACGAGATGAGGCAGGATAAAGAGGGATAATCCCCCTCGATCCCAAATCATTGAGGCCAATTTCTAGCCATAGAATAATGGCGCGCGAGTACCTATCTCTCTCTCTCTACAACCTCCGCTACACTCTGTGCCACTGGGACTGGGACGCTGTCTCTAGTAGTATATGCTCTAATAGTCTCCCTGCTTCAAAATTAAATACTTTAGCATCTAGCATGGAACCATGAAATATAATCGTAAAATTACATTATATTTATTTATATCGTATCAAGATCAAGATATAAAGATCTTGTGTATGTTACCTAGTTTCCTTAGAATATATTAATCTAAGAAGCATATACAGTGATGCATGTTTTGTGGTTGTCTGGTCTAGTGTGGTGTGATCACTTAGGTCATAGACTTAGGTGAGTAGGATCACTGATCACTGATAATTAGCGATTCATGGTCTTGATCTGTCTTGACTCTTGATCCTTCCCTTCCTTGCCTTGTGGTCATGGAGACTATACTCCTAGTAGTCTAGTCTCCATGCTTGTGGTGATCGAAAACGAAATGTCGAAAAAGTAATAAGTGACCGTTTGTGATGTGTCGTGTCACCTATTTTGATTTGTTTACATATTTTATAAAAGATAATATTGATTGTATCATTAACTTAATTATATTTTGGATTAATTAGTTATTAACTAAAAGTACATTAAGCTTTTCAACATGACTTTCACTTAAATTTATTATGAAAGATCAAAATTTGGCATTCTATGGCTTCAGTATTGATGCCGCCAAAAAAAGTCGTGTAATAAACGGGATATTGAATCGTCTGATCACAGGTGTGGAACGTGATATAGAAATAGTGACAAGTACTCCAGTATCTGGAAGGACAATGGAAATTTCATTTTCTAAGCACTACAATTTCCACATAACGGTGGACTATGACAGTGGCTACATGTCCCATCATCAAGAATCTAACTCGGATTCTTCTTCAGAACACCTAGGTGAAAGCATACCTAATCCTCCTTCCACCAGACCTATATATTTAAGTGAAGATGCCCTTTTGGAAAAGCCAGAAGTGAGTGTCAAGTCAAAAAATGTGGAAATAGAAAATAATGCAGATGAGAAAACTACAAAATTGAGCACAGATTTTGGAAGAGATAATTCTGTTGAATCTAGAAATTTATTCCCATCTCCTGACACAGTTTTGTCCACTTCAGTCTTAAGTCAAAGAACAACTTTTAGTGGGTTTGACGATTCCGATTCAAACACGTCCTTAGAAATACACTGTTCAAAGCAGATTATAATAGAAAATGTGAATTATGCTGTTAGAGATAATAACTTACGCTGCAGTGACATTAATTGCCATTTAAATATTAGTGATACTGTTAGTTTAATTAGTCAAAGAAATGCTCAATTCCATAACTGTATACAATCTGAAATTGGACAGAATTATTCTTGTGAATATGGAAATAATATAACTTCTTTTTCACAACATACTGATCAATATGAGGAAGATGAAAATTGTTCAGCTCTAAAAAATATAACAAATACGAGTAATACAAAAAATAATGAAAAAAAAAGGTTAACTCTTATATTTTCAAAAAATGATAAAGAAAATGTATATAGTGTTAAAAGAAAATATCAAAGTATTAGCCCGGAAAAACACTTTTCTCCTCAAAGAAATGATATAAGTTTGGACAAGACTATCACAGTGGAAAAAAGTTCAACGCCAAACCTTGTTATGGAAAATGAGACTGAGGAAAATGATTTGACCTGTAGTGATAATCCAGAAAATAGCATAAATTTTGATAAGGATTCTGTAATAGAGAAAACTGTTAATATTGAAAATGAACTTAAAGGGGCAGGCAACTTTGATAACAGTGAAAGTCCAAAAAAAGAATTAATTTTGAGAAAAGAATTGGATTTGGAAAAAATAGTTCTTGAGCAAGAAGATTCTGAATATTGTCCTGTCTTTGTTTCACCAGAAAAGAAAGGATTTAATGAGCCTAAACAAAAATTATTGGGTAAGTCAGTTATTTCATGTGTATGATTTTACACTGTCTGTTGAATTAAGCAATTTATCATTCATGTTCTTCAACTATAATTTAATATACGTATGTACTTTTATATATTTAGAGCACCAACAAAAGCCACCATTTATTAATACACCAACAAAGAAATTTGAGAATCCTGTTGATCCAAATATCAGTCCAGATTTATTTGAACACGATGACTTGCCACACGAAGTCACAAAGGAACTTCCACCTCTGAATTACATTGCAGAGGAGAAATATATTATTAAAAAAGACCAGAGGATTCTTAAAAGAGCCCAGAATAGCTTGAAGGGCGTTTTACCTCCACACAGCGTTACTGTAGTGCAACTCTCAGTCAATGAAATGTTGAATAGACTCGAGACTAATAAGCAGTATTTTTGGGTAAATGACAGAGTTGGTGGAAAATTTAATACTGAGACGAATAATGACCAGCTAGATACCAGCAATGACAGCAATTGTGAGGGACAATCGAAGTCATTGCTTGTTACGGGAAATAAGGACTGTGTTGATTTAGATTTCCCACAAATTCTTCAGCAACGGTACCATGGTTTGCAGTGAGTATTTAAATGTTAAAGTATTACTGACACGCTTGAATTTGTTTCCAAATCGGTTTTGACTAATTTTTTTCAATCGCCATTTATTTTGTAAATAAGTTTTATAAACCTTGATTTTTTTTAAGTCACAATCGAAGTAAGCTGTCTGAGGAGTTCGAAGAATTGTGTTTAAAGTACGGGCAGAGATATGTCGGCGCTGAAACGCAGTCAACGTGCACCGTGTTTGAAACGAACTTCATAAGCCCTACAAAGCGCAAGCAGACAAAGCAACGTTGGGCTGTAAAGTCACCTGGTAGGCGATTGAGTCACCTTGCTAGGAGGAGAATTACTTTCTCTAGTGCTAATTTACAAGGAGGGCCGTCTTCCCTCATGGGTTCACGAGCTAGACAAATCCTGGTTGACGCAAAGTAAGTTTTATAATTAATTTTTAAATAAATAAAAGTTCGAAGCACTTCGCGATCGCAATTCTACTTATTCGTATCGAGTCGGTCCGATCGCAGTCAACTGTCGGGAATAAACACATAATTTTCAAAAATCAATTTTGTTGTTTTCTGGTTTGGAATATAAAAAAATGTAAAGAAACGAAAAGTGCAGATAATATAATGGTGCATATGATGACCTATTTGATATTAAAATATTATTATGTAAAAACCCTTTTTTTTGGCGACAGAGTACTTCCCCGGATTTTTGACCTCTACTTAAGAAACACCCTGTATACAACTAAAATTGCTGTGTGTAAGTACTGCAACTAATTTACGCAGTTGTTTGAGGTCACACTAGCTTGTCCAGCGGTAGGGTATGATAATGATGAAAAAAAGTACTAAAAAAGTGTACTTAATTAAAAAAAAAGTTAATTCAAAGGTTAGACTTTAAGATTAATTATAAAAATAATTTTTATTTTTAAGTTTTGAGAGTCAACCCTAAATATCTCGGTGATAAATATTGTATTACGCCTCTACTGCGACTATAACCATCAAGCAGAATAGCATTATGATCATGGCTTTCCGTCAGACTACTGCGATCGGTCAAACTCTATTTTGGTAAACATATTGTTACTTTAAAAAAATACTCATTTTAGAAAACTGGACCTGTTGAATCGACGGAGGAGTCCACGGAAGAGCCCCAGGAAGAACTTTAGAAGGACACCAAGGAAAACTCCCAGTAAAAGTCCAAGGCTGAAGTCCCGTACCCCTAGCAGCTCAGCCAAGAAGAAGCTGGCCATGCGGTTTCGTGAATTAGCTGGAGAAATTGAAAAAACCGTACCAACCACATCGTCAGACAAAGCTGTATTTTCTTCGAAGCGTGCACTGTTTCGAAGTCCCGATCATGATAAAAAACTTAGTTTTTTCCAACCTAGTAAGAAGATACAAATAAATCCTGTACCATTTATTCATTACGTTAAATCGTAGGTACGTCCGGCTTGTCTACATTCGAAAATGAATTGAAGAAACCAGGCACAAAGAGGGCCTTGTTTATATCCCCTAGTAAAAGGTCACCGTTGAAGAACTCCCCTTTCAAAAGGTCCCCCTTCAAACGCCGTCTAGATTTAGGTGTCGAGAGGAAACGGAAGCGGACGGATTGCGACGATGCGCCTCCCTCAAAACTGGCTAGAAGCGTGTCGGTTGATATCCGTCCTTCGGAGTCCGAGGTGGGTACAAAATTCAGCAGGGCCAAGAGTGAAATGAGTATATCCCTGAACAAGTCCCAGGTGGGACCTTCTGGAGAGTTGAGCGCCGTACATAAAAAGGTAAGGGTGTAAAATAATTTAGGGGATGATTTTACTTATAAAAATAGTGCTACAAGTTTGAGTAGAAGTTCCTGTGATTACGTTCCAACATGGGAGTTCGAGATCCCAGAATACAATGCAACCTCCATAATAATAATAATAATCTTTATTATTAGCCATTGGCTAGCACATATACAAATATACACAAAAGAACACAAACTTTAATACATTTACTTCTTCAACTAGCACACATATCTATACACCTATAAACTATACATCAATTTTTTGCCTTATATATATTCTGCATGCTTCTTTAAATTGTGATAGCTTATTTGCAGCCCTAATACTTTCAGGTAGTTCGTTATATTGTTTTAATCCTCTATAAAATAAGCTATTCTGACTAAAGTTGGTAGAAACCCTATTTAAATAAAAGTTGTTCCGTGTACGCGTATTATGCTCATGTATATCTCTGACAAATTTACAGTTTTGGAGAAGATGTTCAGGTACCAATTTATGCAGCATTTTATAAATAAATATCAAAGTGTTATATGTTATAGTTTGCCTCACACTTAAAATATTGGTTGCATTCAGCATATCACTTATCCTGGTATACTTATTACATCCTAAAATCATACGTAATATTTTATTCTGTTTTTTCTGTAGAGTGTCTAATTGGGTATTATTCATTAAAAACAATATCGTGGAACAGAAATATAAGTGTGGAGCAATGATTGTTTTGTAAATAGTGAACTTAGCCCAGCAACTTAGGTCTCGTGACATACGCCCTAATATATTACTTTTTTTGGCAAATTTACTTGTAATAAATTTGTAATGTTCTGAAAAGGACAAATTTTCATCAATTACACATCCCAAGTATTTAAAATGANACCATATAGTTTTTTATTATTTTTTTCATCTCGAAAATTATGAACAAACGAAATATTATAATAAATACTTATGTATTTGTAGGAATATTCTTCAAATATTTAATTAAAATGCACAATTGGTTGATAAACAATATTTATTATGAATTAACAATAAGATTTCATTAAAAAAAACAAACGTGGTCAGGTAGGATGTTTCGGTAAATTCCACAACGCGTAGAGAAGCATCGAAACTGTATGATGAAAGAACAATCTTTCAAAATGTTAACGAAATTTGCTTCAACGTCGATATTTTGAAAACAAAATGCGCGTGTAAAAACAACATTTACACGACATGCTAGATGCTTAAAAAATTTCTGCTTCCCATGTTTCTATGATAATGATCATTCTGGCTTATATCACACTGCGTAAAATGTCAAATACTAAAAATAAAATAAAAAACCTACCTGACCTCATTTGTTTTTTTTTAAAGAAACTTTATTGTTAATTCATAATAAATATTGTTTATCAACCAATTGTGTATTTTAATGAAATTGAAGAATATTCCTACATATACATAAGTATTTATTATAATATTTTGTTTGTTCATAATTTTCGAGATGAAAAAAATAATAAAAAACCATATGGTGCGTTTTGAAAAAAAAAAAAAAAATGTCGCGACAGACTCGAACCAGCGATCTCGTGACTTTCAGTACCGAATGCTGCCAATTGGGCCACGCTCCCAGTTGAAAAATGTGTCACATCTAGTGGATTTAGCTGTCAGGTAAAACTTCAAAATCGATTATCTCGGTAATTTATGAACGTTGCGTCGAACTACTTCGGAAAATTCTTATTCAAGGTCCAAACTACACGTACCATAAATATCAAAAATTACAAAAATCCGACTACCTTACCTTCTTGTTGTCAGTTTTGTCTTTGCAGTCCTCACTAGAAGCATGTTTTGTTACCGTTTTCGTAATGCTGAATAAGACAACGATTTCGTGTTTGGTGATTTTGGTATAAACTTTTGTCCCGAGCCAGATTTCTTGCACTGCTTATAGTTCCTTCTTTTTCTTTGATATTGAGAGTTGATATTTCTTATTTTCCTTTCAGTTTCTTCCGCTGACAAATTCAGAGATCGTCCAAATTCCTTTAAAGCATCGGCCTTTTTATAACGATTTTTATAGTCACTATTTGTTGGGTCCCATAACAATGGGGTTTCTCGATACATCTGTATTAATTTACAAGTGTTATCCACTGTCCACTTCGTTTTTTCCGACATCGTTTCACAGTAATTACATTCAACAACATGAGTACACGCGAACGATATTTTAAGTTTTGTTTCTCCGTCCACACTGAATCGACACAGTTCCCGATAAAGCAAACAAAACAGAAACCCTTTCATATTTACCAACAAGCGACGGGAATAAAAATTGTTTGGGAATCCGGCGACAAAACAGAGCCGAGACAAAAAAGTCGCTGAAATGTCGCAACTTTGTTGCAAAACATAAAGTTTCTGTTTTGTTTCTCCTTTGTCGGTTTGATGTGGACCGGCATTACATATAAAAAGCAAAGGATAAAAGGTATACAATTGAATAAATTTCACTTGAACCGTGAAATGTGCAAATCAAAAATAGAGTGGACTTGATGTCGAATACTCCAGTCGAATTAGAGTTTGAATGTGAAAAAATTATTAGTAGACATTTTATTACATTTTATTTATTTTATAATGTCAAAAAAGGCACTCAAAAGAAGTGATGCCATGTTGACAAATTGCAAATAAGTTGTAAATTTACATTTTTTTTTTCACTTTTTTACTACCTGCGAAAATCTAGACAACCTATTGGAATATTAGTTATTTTATGTTGTAAGCAATTAAATTATCTACAATTTAAGGTACCTGAAGTTACTTTTCACCTATTTGTTAACTACAAAATAAAGATCGAACACAGAAATATCAGTTTTCATAAATTGCGCATTATTACTGCAAAAAGCGATGGATGTTGCTAGAATTTATGGAAAAGACAAGTCAATCCAATGACCAACAAGTGTGCCAAACGCCAATTCAATTGACCCTGAAATTATTGCTCCAGCTGTTTGTTAATTACTTTCACTTGATTTTTTAATAAACGTTAATTTTAGATGTTAAGCATAAATATAGGTTCCAATTGATTCAAAGAAACGTATCACAAAAAAGAAAAATTTTATAAAGTAGAAATTAAGTAGTCTGGACGGAGAACGCTTCTTAGTTCCCTTAGTTTAAGATTTGTGTTTGTAATAACGTAGAAAAAAGTAGGCTTCTTGTCATATTGTAACATTTGTTAACAAATATACAGTCCACTTTAAGGTCAATTTATTTACTACAAAACCAAACATAGCCCTTTACAACTAATAAGGTAGGACATGCAAAACGGCATTATAAACAAATTGTCCCAAGATCAGGCAAAAGCCGCTCGGGAATTCGCTCTTTTCGCATGGAATAGAGCGTATTAAATAAAAAATAACAATTAGTCAAAGTTAACGAGTGATATTTTTTACTTGAACGTTTCAAATTCAGTAAAAAAACTGGCGCGCGACGAGGACGGCGTTCATGCGCATGCGCGGGCCAAGCTCCTCCCGAGTGCTGGCCGTTCACTAACGTTACCTTTACTGCTGCTAGCGCATTTATAACATGAACTATCAGTGGTGGTTGTACCATAAGAGCTGTGGAGCTGCAGAACACATAAAATTTTATGTATTTAATCATATTAAATATCAACAAAATATTTAAAGAATCCAAATGTACTCGCGCTAAAATAAATCTAGGAGCTTATATTATTAATTATTACGACGCGAGCTACGCTCCTTAATATATGCAACCTCATATACAAAATGTGTGCGCAGCGAACAGTTAGATGCGTCCTTTGTTTTTATTGGCTAATCAGGCTCGTGACCCAGTACACGAACATAATGGGCTTATGTGGCTGCAACAATGACAGCCACTGCTGCAGTAAATGCACTAAATGCAGTAATATTTTGTACGTGGCGTGTGGTGGTTTATTTCTGTGAGCGGCACGTGTGAATATTTTCGTTTAGGCGTCTACGGATATTGTAGTTATTAAAATGAATAGCGTTTCGTTTTTACAAAAACTTTATTTGGTTCTCTGCCTTATAAGGATAAACTAAAAATAAAAAAATTAGGTGGGCCAACACCACGATTAAATGTTGAAGTTAGTGGAACAAGCCGAAGTAAAACTTATAAAAGACAATTTAACAATGTATACTCAAAAGCAGAGTGGGTGTGTGGGTGTGATGTAAAAAATACACTGTTTTGTTTTCCGTGCTTACTTTTCGGTGGGGATAAAGCATGGACAATATACGGTGTGAAAGATTTAAGTCATTTAAGTCATTAGGTAAATAAACATAAGAAGTCAGTTAGATTCTGCATATTGGGATAATATACGGAAACAGAATGAACAGGTAACGGAAAATCGTTATGTATTATCTAAAATCATAGATTGCATAAAATTTTGCGGAGCTTGCGAATTAGCACTTCGTGGACACGGCGAGACAGGAGACAGAAAATTCGGACAACCCTGATGTGTTTCGTGGACTCAAATTTTAGTGCATATCTTTACAACATATTAAAAGAACATCTATCCACATGGGCATGACCGGGAATTTCTGTGATTGTACCGGGAATTAGCTGTATGGTCCCGGATTCCGGATTTGCACATATAACTCCCAGAATATAATATATGTACATTGTATAAAGAAAGATAAAGAAAAAATCATAACACGACGAGGAAAATTAAAATTCGTTGAATCGTTGGTAAACTTCACAAATGATTTTTTTGTTTATAAACAACATTCAATAATTTAATAAAATATATTTAGTTTATTCCAATTTATTTATCAGTCAGTAGGTAATTCGTGAATAGATATTTCAAAAAGGTATCAATTTCAAAAATCGTTCTTGTGAAAATCTGTATTTTTGTATAAATGGATTGTTCCTTGAAATTCAGAAGTGCCAGGAAAATGCGTGACCTTGAAAATTTTCGCCTGCGGCGCCGTTTGGAGACTCCAGGCACTTAATATCCCGGAATTCAACTCAACAAATGTAACAACCCTAAGCAGAACACATTCAATCAATGTTCACACGCCGCCACTGTGAACTATCAATGTAAAAGTTTAACCCTTTCTTTAATTGTCTTTAAAATACCTGTCCGATACGGCCAATAATTAATTAACAAATAACATTAAAAAAAAAGTTACCTTAGGAACAAAGAAGCCTAGGTGATTCCTCTGTTTTTTTAAATAACCGTAAAAATAAGCTCTATTTAATGCAAAAAGAGCAAATCCCCGAGCGGCTTTTGCCTGACCCTGGGACAATTTGTTTATAACGCTGATTTGCACGTCCTATTTTGTTAGTTGCAAAGGGCAAATTAATTTCAACTTTTTGAAATTTTTCTGTTTGGATACGTGTCTTTGAATTAATTAGACCTATATCTACGATATTAAGTTCTAAAATTAACGTTTATAATTAAACAATTAGTTCCAAAAAAAAAACCACCCAAATTAATTAACAATTAGCTGGAGCAACAATCTATGGTCAATGGAATCGGCGCTTGGCACACGTGTTGGTCATTGGATTGACTGTCTTTTCTATTTTCATCAATATCCATCGCTTTTCGAAAACTTATATTTCCTCGTTCGACTTTTATTTTACAGTTAACAAATTAGTGAAATATGATTTTAGATACCTTAAACTGTAGGTAATTTAATTGCCTACAACATAAAATAACTAATATTCTGATAGGTCGTCTAGATTTTCGTGGGCAATAAAAAAAATGTAAAACACACAAATTTGCCATTTATTTGCAATTTGCCAACTTCATGTCACTTCTTTTCGACTTATTTTTTTGATAGTATCATTCTACATACCCTTTGCCGTCATAAAGTTCACTAAAATGTCTATTAATAATTTTTCCAAGTTTTCAGGTTTTATGATCTAATTCGACTGGAGTAGAATGAGATTGAAATGCAGGCAGCGGTTACCTGTTGCCTACACAGAGGCTCCGTCCCCACTTCACTACCTTACCACTGTGCATCCTACCCTCAAAACTCAAATTAATAATATGATATCTGTACTATAAACAGTCATGCGAAATTTTTTATCATTATTATGTTCTATTAATGTTTTATATATTTCCTTCAATGATCAAACATTGATACCACACGATGAACAATAATTATTAAAATTGTTGTAAGTAGAATGCGGTGATTTTGCAACACATTTATTCTTCCAAATCTCTTAAGACATTTATTGTTTCATGAGAATATGGACATTCTATAGAATTCTTTACTAAACTCTAAACAAATGGTATTAAAAGTAATGTTCAGGGAAGTGAAATGACATAAATTCAATAAAATTGAGTAAACTAAGCCACTTTTAGGGTATACTTCAGTTGTTTTAAATCTAGTGTGTGAAATTTTTTCCTGTTGATTGAGACTTATATGGTTAGGTTATTCCAGTTTTGAGGGTATAACACCAATAAAAAGTGTTACAAGTGCAATAATATTTGTAAAAACTCTTCCATTTGTCATAATTCTCAACTAGTCCAGTATAGATAGAATGGTAGAAACCTCCGAATTCTTGACACACGCACCAATATTCATGAAAATTAATGAGTAAGCTCATTTCACTCTCCTTTACAAAAATTGCATATCCATAATGTGTGCTTATTGTTTTTAGGGGGTGAAAACTACCCCTTCTTGCAAAAACGTAAAAACCATAGATTTAAGTGTTATGTCAATAGAATAAGCATTCTTTTATGTTTTGAATAATAATTTTTGATTTGTAGCAACATTTCAACCCTTAAAATTCACCCTTTATGATGAAAAAAAAACTAAAATTAGTTTTCGCGGCTCTGAAATGTTTTGACGGAGCAATAATGAAGAATTGTATATTTTTTACAGTTTATGAAATAATACATGATTTATTGCAACGTTTCAACCCTTAAAAATCACCCTTATTGCAGAAAATAAAGCAAAAAATTTTTTTCGCATCTTCATAGCATTTATAATGAATGAAAGACTCATCGCTGTTTATATTATTACTGATAATTCATTGCAACATTTCAACCCTTAAAAACAACCCTTAATGAGGAATTGAAGAATTTTTACCTGCTTCAAAACACTCAACGATACATTACTAAATGCGACGAGATTACTTAAAACTCCAAACTTAAATTATGTAATTAGTGAAAGGGAAAATTATACAATTATACTTTATTATCAAAAATTTATATATCATCTAAAGAACTATCATCATTGTCGACTTCCTCTGTTTGGTCCTTGATTGGAGGACAATTTTGGCAATTGTTCCCAGAACATGTTTCGCATGCCGCGTTACAATAGAGTCCAACTTTGCGGCAGCTGCAAGTCGCACCGCATCCTTTTTTGCAATTGCAAAATATCATTTTTAAGTTCTTCGGATGCAGGCTTGTTGAACATTTTGATTGGCTGGAGAGAATTTTCATTTTTAATCCATCCTCAATAAGTTGGATTATCATGCTATCATTACCAATTCATTTTTTCACAATAACTTTTTTAATTTTTAATATTTTTCATCGCTCCAAAAAGCAATTTGCAGGGAATTGCAAGAGCTACAAATCAACCTTTAAAGTTGAAGGATCTTGAACTCTTCATATTCGAGATTTTTAGGTTTTAAGGGCTCAAAGAGGGTAGTCCTTACACTCAAATGCAAACTAAAAAACGTAATATCTCAGTTAATTTTTACTCTAGAGAAAAATTAAGAGCAAAAATATTATAAAAAAAAGACCTTTAATTTTGAACTCTTGCATTTTCACGTATCTTATTTAGTTTTTGAGTTATTTTGAAAAAAAGGAAATTTTATTTAAAATTAAAAAAATGTTTGTTTCATTATTTCGAACTTTTTTTTAAATTTAGGCATTCTAAACCGGTCAAACTTGTACAGCCTATTATTAGCACCTAAATAAAGTCAACTGTACATGGATTATGCTTAGTTTCTTTTTTTATGCTTCAGCCATAGATTTTATTTTTGATTTTTTCTCCGAAAAAATGCGATAACCATTTTATTTTCATCATAACTCCGCGAGTTTTTGAACTACAAAATTTTTTCAGAAATCATTTTAAAGATCTTTCCAAGCACTTTAAAAAAAGTTATATTCATTTTCTTCGAAAAATTAGTTCTTTCGCCATTATTTTACAGTAAAAGGTTCGATTTTACTTTCCGAAAAATAAACAATCATCTTTAGAGAGGGATAACTCGGATATTATTACATCTACGGTAATCAACAAAAAATGAATAGATTCGTTATTTCAAAAGCTTTATTTTTGTTTTATATGGGGTTTTCGATAAAACGCAAGGTTTTCGAGTTATTTATCAAAAATGGTTGAAAAACATGCACTTTTTAGATGAAAAATCAACATCTGGAAACCTGCAAATAAAAAACTTACGATCAATTTTCTAGCTAATAAAAGCTATAATTATGCCCTTTGGGACTTTAATATTTAGATGATTTTTGTTACGACTAGTGCACAAAATTTGAAAAAATGAAATGAAAAAGAAAAAAATTATTATCAAAACATTAATTTTAAAAAGCATAACTTTGAGATCGTTAATACAGAGTTTTTAAAAATTGTCACGAACCTGTAACTTTTTTTTAGCAAAATTGCCCCGTAAAATTTTGGTGCATAATTTCTGGACATTAGTATCCTGTATTAATCAGTTTTTCATATCCAACGTCCAATTTTCAGAAACTCCAGTGGGCGGTATACGAGGCCCTCCGTTCACAAGACATCACTCCAAACCACCCCCAATTCAAAATATTTGCGTCTGTCTTAGCTCGCGTGACAAGACGGTTTCTTCCAAGCTTAGCGAGCAGCGGACCTAAAGAATGTGGCACCACCGAGAAAATGCTGAGGATCGCCCGTTTCCACGTTTATGCGGTCATCAAAGGTAAATCGGTGGACGAAATTATCAGCGAACACCTGAGGAGCAGAGCGAGAAATGCCAAACCTCAGGGCTATATAGGTCCCGGCGACTTAAATGAGAAAAAGAGTTCTGAAGTGTCGAGTAAGGAAAGTAGTGCACGAGCTCAGTTTAATACCCGAGAAAGTGTCGATAGGAAGAAGGTAGAACAGCAGGTTAAACCTAAAATTGGGACGGAAAATAGGATAGATCGTATTCGCAAGGTTATTAATTTTGGGGATGATAACAGATAAATTATGGGTACGTTTAGTAAGTTAGTGCAAATAAACTCATTTCGATATATACTGTTGTATTGCATCATTTAATAATATTTCTGTATTAAAAAAAGGTATGTTTGAAAACATTTGTTGTAATTACAGGTAAAAATTTTAATCAATGAAAAACTGTGGTGAATTTTCAAAATTTCTAGTCTTGGTATGATTTTATTTCCGTCACGTGCAATACCGATGCACATTGATTTTAAATTCTGACATATTTAGATTAATATCTGGAAAATAAAGTGTTCTGATTTTTTACTTTGGGTCTTTTTATAATTTATTTTAAACAGTGACTTTAAGACTCCTTGTGTATGTATATACTGTAGTCATCTGGTTGTTGAGTAATAAATATTTTAATTTTTATAATGTTTTATTGACAATTCATCGGCTCGTTTTGTAGGTTTCTGCGGTAGATGTCAATGGTTAAATAATTTTCGAGCTGAAAACGCGAAAATGAGATAAAAACTATTTTTTTTGACAATTCAGAGGCGACATCAGTCACATATCGCATTGAAAAAATAAATAATTGGTATTTCAACATATTTTTCTACCGTACAGGGTGCTGGAGAGAATTTTTTAATGGTAGAATGGCGTTAATAATAAGCATTTTCAATAATCAAAATTGTTAAAATTACAAAACAGCACTTAAATACTTAAACTTAAAATAAATAACAAAATTTAAAAACTTATTGAGAACCTCTGGAACCATTTACGGCTTACACACTACATAAAAAGAGGTGAATAGTTGTGACCGCAAATGGTGTGTTGCTTTTTTGTCCCGTTTTTCTTTAGTAAACAGAAGAATTGCTATTTCATCTTTAGCTAATTATCAATTCTGTGTTTCTATCACAGAAACATGTTTTTTTATTGAAAAATAATAGTGAACGAATGTTTCTGTGAAATCATTTACTTTTCTAGATTTTTATTTTTGTTTTCTGAAATTCTGAGTAAGGATAGTGTGTTTGTGTATGTCGGCAGTGGCTGATATGATGGAGTCAGCAGTTTCAAAAAGTTTTCATCATATCAATGTGGTAAGTCGGCAGATATTAGAAAAAAATATTTCTGTCAATGGAATTTCCACACCTCGATTTATTTACTCTTTAAATATCCTTCTCACATTTGTATATTTTAAAAACGTGTAAAAACAGAAACATTAGGAATTTATTTTAACCAGTGGTGGCTCGCCAGGTGACGCAAGCGATACACCGCTTCACCTAAAATTTCCGTTTGGTTGTGCAATTTAAAATTATTTTTAATTTTATATAAATATTATAATTTAGGTATAATTCCATATTGAAAATGTATTGTGTTTGTTTAATATGCAGAAATAAACAGAATAGTTACGCAGTGAACGCCTTCTAAAAAAACATTGTTGAGTGCGAACATGAACCTCATACCGTATAACGTTTAGTATACGCAAGTGACGCAGATCGAAACAGTCGGAATTCCGCTTCTCTTCAAAGCGTTGTTTACAGCGGTTGCCATGGCAACAAGGTGGTCAACATGGAAGAAAATTACAGCGTGGGGGAACGAGAGACGCGGATATTGAAGCAGCATTGTTATCACCCATCGCCTGCCATTAACAGTTTATACGATACGCGTCGCCCAGTACACGATTATAAACAATTATAACTGTTCTTAGTTAATATTTCTGTTGTATAATAATTGTAGAAATGTTTCCTATGTATGATCCAGTATGTATTTATTGGAAACGCCATTTTCCTTATGGAAAATTGAGGACAAAAAGGATTTTTTTAATTGCGAGGGACCTGTGCCTTATTCTCTCGATATGGAAGAAAGGAGAAGTCAAAAGACAACGTGTACGTTCGAAAGTTTCGGAATGAATGGTATTTGGAGCATAAGTGGTTGTGTGGAAGTGTTTATTAAAAAAAACTGTTCTGTATGCCGTGTTTAATGGTGGGTGTAAAGTCGGGCGTGTGGAATAAATGGGGATTTAACAATTTTGGGAAAGCCACGCGAGGCTGTCGTAACCACAAAGCTTCTTTGGAACTTACATGTACGGTGTGTGTTAATGTTCGCAGAAGTCCACAAGCTGAAGTAATATTGCTATTTTTTATAAAATCTAAATGAAAATCCTTCTCACGAATGTCAGTTTTTCGGTAATATTGCAAATGCAACTAAAAATTTCCAGATTAATTTAAAGTTGTTTGACTTTGAAAGCCAAAGGCTGTGCGGAAGAGGGCTACACTTGAAAAAACGCGACCAAACAGCCATTATCCATCGACATTGCCAGGGATCGAATCCGGACGAGAATAGGAAGTCTGGCCGAGAAATGCTTGCACCGCATGCTCGTACTACGCTACCATTGTGACTTGTTTTTATTATTTTGATGATTAGTTCAAAGTTATTGATCTGTGATGATCTAATCCCTGATTTTTTACGTATGTTGTTCAAATTCAAAGTAATTCTAGGCCTTTGTCTCATTTGAAATTATTTTCATTGTTTCCAAATTCCCTGCTATTTCCAGGTTTCCAGATAGATTTAAAAAATTTGAAATTGAAGGTTGATTTGATAAAAACTATAAAATTCTTTAGACATCATCATTATTTTCTGTACTGAATCTTTTACTCATACGTAAAAATCAAGGACCAGAATACTACGGGTCAATAATTTCACACCATGCACCGCTAAATATAAATACCAATCAGAGCACTTAATCTCCAATTTCGTCTAAAAAGGAACGTGGTATCTCCCTCAAAATTGTCTAATCCATCAAGCTTAAAACTTTACTAGAGATAAACAATTATCAAAATAACAAAAAAGATTTTGTGCAAATAAACAATGAAGTAAACATCAAAAATGCACGTTTTGGAATAGAATTACTGAAAAAAATAATATTAAATAAATCATAAATCTTGATCCTTAAGATTTAAATATGGACTGTTCAAACAATACTGCACTAAAGGCATAATTAATTTTATCAGTAATAAATGCAAAATATACAATTCCATGGCAAATAAGGATATAAAGTTTTGTGTAAAAGCTTTTAAGAGATTATTTAGATTAATTACACTATCTTATCTTTTTTGTCATTTCTCCGATGTAGAGTAAATATTTTCTGCATTAGTTTCATTGAACTGTAAATTATCGGTATTCCCAGTGGAATATGGGGTCTTCTAATAGTTCTTTGTCTGTTCTAACTGAAGATATTTTAGAAGAGTATACTATACTAACATATTTGAGTAAGGCGGAGATACTGAAGTAAGTATTGCAATGTATACAAACAAATTTGTCTCTCATTTTATATTCGTTTATCGTAATTACTTATTTTCAGTTTATATAAAATATTCAGCGCACTAGATGAGAAGGGTGTCCTGCAAAATCTGCACTACCGATTTCCTTGCTACGTGGTCGAACACATTTTTCCACAGTTGAAGGTAAAGTACCAAGATGTAACTTTACGAAGTGCTCAGTTTTTTTTTGACCTGTATATTATTAAATATAACATCGTTTTAGTTTAACCCCTTGAAAGATAGAATATTCAATGTGTTTTCGTCACATAAGGATGGCAAATTATCTTTCGAAGACATGTTAGACTTGTGCTCTGTAATGTCAGACAAATGTCCGGAAAAAGTCAAAGCTGCGTGGGCTTTTAGAATATACGGTAAGGATTTTATGTATATGTTGAATAAATCGATTAAACATCAAATTTGAGTGATTATACTTATGTATAAATTAATTTGAAAATATGTGTTTTTAAATATTGCTTATTTTAAGATTTTGATGATGATGATGCAGTCGGCGAAGACGATTTGATTGAAGTCATAAATAGATTGACTGGTAGTGCTGGACAGATTGATATAGAACATCAGAAGCGCATAATTAAAATTGTAAGTTTAAATCTACATCTAGTTTTGGTACAGTCTATAAGAAGTAATTACATTTGTTCATAAATATACAGGGTGTTCTAGTTTATGGATGAAGAGTCGATTAACATAATTGGAAAACAAATGAAGTTCAATATTTTTTATTCGATAGACCTAAAAATGCTCATATGGATTTGGAAAGTCTAACTTCCACAAAATTACAAAATCTAAACCTATATATTTTTCAGAAAAAAAAAATTCAAAGAAAATAAACTCACTGAAATAAATATATACAAACCTGCAATGATTACATTTTTGAGTTTAAAATTTAAAAATGAATACAACTTTATAGAAATTGGTAAGAAAGCATTTTGATGTCTAGAAACTCGTACAATTTTTCAGAAAATCTTTTAAATAAAAACTAATTGAACTTCATATTTTGCTTATTAAGTTAATGGCCTGTAAATGCCTGTTATTATAAAATGCTAAATTTTGCAGTTGCTAGAAGAAATGGATTTGGCGTCAAATGGAAGTGTTGGTCAACTTGAATTTGTACATGCAGTTGGAAAAATGTCTGAATTTCCACATTCGTTTTGTTTCCATGTATAGATCAAATAAACACCCAGTATCTCATGAATCACAAAACAAATTCGAATTGTACTGATTCTTACGTCGCAATTAGCTTTTCAGATGAAATTGTCATTCATTTAAAAGTAATAAGTAATATAAAGTAAAATTATATTTTCCTTTATATTTCATTGTGGTGTTAATGTTTACCAATGTAATTGTAACCATTGTATGATAAATATCATTTAGTGATTTACCTTGGATATAAAATTAAACAACTAAGTTAAGATTAAAATTATATTATCTCAAATATACAGTACTCCATAACATTAACAGTGTATTATTTATCTAAATAAATATTGCTTCACCTTCTTGCGATAATACACGATATTCCACTCTTTTATTCTTACAAAGTGACAAAACAATAAATGACCAACAATAAACAAACACTTTCACACTTATCTTTTATAAGCGATATCGCTAGTAGGACTGTACACACCAGTTAATGCCCTGTTGGGCAAAGATGGGGTTCGTAAAGATCTTTCAAGGGTTATTGGGAGGGTAAGAGGGTGCTTATATTTACTGAAATACTCTGGGCATTTTATGTATTGGCTGAAATAGGGACAAATATGTTAATATTGAATACGATTCATCTTATAATTCCAAGTGTATTTACCTTGTGGGGTCGGTGGGGCATTGGTATGAATATTCATCGGATTTGAAGTAATCTAGGGGGTGTAATGTCCCTGAATAATCCTTATACTGGTCTCGATGTAGCTGGCAAGCCTATAAAATGAATACCCGGGGATACAAGTGGTGCATCAAGATCAGGATCAGTTACGGGGTTGATAAAACTATACTAAACATCAAAGCTGACAAAAAAGGACACCATTATTAGAGACAATTCTGTGTTTGCAAAAATAAATTTTAAAAGCCAACCCCTTGGCCGATCCTTAAAATTTAGTGAATAAATTTATTGGATATAACTACTACTGAGGCATACTAGATAAAAGTCGTCAACTTCTTGTTGTCGAGCTGCATCTAACATGCTGAACTGGGACTTTGGAAGTCTAGCGTACTCTATGGTTTTCTTATACACAGATGCGTCTGGATGCGGGGCATAGGATATATTTAATCCGCCCCACTCGTAGCTAGGCACCTAAAAGTAATGGACCATAACTACGCCCTTATTTATTTATTTTTTTGATATCCACTAGCTGAAATTTTTTAATCTCTTTAATATTTCTATTTTGACATTAGTTCTTTCTATGTCGGTTCAATGTGGCTTTCGTAATAATGTATGAACTACTCTTTGAAGATAATTATACTAAAGCTTGTTTTTATGACCCTACAAAGGCCTTCAGTTGTGTTTCGCACTTAATAAAATATTAGCTTATGGATAAAGAACATTATTTTAAGAGTATTAAGGTAAGGTACAAAGGTTAATTCAAATAATTTTCCTAAAAATCTTGTCAGTTACGCTCTTTGATTCTGAATATACTAAACAATACTTGGATTATGGCTGCAGATCGGAATTAAGAAATATGGAGCCTGGTGTGCCTCAAGGATCCATGTTAGGTCCTATTCTCTTTTTAATATAGGTACATATATAATATATGATTTACCCACTTCAAACCAAATAGTAATGGTATTTTACTTGCTAATAACGCAAGATCAATTAATTATATTAAATCATCATACAATCTCTAATCTGAAAGAACTGTTTCCGATTTAGTGAAATAATCTAAGAGAAATGGTTGGTACAAATAAACTGATTTTAGATATTGAAAAAACTTTCATTTTTGTCTTCATAGACATGAAGCATTTGATTCCTTACCAACAGTTAAAATTCTTGGGCTAAGATGTCAAAAAAGATAAGAAAAAAAAGGCACTAATAACTAAACACGATATAGGTAGAACAATCTAATATCTCCAAGGAAGAAAATAACAACTTAAAAAATTTTAATTTGGAACAACGTAATGAGAAATAGAAACAGTTCAAAGCAGTAGCTTTAAGTGATTTTGAATTTGATTATGAAACTTAAAGCTTTATTGGCCGTATTTACGATTATACTGATATAATCAGTGAAGCATATTGTCACTATATGACAATAATTCATCATGTAGTTAAATATTAGCAGTTCTAGTAAATCTTACACTTTACTAATTTATATTAATATGTAACAGATTCTTTGCAGATCAGGTGTCTACATGATCTGCCAGTTTTTGTTGTATTAAACAACCCTCCAAACCAGTTATTAAAAAATAGCAGTCGTCAGCAAAATATAGATTATTAGACTAGAGACAGAGATTAAATCATTAATAAGTAAAATAAAAGTAAGTGGTCCTAAATTCGATCCTTGGGGTACACCGGACGTTGCAATAAAATTGTCAGATTTAAATTTTGAGAAGAATCAAATTGTCAGTTAACCCATCTTGCAAATAATTAAATTTGTCAAAGCCCTTCAAGAAATCTATACACACCACATCTAAAGTATAGAGACTTGCAAAACCAAATTTACTGAATTAAATATTTTAAAACACAACATCCAGTTACTCGATAGTCTTAAGAATAAACTGAAATTATTTCAACAGACTTTCAAAAATTCCATGGCCGGTTTTTTAAGCAACTGTTACTTTTAAAAATAAACCGTGATTAGGGGTTGTAGGTAAATTTTGAGAAAAACATGAGTTTTAAACTTGATTTGTTTTAATTTTTTTATAAACTGCTAAATAAAAGTTTTATCTTTATTATTAATTGGTATTTAAATCACCAAATAGTACTTACCTGCATACGCGATATACTTTCGTTACGATATTCCTGAAAATAGTCCATGTGTGCACTTGGACTACTTCCAAGATTCCGTGGGATAGGAGCCCCCATGAAATTTACATGGTTTTCTTCCATTTCGAATAATTTTACGAAAAATTTGGATTTACTTGAATTTTGTACACTGAAATTTTTGACAACTGACAGTTAAGACCAGTTATGGCTGGTGATAATTAAAATGGCCATATTTTGAAACCAAAGCGTTTTTTGAAAAAAAAAAAAAAAATTCATGAAAAGCTTTAGAAGAAATTTGCGAAATAAGAGATTAAGGGTTGCTGACCGTGGGGTCTTGAAAATGGTTCTACATACAGGCTGTTACAAATTCGATTCTCACTACAGGGATCTTGGAAACAGTAAGAGATGCGAAGTAGCTTAAATGGGGGCAAAGTTGCGTAATCAGGGGACCAACATTGTATCTCTAAAAAATCAAGGCTAACATGATTAATTTTCGAAATATTTCAAAAAAACAAACGAAATTTTGGAAATCCGTTTTTGTTTCGTTTTAGCCTTGTTTGAGGTGATATTGAAAAAAGAAGATTTTCTCATGGCCACTTTTTGCCTTCTATCGAATGCCATAATCAATTTTTATATGTAGCGTTGTGTTTCTCTAGGACCATCAACTTAATTTTTTTAAATACAATCCTAGAAATTTTATAACATTTTTTGCAAGCCTTCATGACCCACAATACTGTACAATAAAGCGCAAGTGCAATAAAGTCTTTTATTGCTCGCTTTTATTACTTTATAAGCCTTATCCCAATTTTGAAAAAAATTTATACTGTACTGCTTTGTAAACAAAAACAGATTTCCAAAATTTCGGTTTTTTTCAAATATTTCGAAAACTAATCATGTTAACCTTGATTTTTTAGAGGCATAATGTTGGTTCCTTTGTTTACGCAACTTTGCCCCCATTTAAGCTAGTTTGTATCTCTTACCGTTTTCGAGATCCCTGTAATGAGAAGCGAATTTGTAACAGCCTGTATGTTTTTTTATATTTTCTAAATTTTCATTTATCATAGTAGCTGTGTGTCTGCTCACCCCCCCCCACTGATACCTCATTGATTTCACACGGTCTTCAATATCTTTGAGTGACATTTTAAATGGGTCGCCCGTGATTGCAAATTTTGAAAATTTATATCTGGAAAGTACTCAGAATGACAAATCTATTAGTTCAAAAAACAGCCCTTATACCCTTATAGTTTTGCTGTAAATAAGGGTTAACTTTAACGGGCTATAACTCCGAAAATAATGGGCAGATCATCAGGTTTTTTTTTAAAATATTCGTCTTTCCCAGTACTTTCAAACCACACTTTAAAATAAAAAAAAAAAATTGAAAAAACATTAGATTATTGCAATAGTTTATAAGCGTGAAAATTGCGAAAATGTTTAAACAATCACCACGGCTCACATAATCGTCCGATTTGAATGTTTCAAAAACCATATTAAAGCTTGAGAGCTCTTCTTTTTGTGGTGAAATTTTCAAGTATTCAAAGGCTTTAGATTTTTAGAAATTTGATTTTGTAATTTTTTTAATTAAAAAAAAATTTAAACAATTATGTAAAAGCTATCAAACTGAATTGGATGAAATTTTGCGTGATGATTCTATGCACTAAGAAGTTTAATTGGGAAAAGCATGAAGATCCTAGGTATTATTCAAGTGACTGAAAAAAATTGACAAACTAGCATTTTTTGCAATTTTTTAAATGATTTTTCCAATTTTTGCAATAACAATAATTATTTTTTCGAATTGCAACTAACTCTATCTTGTTCAAAATTTAATTACATCCATTTTTGTCTAAAATTAATAGTTGCTAAGTTGTCGACGAGAAATCCAAGAAAAAAATGATTTTTTTTTGCAATTTTTTTATACTTCTTTGCAATAACAATTAAGCCCACGTTTTTTTTTTATTTGCATAGAAAAATTATCATTTCTGATGTTATTTAGATGCCGTTAAAGCAAAAATCTCCGATCATGTGCGTTTTACCCAAGTATACCCTTTTTAAAACAGATACCGCCTGGACTATAAATCGTTACTATCCTCGTACTGTAAACTGCGACTCACACTATCCGTTGTATCTACATTACATTTTTGGACTAGGTTTGATCTAGGTTCATTAAGTTCACTTGATATAAATCTGTAATTAATTTTATTACATAACCAGAATATACAATTAAATAAAGTCCAACGATTAACTAACAATAATCCTTATGGAATTATCTATCTCATTCCTTAAAAACGCTCAGTATGTTCCACTGGCGTAGTCATACAAAACCTAATATACCCTTTCTTTAAATACTTACCCATTCACTCCAAAAATAAAGTCGTCACAAAAAAAATTATTATTCAATGCCCTTAAAGAACTGCATCCGTCCTAAAGTGAACTTCAGTTGGATCTAAATTAGGATTAATATTTACCGCAGCGCTTGCAGTTACCAGAAAATCGTCCTAACTCTAATCAGATTAAAAAATATCGAACAAAATGTATCACTCTTAATAATACTCACTAGTATACATATATGAGATACTAAGTTAAAAAAATATACAGCATCATTTATTATTATTTTTTTATAAACAACCTCTAGGGTAAGTGATCGTTAAGTTCTATGCACCTATAAACGTGGTTTTCTAGAGCTTGGTGGGTTTTGAATCCAAAGTTGCAAACTGGACATTTCATTGGATGCTGAAATATATGAAACATACGTGTATTAAAACGCGTATATAGGACTGTCCACCACAAGCGTGACCCCCACTATTCTCCGTTATTTGCCGTATAGTTACAGTTTCTTTTTCTATTTTTTTGGTTATTTTACTTGAAAACCTATGAAAGTACCTACTTTTACTTTTATCTTGACACTGTTTCTATGTCGAAAATAACGGCAAAAGCAGAGAGCGACACTTTTGGCAGACCACCCTGTACATACAATGTATGTAAAAAAAAAACTGCCATAAAAATTTACGTGCGAAAAAAATAAAAAAACTTCACAAATTCGGCAGAACATAAGTTTTTGTATTCTCACGAACCCCTACATGCACTGTCTAGTACTGCAAATAAAAGGTTTTTCATTAAGAGCTTCCAGATGTACGGTTAGGTTTGACTTATTATACAGTAGTACGCTTTGAAGGGTCGCGCACTATATTTGTACTCTGCAGGTTAGTACAAGATTAGTCATGGAGCGATATATTTCGCAGACTTGGCGATTATTTTGGTCTGCATAATCCCCCAATAAAAAAAACAATACAGTTGACGTCACAGGATCTGTTCAAGATGTAAAAATATCGGAACGTTTTATTGCCAGTGTTGCGAGAAACAACTACTCAGCGGGCTTATGTCCCGACCGACATTGAATTATACTCGCAACACCTAGTGCAACGCTAGGATCATTCATCAGTTTAATCCACTAGGCATAGACCAGTTCCGGACTTATTAGTCCTCATCAGTGTGTCATAGGTGAGACAACCGACGAACGATCCAGCCATTATGCGTCCGTATCCTCACGACAAGGAAACACATTGTACGCGGAGCACAAATAGCTCCATCTGTTGGGAGTCAACACGACAGAGTTGAGGTTGAGTTGAGTTGACTCGTAGTGCAACAATGTACCTGCAATATAGCAGGTCGCTTCCTACTGTAGCCATTTGAATGGCACAGTTGGGAGTCAGCACGACAGATGGAGCCATTTGCGCTCCGCGTACAATATCAGAACTTGCTCGTGTAGGCTGTTCAGTTGAAAATATTGCCGCAGTTCATGAAAGTGTGGCTGAAAATCCAAAAATGTCTATTTCACACCTTTTGCAGCAACTGGAAAAAATGTGGCAAATTTGTGGCAGCGACGTACATTTGTTGAATGGGTGGTCGAAAACCAAACAGTTGATAATGATTTTTCCAATAAGATAATTTTTAACAATGAAGTTGAATTTCAATTAACAGGGCCCTATAGCAAATAGGCAACCGGCAATAGATTTTTATAGTGTTTGGTGTAATTTAGTGGTGTTTTCGTCCGAAAGTTTAATTGTTTTATGCAAATCGACGATTTGCTGTGTCATAGTTAATATTTGTTGGTATTGTCAGGTGCTTTGTTCTGTGAGTTCATGTATTTGTTGTTTTAGTGTCTCGTTTTCTTGTTTTTGTGATAGTAGCTGTTCGTATAAATGTTTTAGTGGTCATGTTTTTTGGTGAAGTGGAAACCCTTGAAGGGGGTCTTTTGCTGTCTGTATCGTCCATGTATATGTATATGTTCTCCTCGTGTTTGGAGTCCGACATTTTGTGCGTGTGTGTTAGTGTGTGTGGGCGTGTGTACGTTTGTGTATGCGTGTGTATTAGTCGCGTGGGGACGCGTATGTTGCAGCCTGTTCAAATTACAAATTTCTTCACAACAAAGAGTAATTTGAGTTTCAAACTAACTTCATTTTATAGAAATTCTGCGCTAGAATGGAGGAAAGACTGTTATTTGTGTGTATTCATATTTAGACACACTGTGTAACAAAATCTATAAAAAACGTATTGCTGGTTGCCTATTTGCTATAGAGCCCTCAGTAGATAAGTTAGGCTGGTTCTGGACCGGAAGTGACTCGGATGGCCAATGTCCATCGAGTTCGGCGCGCGGGTATGTTAACAAAACTGCCGCATTTGGGGCAATGCAAATCCAAAGGATATCCATAAATGCCAATGAACTCGCAATGTATCAGTTTGGTACGCTTTTTTTTTTAAATGAAGATGGTCAAATGCTGACGGTCAATGCTGTACCATGATAAACAAGTTTTTGTGGCTAGCTTTAGTGGACCATGAAACTATGATTTCAAATACATCCTAGAGGAATAATTCTTTCACAAAAATCGTGCGATTTAACGCCCCTCCATTACTTTCTCTGGGGCTACGTGAAAAGTAAAGCATACATGAACAATCATTCACGATTTGAAAAATGAGATTCGAAGCATAATTTGAAAGATTCCACAACAACGCACATTTCTCTAAGCCACGGTGGCCATTTAAATATTGTTTTTCACATTTTTAATTGTAATAGATCACATTAAGTATTACTACAAATGTATTAAAATTTTCTCATTCACCCTGTATTTTATTTAATTACAAAATCCGGTGGCTCTTACTGGAAAACCTTTTAGTAAAGAAATACAACATGTTAGTGGCATAACCCTTCACTAAAACATAGTTCTCATACCGAAAAAGTCAGGCACGGTGCGCTATGCACGTTTCAACGTGATCTTCGATAAGCCTCAAAGATCGGAATTGCAAGTTACAAATGGGGCATGCAAATCTTCTCAGAGGTGGGGACTGCATAACATAAATTATATTAAAATGTTATATGGAACATTTGAAAATTAAACGACCAATACTTCTTTTTACGTTCTTAGATTATTAAAATTTAAAAAATTAATAAAATTGGAAAATACGGTCTTTTAATTTCTAAATCTCTGTATCTGCACAAGGCTAAGTTACTGGAAATAATTCAGGCAATAATCATCATCGCTACGATGCACCGACAGTATATTAAAAAAGATCATTAAATACTTACATCACCGGAAGAGGCGCAAGGTGCAGAGGGAGTGGGCATCCGCTCCCTCGGTACCGAAGGGGGTACGACGTAATCGTTCTCTCGCAACAATTCGATTTCTTCCTGAAGCTGTTGGTTGCGTCTCTGTAAATTCTGCATGTCTTCTGAAAGCCTCTCTTTCTCGTTTTTTATGGTCTCCTTGGCGTTCCTTTCTGCTTCGAAGTCTGCTTTGTACACATCCAACTGAAAATTAGGGAGAAGTAAGTTATCAAAACAATCGTATTTAACTGTTGCTAAACAGTATAAAACTTATTTTGTAAAATATTGGAAACACCTGAATAATTTCCCAGGTAAATTATTTTTGAAAAATGTTAAGGTCATTCTTGTAACTGTTGACGAGGATGGCGACCTTGGATTTTACCTTGACGATGACCTTGAAGGTTATTTCAAGGTCACTTCCATTTTTTTAAATGGAAACCCCCCTTTTCGACGTCGGAAATCAAAAGACAGGAAATTTTACGTCCAATAACTTTAAGGTTATTGTGGTGTGTTGGCAACAATGCAGGAAACGTAGCTGCGTCAGCGGAAGCGGTCACGTGGTACCGGCGATGAAGGACCAGCACTTGTCCTCATGTGGAGTCAGTCGTTGCCTCGCCTGTGATTAAGCCGGACCCTTTTCCGTGTCTGCGGTTAATGTATGATAATGTATTATATGAACTTTCTATGCGACATCCCCCGTAATATATGAGTACGATAAATCATAGTGGGTTTTAACTTACTCCCGACCTAAAATACCACAGTTATAGACCATGAAGATCATTCAAAGGTTATTTAAATTTGAGGGCTGGAAATTTCCGAAGGACGCAGTTGATGAAAATGGTATAAAGCTCACTTTAGTTATTTTGTTTAATTGCATTTAGCGGTGACCTCGAACTTGACCTTCTTGGTGTCCTTCAAGGTCATTTCAAAGTCAAGTTTTTTTGAGAATTGAGAATTGAAATGGAGCAATAAGTATAGTGCATTCTGGCGAGGGAACAAAGCATTCTCAAAAAAATTTTTCATATAAATATATTTTTTCCTGCAGAATATGAATCTGCAACAAAAAATATGGGTTTCCTTATAAAAAATCAAGGTTGACCTTGAAGTGACCTTGATACTCGACTTCAAGGACACCATAGTTTGACCCCCCTAAACCTGTTAACTTTTGTTCGAAATATTGTTTTATAAAAGTCGAATTAAAAAAATTATGTGGCGTGGTACATTAAAATGGTTCACTTTGTGTAAATAGTGTAAATATGTAAGTCATAATTAAACTACCCACCTGTGCTTTTAGTGCATATATATCATCCGTCTGAGTCTGAAATTCGCCCAGCTTCGTCTTCAGTTCAAGGTTCTCTTTATTCAAAGTCTGGAGCTGTATATAGGGAGCACTCCTAGTCTGTTCGACTTGCGTCAACATAACCTGAGTGTTTGCCAGCTGCTGTCGGATATTTGCCACTTCCTCTTGCGTAGGCAGCACGGTCTGTTGTTGTTTGGTGAAAAACAACTGCGACCTCAGGCTGTCAATTACCTCATTCAGAGATTTCATCTTCTCCTCATCCGTAGACTTCATTTTCATCAATTCCATTTTAGCCTACAAATGTAGATAATTCGAAACAGTTAAATTTCTGTCCATATCCAGAGTTTTTAAAATTGGGTGATTTATTTTCACAATCTCCAAGATAACGGGAAAGTCATTTGAAATAATTTGGATACAACATTGTGAAAAATCTATCATGTACCATAAATGGTAATTTAAACAAAGTTTTTAAACAGTACAACAGATTTCAGTGTTTAGAATGATTTTTATTTACAGTAGGGATGAATTATTGATATTAGTATAAGGGGAGTGTCAGCAAAATGCTGTTATAGCATTGCAATTGTATCTAGATCGTTGTTTATGCTGTTCAAAGGGCTCGAAAAACAAGACACCTAGAAACAAATCGTACTAGACATGTTACATGATCTGGACTACCTAGAATGTTACAGGTTGAAGATGTTTTAGACAAAGTTGAAGATCTAACAAGTAGTAATGGATATGTCGCACAGTAAGTTGAAGTGTCTCATATTAAATAAAATGTGCTTTATCTATATCAATTGCAGAAATTTAAGCAGTAATGCCTCATGATCATCCTAAAAATATGTAAAAAAATTTCACCAGAGGAGGGCCCATATGGCTGGTTTTTGGTTTAATTTATTTCTGAAAAAAATCTGAAAAATTTTTTTCTAGTATCTACTAGCAATACTGAATCGTTTCCACTCTAAACGGACCAATCCCCTCACCCTTCTTTCCCCCTCCAACCCCTTTAATGCCGGGGAAACCATCGCTTATTAGAGGAATCTTTAAATAGCTTAGAGATGCGAAATACATTCAATTCCTATGAATCTTACATATGAAGAGTTTTTTGGGGTCGCTGATCACGAATCTGGTCTCAAAATCAAGAAATTCAAAATGGCGGATCCAATATGGCGGGCAAGAAAATTGAAATGTCTTCAAAATGCATGAATTTTTTTGTAATGGGGTTTTTTGAGTCTATGATTACGAATCTGGAATCTAAATCACGAAATTCAAAATGGCGGATAAAAAATTAAAATGTCTTTAAAATGCATGAATTTTTGTGTGTGGGGGTTTTTTGTGTCTCTGATTACGAATCTGAAGGCAGAATTACGAAATTCAAAATGACGTATTCCAAATGGCAGACAAAAAAATTAAAAAGATCTCCATAAGTTTCAAATATTTGTATATAGAAACTTTCTTGGATCACTGATTACAACTATGAATTCAGAATCACGCAATTCAACGTGGCTAATTAAATATGCACAAACAACATCTATTTTTATGTAAAATAAATTGGCAATGTTTATTAACGTTGGTGGTGCAACGATAGCGAGTAGCTTACTTCACACATGTTTATACAGCGCCATGTGGATCTTTTCTGTCAAAATAAGCGTTTAACATAGACTTTTTCATAGAAATAAAATTTTTCCCAAAGATAAAAATATCGTATATATCAAAAGATAAACTGTAAAAATACATCAAGAACAAAAAATAAACGGTAATAAGGGTTTCAAAACACGAACGTCAAAACAAGCATGGTAACAAAAAAATAGAAGGAAATTAATTTTCTAACTATTTCAGTTCAAAAATATTGCAATACATAGCAAAAATTAACGAACGTCACCAATAATTGTTATACAATTTTCTTCTCGCTGTATATTGCGGCTGTACACTTAAATATTTATTTAAAGGGATCGTACAGCGGCGGGCATATGTCTGCGGGTGCCATGGTGCCCGTGGGCATAGGATTGGGGACCCCTGGCGTAGACGATCTACATTTTTTTGCAAGTAATTTGCTGAATCACTTTGGGATGAGTTCCTAAATGGAAGAAAATCTTTTATGTCATTAATGAATTTCCTAATAGGTGGACAGAACGAAATCGATCAAACATCATTGCTTTCAAGGTCACAAGGTTGTAATCTATGCAATTTTTACTTGTGGTTTTACATGAAATGGTTAGTGTAGGACCGAGGGAAACACGGGAAGGAAAAATTATGCGAAAGTTGTAGAAATCATGGAGAAAACGCTCGAATATAACGGCATGCTAGTGTGAATTAAATGGTTAGTTTTTTATTTTCGTGACTTTTGAGTTTTCGAAGAACGTTATTTAAAAAACATTTTTATTTTTCTTTTAGGTCTGTGACACGTTACTTTTATATTTTAAGAAAACATATATTACCTCTTCCAGCTCCCTCTTGCTAGCATGCAAAATTGTTTGCAATCCATCGATTTCTTTTTCGTACTCTTCCACTTTTTTATTGACTTCAATCACTTTGACCTTTTCTTCCTTAAGAGCTTCGTTTTCTACAGTTAAATTCTTCATTCCTACTTCTAGTTGTTTTATAGTCTTATTGACCATATCCAACTCCAATTCAAAATTTTCTTTTGATTTAGGATTGTTCGTCTCCGCACTACGTTGCTCTTTTTCACGAATTGCCTTTGTCAACGAAACTATATCTTCGTCTTGAGCATTTTTCACAGCTTTCAACTGTTCCAATTCTCGGATCAAGTTGTAGTTTTCTTTCTTCAGCTACAAAAATAAAACACTGAATTGTGAAAGAAATAAAACATTTAATTTATCGTACCTTTTCGATAAATTCTTTGGCCTCAATGATCTTTTCCTTGTGAGCTTGGTGCACCTTTTGGACATCTTCCTGCCATGCCACAATTCTTTCATACTGTGACTTCATACTCATGTTATTTTGCAGAATTGTATCTGCAAACAGTGCAAACGCAACATTGTATTTGTTTTTTTTTCACTGCCATTTTTTGTAAAATATTAAACTTTTTAAATATTTAATAATATAAGAATTCTCACCTTTAAGTCGGATGTTTTCTTCAACAATTTCCGACACTTTCTTTTGGACTTGCTCTGAGGTGAGATCGGTAGATAAAGTTGTAATGCTTATAACGTCTGAGGTTTCCTGAAATAGTTTTTAGTAACTTCACCCACATATGAATATACTTCAAAGTCCAAAATAGTACTCATGAATATTTAAAAGTTATGTTTTTATTTACATTTATAATTTTTTATAAACATTTAAGCGCGAAATTCACTGTCATGAGTATAGATATATAAAATTATCAAATCTATAACTACAAATGAGGTTAAAAGGGAAAAATCAAAATTAAAAACGTATTTTTAACCTGTACAAAGCACGTTATTCTACATTTGCATTTTTAATATTTATATTTAATTTGTATATCTTTAGTTATACATATGTAGGAATTTCTTAATATTACCATAGCTATTACACAAATTTGATCAACCATATATTCAATGTAAAGTGATAGCTAGAAACTAGAATAAGATAAAAGTGATTCATATTGTTTAATATATCACATATCACTGCCTGTCATTTTAGGTTCTAGAAATCATTTAATACAAGTAATAACAATAAATTTTGATAAACATGAATCAGAAAATAATATTGAGATAATTACTAATTTGCTCAATGTCTATTTGTTGTTGAATAATTAAAAAAATAACATTATTACAATTAGACAATTTATGCAATTAAATACTTTACTTTAAAATTTATATATGTACTTACAAATCCTTTCTCAACTTGAGGCATTTTTGGCAAAACCGATGATTTATCCATTTGGGTGCTCTCAACAACTTTGCTTTCACTTTGACTGCTTGGACCATCGACAGACAAATTATTTTCTGCTTGTGTCTCAGCTTTATTCACTAAACTCAATTTCTCCATCTCTGTCAACTCTTTATTTATCAGCTGTTTGGCTTCTTCCACAATACCAGTACCAATTGGTTCATGATTAATTTCTACGATTGACTTACTGTCCATATCCTTCCATAAAACAACGAAAGATTCCTCGTCCGAGCCTAATGAAGGCAAGGGATATGGTTCTGAAGGCATTTTGAAACTCTCTGTAGATAATGAACTAGTAGCCATTTCTGAAAATGTTTTCCAAATTATTTTGAGTGTACCCTTATCTTGGCACTGATTTTGGTTGATAAGATAAAATTAGATGTATAATCAACATTAAACAATGCTCACTAAGGAAACATTAAAAATTTGAAAGGAGAGGGGGCACAACCTCTTAAAATAGATTTCCTTTGCAAATAATAAATATATAGTCATCCCATCAACATTATCTGTATAAATATGTTGCACAATACCTTATAATTGTTAAATGATCCGCAATCTATTTAAAATAATGCACGGCACTGATGACTCAACTTATTCACACACGTCTCTGGTCAACCTGCGGCCTGCGCGACAACCAACAACCCTGTGAAAACGGCGTATTTTATGTTTGTGTGATTTACATGAATGTTCGGGGATTCCCGGCTATATTGCAGACTTTAAAGATGAAAAAGGTCGTAGCTTTTGGAAACCCCTTATTGGACACTACTATATCAGTTTATGATACAGTTTTGTTAGACAAATATAACCTCAAATTGGACGGTCAAAAAGAAATCGCAGAAAATGAAATGAAAAGACTATCACAGGACGTCTCCGGGTGATTTTTGAGTTACCGATAAGTTCTGTATATACTTTTTTAACACATTATTTTCAGATACCAGCAACACATTAGTGCGGGAGGCTGCGCGCAAAATTCGCTACGCGTCTTACAATGGTTGATGGCAAAGAAATGTCGAGCAGTAATTTTTGGATCTGTGGGAAAGGACAAGGAGGCTGCCATTCTGACACAGCTGTTAGAAGATGATGGAGTACAAACCAGGTGATCAAAGTACTTTTGTAAAATAACACCATTTTCTTTATACCATAAAACATAACCTCAATTTTAGTTAGCTATTGTATGTTTTGCAACATTTTAAATTCTGACTAGATACCTATATTTACAATTTTTTAGAAGTCCTAGACATTTTTAATAAATGTTATACATGTTTCAATTTTAGATATTTTGAACAAGATGATCTTCCTACTGGGAAAACCATAGCATTAGTATCAAGCGAATACAGATCTCTTGTAGCCCATATTGGAGCAGCCGAAAAACTGCCTTTGAATCAATTTTTACTTGAAAAAGATGTTCCCAACTTAGTATTAAGCTCAGATTTTGTATATATAGAAGGATTTTTTCTAACAAACCGAGTTGAAACTGCTAAATATATACTAGATTTTTGCAATAAACACAACAAAGTAGCAATATTTAACATTTCTGGGGAATATGTTTGTGATCTTTACCCAACAGTGGTAAAACACTTTGTAGAAAATTCAGATATTGTCTTTGGGAACAAAAGAGAATTTGAGGCTTTAGCAAAAATAATGAACATGAAAAATGTAAATGAATTGACAAATCATTTGATTAAAGGAGCAAAAAATAAAATGGACACGTATGGAAATATAATTATTATAACTGATGGATCAAATCCTGGTACCTGCATTTCTAAATGCGGAAAAATTGAGAATTTCGTTGTGCCAAAAATAGATCCAAAGGATATCAAGGATACTACAGGTGCAGGGGATGCGTTTACAGGTGGATTCATAGCAGGGTTATGTAGAAATAAACCATTAGCAGACTGTGCTAAAATAGGATGTTATTCAGCCTTTCACATCATCCAACAAACGGGCTGTACACTGCCAAATTTTCAACCAAATATTTTAGATTGCAACAATTAGTAGGCTAAATAAAGGATATATAATATATAATTTTTGTAGAATGCAAATAATGAATCATAGTAGGTACCTATTATTTTAGGTTTTGTTAACAGTTTCTATAAATATACGTTTTTTCATTAAATTAAATACATAATAAACATGTAATAATTATTACCTGCGTAGAATTAAATATTTACAAACAATCCTCTGGCCTCCCTCACAGTTAGAACTCTGGAATCTGGAATTTGGAATCACAACACCATAGACAAAGACGGAAATAGATCCGACACTCTCTTCTTATGGAGGCGGAGCCATGTTTGCGCCGTCTGGTGGTTTGGAAACAAGTTCAACATCGGTAATATCAAACAACTTTCTTAACAACCGAGCGCACGCGGTTTACTTGAATTAAATTATGGCGGGTATTTCAAATAAATTGGAATTAATTTGGTATAGAAATTTAACCCCTATACATAGTTTTGTATTTAAAAATCAATGGCATTCAATTTTTTAGTAAAACAGTAAAACTACTTTGCTATAACATNATATAATATATAATTTTTGTAGAATGCAAATAATGAATCATAGTAGGTACCTATTATTTTAGGTTTTGTTAACAGTTTCTATAAATATACGTTTTTTCATTAAATTAAATACATAATAAACATGTAATAATTATTACCTGCGTAGAATTAAATATTTACAAACAATCCTCTGGCCTCCCTCACGTTAGAACTCTGGAATCTGGAATTTGGAATCACAACACAACATGCAACTTCGGCACAAAATGAAGATAAAAACATTTAACAGCTGAGTCTGAGAAAACGATAAGCGGATAAACCCATAGATAAAAGAGTTACGACAAGATAAACTATTACAAACAGTCTTGAAGTTGAAGTTACATGGCCTCCAATATTATAAAAAGAAAAGTAAGTTGTAAAATAGTAATATTTTTTTGGAAAGGAAAAGATTAAATTTCTGATATTAACTATCACAGAAATACAACTGATCAGTTTTGAAAATATTTATAATATTGCATATACACGAAATATTTTTTTGTTTACTAAGGCTGAATCTACAAGACAGCGCTGAAGGGAAGGGACTTGTGTGCATACGCTCAGCGGCTCAGCTCACTGCTCAATAGTGGTACGCCATTATTCCATGGCTAGAAATTGGCCTCAATGATTTGGGATCGAGGGGGATTATCCCTCTTTATCCTGCCTCATCTCGTGTAGGCCTGGACAGCCTTCGTAGGTGGGCCCCANACAAGAATTCAGACAACTTACGTCATACGAACAAATGAATAATTTATTCAAAATATTTAAGAAACTACAACTGGCAATAATAAAATTGTATATTACACCAAATGTTTACACTATATATTACACTAAATTAGAAAAATTAACACGACACACAATCGAAAATTACGTTGGCAATAAAAACAATCCGTGACGTAAGTCGTCTGAATTCGTGCTGCAACTCTAACTATAAATTTTATACATTAGATAATACATATATACATTACATATACTAAACAAATTCATGCAAAATCACCGTATGTCATGATCGTTTGCTACTGTACAAAAATCACATCTCGATTATAAAAATTTACGTGTCATTGAATGCAGTACAAAAAAAATTAAAATATAATCTTGGTAGCCTATTATTATTAGTAATATTAAATATATCTATCATATCCTTATACTTTGTTACCTATTTTAAGTATGTACATTTTTAGAGTCGACAATTTTATTTATGTTTTCTAGAAATAAATGTTTTTTTGTAAATTGTTTTACAATTTTTAAAAATTAAAGGACTATTATCATTAATAGGTCGGAGATCTTGACCTCTAATTATTCTATTTAATTGTTTAATAATATTGTGTCCTGTTACTTTTAGAAAATATTTAAAAATTGTTTTTTTTAAATCCAAATTATGTTGACAATTTGTCAAATTAATTTTATCTAGCAATGTACAGAAAATATATTTAAATNAGAGACAATAGGAGAAAAAATATAACAATTTTCTATATTAAAACACTGTATTTAATATTGGTACAGATACATTATTTAAAATTAATGCATATAGTTGCGACAAGAATTCAGACAACTTACGTCGTACAAACAAATGAATAATTTATACAAAATATTTAAGAAACTACAACTGGCAATAATAAAATTATATATTACACTAAATGTTTACACTATATATTACACTAAATTAGAAAAATGATTGTTTTTAACACGACACACTATCGAAAATTACGTTGGCAATAAAAACAATCCGTGACGTGAGTCGTCTGAATTCGTGCTGCAACTCTAACTATAAATTTTATACATTAGATAATACATATATACACTATATATAATAAACAAATTCATGCAAAATCACAGTACGTCATGATCGTTTGCTACTGTACAAAAATCACATCTTGATTATAAAAATTTACGTGTCATTGAATGCAGTACAAACAAAATTGAAATATCTTGGTAGCCTATTATTATTAGTAATATTAAATATATCTATCCTTATACTTTGTTACCTATTTTAAGTATGTACATTTTTAGAGTCGACAATTTTATTTATGTTTTCTAGAAATAAATGTTTTTTTGTAAATTGTTTTACAATTTTTAAAAATTAAAGGACTATTATCATTAATAGGTCGGAGATCTTGACCTCTAATTATTCTATTTAATTGTTTAATAATATTGTGTCCTGTTACTTTTAGAAAATATTTAAAAATTGTTTTTTTTAAATCCAAATTATGTTGACAATTTGTCAAATTAATTTTATCTAGCAATGTACAGAAAATATATTTAAATACACCTTTTTTGTGTAGATCATTGTACAGAACAAATTTTATAATTTGTAGGGCCAACTTCATCTTTTCATAAAAAGTGTCACTAATATATTTCAGCCTACGTCGGTTGTCATATTCTTTTAATTTTAAGAATAATTCTGCGTTTGACTCTACATTAGATTTTTGCAGAATATCTTCTTTACATGAACAATTTCCAAAATTAGTTTCATTTTTTTTAAAAAGGTAGCCACAGACATACCTTAAAACTTGTTGTTCAATAGGTTGTACTGTTGAAAATACAACAGGAATTTTTGTAAATTGCTCCTCTTCATGTTGCTCTTCAACATCTTCTGGTAAACCCTATAATAAACAAATTGTATTATAAAAATTAAAAAATAATTTCTAATTTATTACCTGCGTAACAAATCGTTGAAGAGTTACTAAATATTCGGCATCATCTTCCATACAATTGGCACCTACAGAATGGGTTGATACCATTGTATTTACCAATAAGGATTTGTAATATCCTATAAATTGAGAACAAGTCGGATTATTGTTACGAGCTCCTCGTTGCCTTATTTTTGAAAAAAAATTTTCTACAGGATCTTGATTTAACATCCTAGGCATTAAATATGAAAATCCTTCCTTTTTCAAAATTTGAAATAGAAACTTCATGTTTTTTATTGTTTTTAGTAAATTTTTCAGGCTTGGAGGCACAAACTTTTTACCCTCTTTGGATATATATTCCATTGTTGTTAATATCGGTATAGAATTATTCCAAAACTTAAAATGCTCGGATTCTTCTGTTATGGCTCGTCGTAACAATTTTTGGTTGAAAAGCGAACTACCATTTAAACTGTCAAAAATGTCATCAAAAAGTTCTAAAAGTTTTGCAGTCTCTTGAGCATCCTTATCTAAAAATATGTTTTTTCTGTTTTCATCTACAAAAGTGGTGCCTGAAAAAAACATATTAAAATATTACTTAAAATGTATTCTTACCTGAGTAAGCCATTAAATTTATTCCTACAGCAACCGATCTACTAAATATCTGTGTACAGTATGACACCTTCATCTTGTTAATATTTAACGGATTAACATGCTGTTCTGTTATTTTAGGCATTGTCCTAAGACTTCCTAAGTATGGATCTAATTTATATGCGTCTAAAATATGACTCCATTTTGCCGTCATTTGTTTTCCATTCATATGGAATAAGAGATCGGATTTTAATAAATTATTTCTAATGCCTTTCAGCAAATGTGGTGGGTCAAACAGTGGTATTACTAAATTGTTATTTAATTTGAATGCAAATTCTTCGAACTGCTTTCCCTCTTGGCCATATCTTTTTTTTGTCTCATTGACCAAGTTATTTATAGCTGCCTCATTATTTTTTCCTTGGTCGCAAACTGTAGCTACTACTCGTAAACCAATATTGGTACATTTTATAATAATTGTTTTAATAATATTCACAATATCAGCGTTACTAGTAGCACCATTTACAAAATTATAATATACTGGTTGCTTCCACTTTCTACTTAAGCCACGCAGCATACAAACCTACAATAATGAAAAATTATATGTGAATCACACACAACATATATATGAGACATATACACTGTTTGTTTGAAAGCAAGTCATCTCTTTAAAAATGTGTATTTATGAACTAATTAGAACATCATTTTTTACTTATATGCTTTCATAACTCTTGGGGTCAAATTTCAGAGAAAACAAATTTTTATTATTTTATATTATCATGTATAATAATTATCTCTATCATTTAAAATAAAAAACTTTTAAATCTGCCAACATAGATGTGTCTTACTGTCAAATAGGGATATTATATTACAAAAAGCTTACCATTACATGATTTACGATTTTATTAGTACGTTTAAATCCAAAATCTTCAAACCCTTCCACATCACCATCAAACTGGTTCCATGATAAACTAGGACTTAAGGCCATCTCATCAAACATAAGTAGGCAATATTTGTCTAATGGATTTTTAAAATTCTTGACCACCGCTTTTAAAATTTCAAATGTCGGCTCGCTAAGACCAGGTTTTATTGGAATTCTTTGCAACAAACGCATACAAGTTTTCTGAGATGGTACAGTAAATAATTTGGATAATAATTTATATCCACTTCCAGATTGTTTATACAAGGCTAATCCTAAAACTTTATCTTCTATGGAATATCTTCCACCTTGTATTTTCTTTTTTGAATTCTCGATTTGGCATTGAAAGAATCGCCCTCGTATTTTATCCATTGTAGATATCGCTGCTTCAAAAGCGTCAGATTCTGTGTACCTTGTTGCCAACTCTAAACGCTTCTTGAATGACAATTTTGTCCGACTTGATTGTGCTTCTCTCTTTTGATAGTAACGAGCTTTTTCGTACAAGTATTTGGCTTTCGGCGTTAAATCGGCAATTCTTGTATGACCTACTTCGGCACGTAACCCGTGTCGACCTATAATTAATTGTTAAAATAGAAATTGCCATCTCCCTATTTTAAGATAATATCAAATAAATAATTATGCAATTATTTGTTTGTTTTGTCTGATTTTTTATGTCTTGGGGCTTCGTCCTCGCTAGAGGATTCCGCCGTGTGTTTTTTGCGTTTCTCTGTGCGTGTGTGTGCCTGGTGTGTGTGTGGGGGAGGTTTGTGTGTGTGTGCCTGTCTGGGGTATATTGTCTGTCATTTGTTTGTTGATGAATTTGTCGAGTTTTTGGTGTAATTTAGTGGTTTTCGTCCGAAAGTTTAATTGTTTTTTGCAAATCGACGATTTGCTGTGTCATGGTTACTATTTGTTGGTATTGTCGGGTGTTTTGTTCTATGAGTTCGTGTATTTGTTGTTTTAGCGTCTCGTTTTCATGTTTTTGTGTTAGTAGTTGTTCGTATAAATCTGTTTTAGTGATCATGTTTTTTTGGTGAAGCGGAGACTCTTGAAGAGGGTCTTTCGCTGTCTGTATCGTCCATGTATATGTATATGTTCTCCTCGTTTTCCGAGTCCGACATTTTGTGCGTGCGTGTGTGTGTGTGTGTTTGTCGGG